TGGAAATTGACATTTAATTGGCGGCTATTTTATACTGATTATGGCATAATGTTATGTGATTGCTATTGGTTTTTATATAATGTATGTTGAGCGGAACGACTTTACAATGTACAAAAAATTTATATGACTAAGCAATTATGTCAGTTAATAGTTCAGTTACAAATGTTAAAAGTGAATATTTTTTTTACTAATTAATAAATAAATTTAAATAGATCATGTATAAATATTTCCTTAACTAATCTAACGTCCATTTGTTTAGTTTAGTTTATTTACGAAATACATTTTTTCAGTTTGTTTTGAAAAAATATATAATACTCTCTAAAATTAATACTGTTAAAGTAAATTGGTTTAATATGTAATAATTTATATAAATCTAACGATGTCTTACATTGAAATATATTCAATAGTGTGTGTGTGCATGTATGGATATAAATTGCACAGATTTATGAACTAAGCATATTGCATAACTAGTAAGAGTATGTATCATTAAACTATGTAAAAATCATTCTCCGTTTTTTTTCCTTAATATTTCTCACACTATATTTTTTGTATTGGTTATTGGATGATCAACGGGAAACGCTTCGTATGTACGTGCAATACAAACCTTTTTTTTTTTGATGTCGCAGGGAAACTCTTTTTACGAGCCGTCCAACCGGCCTTGATGGGCCCGGAAGGGATGTGTGAGGCTCGGCCTGGGCAGGCCCCTACTCACTAAAACCACTGCGAAAGCCATCGGCCGCTATGGCGGTGTACGCGGGATCTGTCAGCGACAGGGCACACCAGCGACTGGCCGGTCCTGGCAAAGACCGGACTTACTCCCTCGGAGAATGGGGGCGATCCTGGCAATTAGGACCACCCTGACGACGCCAGGCTTTCAATATGTGCAATACAAACCTGTGATAAACATGTTGTTATTTCTCTAATATAACTTAATTAGTGACATTGTTGTATTGTAAAAGTAACTGCTGAAAAGGTAATGGTAAGTTATGCCTTTTATAATTTTGAAGCCTATGATATATATATTTTTAATAAAATACTAAACAATTTATTACGGTTTATATAATACCTTCTCTTTACAAATGTATATAAGATTTTATTAAAATCTTTGAATGCTGATATCTATTTCAACTTTTATTTAAATTTATATTTAAACTTTCATTTAAGTGAAATTGTATTAGAGTTCGTTTTAACTTACAATTACATTTTTTTTTCATATCTTCTTAAAGTAAGTACATGGATGAGACGAAAATTTCTCAACAATTTCAGTATTCACCGTGCGGTTGCCGGGTCCATTGCGTTGCAGGGAGAGGAGCTTTCACAGTGCCTGGGACTTGTGACCCAGGTGTAAGTTTAAGAGGCTCTCCAATCTAACGCGCTTTAAACACTCACCTCCACCGGCCGAGCTCCTCTCTCTAACTAACTAAATTTGAAACGAACCTACTAGAGCTACCTTTAGCACGTTCTAAGAATGTTAAATAGGATGTTATTAAGAATAGAAAATACTTATAAAAGTAGATTATTTAAGATATAAAACATAATATTTGAAATTATAATTTATGACTATTGACACCTTCATTCATACGATGTGTTGTAAAATAATACAATTATAATAAATTAATTAATGCAGTACATCTAAAGTGGTGTCTCAATCATTCGATAAGCTCTATATACTATGACATAATTAATTTATTATAATATGTTCTAGAACTTACCTTTTTATTCTCGTATTCTCATAAATATATACAAACACATTAATACATTTATTCATTTCACACGGTTTAAAAAAACCGGACAAAATGAAGTTCTACTAGTTATTTAATGACAAACATATAATATTATGACTAACTGCTGCCTGCCGCTTCGCCCGCATATTAAATAAACCCCATTTGAGATACGCGTTTACGTCAGAACGAGGTTGCTCGCAGATCCCTTAATTTGATCGTTACTTGACAATAATGGATTTATTATTATTTGGAATTATATTATTTTATTACATTAGGATAACAACCTGTTTAAAATAAAGCATTAATTGAAAGAGTGAAAACACTTTGCCGAATGGATAACTTCCCTATGAATGTGGGTAAATGTAGATCCAGTTACTCGGTTCAGGCTTTTCAGAGATTAGACTTAACAAACAGAGAGACAGACAACTATTTTCAAAATTGTAGTTTAGAGATAGGTATATGCCTTTAGTGGAAAGCTGTTAATTTAAAATTACAAACAGACACTTCAATTTTATCTCTTAGTATATATTTGCGAACTCTTTAAATACAGAATGTTTAAGAATCCAATTAAAAGTCTAGTTTAGTAAGTTTGTTTAAGACTTTGGCGATTGTTTATGATGGAAGGTCATGGAAGCATTCTAATCGAAAGAAGCAGTAGAATGGAATATATTGAAATGAATAAAAATAAAATATGAGCTTTAACGAACAAAATATTTATAAGATTAGCTTTAAGTTGAATTTTTTCATTTCCTGAGTTCTTAACAGGTTTAGATATTTTTATATTGTATTTACAACATAATAAACGTAGTCTAAATAAAAAACAAATTTACATTGGCTAATGAATTTACAGATTTTATATATAACCATCACCATCAGACTATTGATTCCCACTGATGAGCAAAGATCTCTTCTGACATTAAGAAGGTCAGAGCATTAATCATCGAGTGCTTAAGGTGGATTGGTGACTTTAAACTTCTAATTTGATAGAGTCTATTTGATTTGTCTATATACTCTAAGGAAGTACATATAACTAGGAAAAAGTCACATTGACACTTGCCAAGTATCGAATCTACCCCCTCATACACGAATGGTGTACTTTAACCTCTACTTCACGTTCATTACGGAGAAATATTTTATACCAATAATGTTCTCGTACCTTAGATTCAAAAACAGTTAATTTACATATACCTTCTAGGAAAATAGAAAATATCTCACATAAAATAAAATCACGTATTTTTTAATTTTTAAACTCTATTTTAAATTTTGGTATCATGTCTAGTGTCATTTGATTAATTGATAAGTTTGTACCTTTTTACATTAAAGTCAGTTATTATCACAATATTTTTATTTTATTTGAATAATACATGTAATATCATCAGTTATTTCATTTATCATTTTATTGCATTCGATATTTTTTTATTGGAATATTTAAAAAAATTGTAAGAGAACAAGAAACTTTTTTTATACTAAAGGGGGAACCGAGCAGGCGGCCTACCTCATTGAGGATACCCAGGTCGCTCCTGGACATCCGTTACGTAAGAGATGTTGCGTATGTGTAGCCACCCTTGATTAGGGAAGAAGAGGAGGAAAAAGTGGGATAACGAGGAGTTGGAGGAGAAAAAAAGGAAGGGGTAGGGACAGAAAAGGGAAAAGGGAAAGGGCAACCGGCACTTTCATTCATCGGACGAAACGCAGCGGCTAGAAGCTATTTCACGCCTTTTTTCTGTGAAAAGGCAAGGGTGGTATCTCCCCGGTCGAGCCAGCCCATATTCGAGCTACAATAATTTGACCACAACTAGGCTCTAGCTATCACCAACAAAGCTATTGGATATTTACTTGTATTTAAAAAAAAAATGTCTTATTTTTATTGTATTAAGTTCACGAACGAAACAAAAACTCAAATTTGAGTGCAAGAAAGTTCAATTCAAGCTCAAAATTGAGACAATTTCTTGTCATTAATATCTACTTAGGGATAATCACAAATATTTTTTTAGTATTTAATCGCATTAATATTAAAGCCTTGACATTATAGCGACAGAGTAACACACTTCCTATGCGTGAATTGTTTTAGAACTCTATTATTAAGATAAATGGAATATTTTGGTCAAAAGATATTAATAGTTTTTCACTTTATTCTGATAGACATAACAAATTTATATTTTCATAATATTCTTTTAATGCATCTAAAGCCAGTATAATTATAGTTAGGCCTCATAAAATGAAAAAAATCCTTCTTTTTCTGGAATAATCCATCTTGTTTCTGGAATAATTAAGATTATTAGACATAATATACAAAAAACTGGTATTCAAATAATTATATGAAAGAACGCTAATTATTATTAATATACCAGCAAATAGCTGTGAGAAAAAAATCTCGAGTAAAGACAATGTGTTCTTAACGAAATTGTTTCCAATAATGATAACTTGATTGGTTGCTTCTATTGAGAAATAATAACAGATTACTTTGTTTTACACTCTTTTAGTAATTCAGGTGCGATCTCTGAAATACTTTTTAATCATATATTTGGTTGAATTTCTCTAGATAATTAATTAATGTGTTATCAAAATAAATTAGTGTCTGTTCATTAAACCTGATACTCTATTTCAGTTTAGCATATAAAATTTTAGTATATAAAGTTTGCCTATAAAATTATGGAGGGCATTAACTTTTATGTCTTAAAAAACTGTTGCTAATAGTTTCCTAATTTTTATAAATATATTGATTATATTTTCAACTTACCCAATTGGCTTTAGTAAGTCTGAGGTCCTTTAGACGAGCAACAAAAAATGCTTATAATAAGAAATATTTATTGTATCATGAATACAAAGTCTTGTTACTTGTAATAATTTTAACATATCTGTTTGCTGATACGTTCTGTAAAACTAGACTCATTTATTCAGTTCTTTATTCATTTATCCTAAAAGATAAATTATTATTAGTATTATATAAGTATTGACAGATCCAAGATTTTCCAACTAATAATTTATTCTTATATACCATATTTTTCTTATAATACAATATTCTAAAGTAAAAATTATGTTAAAGGAAACAATCCATTCGTATGTTTAAGATCCAAGGCATAAGTGCCTTGAAAAAATGCGGTAAAAAATTTATAGATAAAATTTTAGGCCTAGTATGCAAATATATCTACGTATACAAAAAAAAAATTGGCTTAATAAAAATCGCTACTAGTAGTTGTTCTGTGATTCTGAATGCCAATAGCGTGTTATTTAAGTGTGTGCGGTCGCCAGAGGCGGTTGTGACTGTGAAGGACCATGGTGCCGATGCTGATGCTAGTACTTGGAGTAGTCGCGGCTACCGACAGAGACTTCACTGGTAAATATAATACAGTAGCTTTTATAAAAAAAATACCACCAAGGAGCTAGATAGCGTCAGCAATTAACGATTTGTCACCACAAAGAAACAGATTCCTACTATTTACAAGAATTACAACCGTAATTACCGAGTCTTAATTATTGATTTATCTCATTAATATGTGATGTGAAATAAAGCATCATTAGAATTATTGAGCGGGACAATCACTGAAGAGTTTGTATCTACTTTAAAAAGAATGTAATTGTTTGCCATATGAAAAAAAATTCAAAGATATGAGGTTGTTAAAAAGAACAAAGACCTATGACGATGACACTATTTTTATTTAATTTATATTAGTTTTATTTGCATTTATTACATAATTTTGCTATTCACAATCGAACTAACAATTGTTATATGGAATACTTGGTTAAATATGTAGACACGTTTTGTTTTTCGTTTAAAATGACTAACATTTATTTTGCTGTTGACAATAGATACTATTAATATAACATACTGCCGTTAATATACATATTTTAATTGTAATTAAAAGTAGAATTATGTAATATATATAACAATGAAGTAGAATTTAATTACAAAAAAATATATTTTAAATATAACACGCTTAAGTTGCGAATCTACTAAAATTTTCATTTTTTACTTTAGTCTGCTGCGAAATAACTTTACAGATTTTCATAATTTTAAAAACATTAAAGCGTATAGATACAAATATAAACTTCTCTATTGGATACATTTTTCTTTTAAAGTCAACCTTTTACAAAAAAGGCACTTGATTTCGTACATTAAAATAGAGGATTTTCTTTTTGCTTTGTTACATATTTGAATGATTTCCAATTTATTTTTTATTTAATTTATTTATATATATATATAATTAGCTTGTGTGATCTTTTTGATTATATTATTTTTAAAATGAACTGACCTTACTTTGTTTTAATGGACTTCCAAATTGAATTCCTATATATTATCAATAAGTAATGACAATGTAAAATTATTCATTAATTTCTTTTTTCACTATTCATATTACACATTATGTTTTATAATCGATTTCATGTTTAAACATACTAACTTAATTAGTGAGATATTTAGTCATTTACCAAAAAAATAAGCTTTATTTATGCTAAGCGAATAAAGATTGAGATTTGAGGCCTAATATCATATTTTATAGGGCGATATATTTGTATTCATCGTAATTATGACTCTTACCTACTATTAAAATTGAATCCTTTGAAAAATGATGTTGTCAAAGCTTCTTAGATAATTCTGTCTAGCACTACATATATGTCGGCTGTATACATTTTGTTTTAATTTCGACAATATAACAAGGTATATTAAGAATAATGAAAATGGGAGTTTAGACAGCTATAATGATGTTCTTATTCTAATTCAAAAATAGTACAATACTATAGCGAATAAACAGTATCACAAACGGAGTACAGGGTGAAAATGAATAAGTTTTAAAGTGTATAACAAAAATACAGAAATGCTTAAACGAAACATCGAGTGACGAATGGTTATAAAAAAATGACCTGTCTGATCAAAATAAATGTATAATTAACACATAATATATTGATAATTCATAAAATGCGAATTGAAAAATAAAGTAAGCTGTTGTATAAAATACCATCTTTTTTCGGGGAAAAGTAGTAAAAATTTTATTTCGTTTTTTGTTTATGGAAACTTCAAGATCAGATCATATAAGGTATTTCTTAAGGCGATAGAAATAATTTAATATATGGTAAACACCTTGAAATTCTGCAAACAAATTAGTAGTTCAAGATTATTGTCCTTTTTTGTTTAATATATTTAGACTTTAACAATGACTTTCGCCCACGATCTAATTTGTAGCAACCTTAATCATCATTATGTAATATAACGAATGATATATGACATTTTATTTACGCGCTTGTGAGTAAATTATACTATTTATGACCATCGAAATACATTTTTTATGTTTTTTGGGACCTTTTCTTTGTAGAATTACTTAATAACGATTATTCTTAGTTATAATAAATGTATTGACTATGAATTTGTATTACTTTATTTATCACTGGTAAAGATCGTTTCAAGTTAAGTATGAATTGAATGAATGAAAGGTATTTATATACAATTACGATACGTATCTGGATCCGAACCTTAATTATTGATTCCTTTAATAAACATATTGTTTATCCGAAATAATTATATCGTCCCATAATTAATTAATACTAATTTATCATTTCAAAGATAATACATAAGGTTCTTGCGCAAAAAGATTTGAGAATTAGCTTCCTTATAACATATAGGTACGTATGTATGTTAGAATTTTGTTCCTTTACGACAAAAAATCGTTCGTCGGGTCATATATTATAAAAATAAACAATATGCTAGTTGACGCTAAACCATTATCTCCTGTTTAGTATTACATAATTTTATAAAGGAAAACTTAGTGGAAGAGTTATAAACACATATGTACATCCGGAATCTGCTTCATTTATAATTATAATAACAAATGGAATATCCGAAATTTCAGCAGATATTTTAAAAAGAACGTAAATATTCGCCAACTTTCAAAATCACAGATGTTAACCATAAAAAATATTTCTATGTTACAATAACTGCCGAAATTATTTTAAAAGGAAAAACAATAATTTATTAACAAAAAAGTTTTGTATCATTTTATTATTTATCCAACTTATCCAATGGTTGTAACATTCAAAGTTACGTAGAACAACCAATAATTTATAATATCCTGTTACTAAACGTAACAATTATTTGTTGTAATTCATTATTTCATAACAATGAAATCTATACCTTTATAATTTATTCAATGTACGGACCATGGCATCTATTATTATTAATCATCTCGCCTGTATTGTTATAAAATCAGTTTAATAACAATCATAAAAAAGATGTAAACACAAAATAACATTCACCTGTTAGTACACATTTATTGCATAATGAGAATCAGTTTCCTTTTATCGCTCACAGCCCACGTATAATAGTAGAGACGCATTATGATCACATATTTAATCCCATACAAGGTTTAACATGCAGCTTTGCTTATATAATTTAAAAGATTATTAATCTTTAAAAAAAACCAATCGGTAGATTTTTTTAAATGTTGGGTTTTCCATAAGGATAATAAAATACTTTGACGAAACAAATATAGGCCATTTTAATGTCTTTTTGCACGTTATATTTTGATGATTATACCATAGTATGAATAAAATATATAAAATTAAACACATTAAGGAAATCTTGTTTTTTTTTAACTATATATTTTTATAGTAAATTACTAATAAAATAGCAATTAAGTTACGTTCCATATGTAATTTATTCAAGAATTCTATAATTAATACAGTTAATTCAAACTAATTAATGTACTATGTTCGCAATTCATACGGATATGTTTGATATAAATGAATTTATTTACTTTTATAGTTCAATAGAGTACTGTGAGAAGTACGCGAAATTATTTAATCTAAAATGTTTTCTGCAACCTTAATTTATTGACTATTTGTTTTAATTCCAAATTAAATTAAATAATATTAAGGACAGTTAAATTAAAATATCTTAATGTACATGTTAAGGTACATAATATCTATTTAAATAAATTTAAATAAAAAGTAAATAAAATATTCCCATTCCGAGATGATAAAAAAGGACTTGAAAACGAGCGATTTACCGTTGTTAGTTTGCATTTAATAGTTTTTGTTTTGTTTAGTATATAACGATATTTCTATAGAAAATCTCATTAATAATACACACGCATAATAATTAAATAGTAATAAAAATATGTTTTAAAATAACCGACGTCTATTTAAAAAATTAATTAATAATGCACGCAAAATGTTATAAATAAAAATCTATTTCAGGCATGCTATAACAAAAATGACAAATGATTTAAGATCAAATCAGGAAAATCTTGTAAATCTCAAGCTACTGCTAAATCGTTTTCCATTTACATAGCAATTAACCTTTTAAGGATGTATAATATTTAAAACATACTTCTTGTATACTGCTTGATATAGTTTAAAAGAAATAAATCTAAACTTAAAAATCGTGTAAGAGTTTTCATTTGTGTATTTATATAAAACAAGTTGAGAAATTTAATAAGAATCGTAATATAGTAAATTAATATTAATCTTTATTTTATTATATTGACGTCAAAGGGTATTCCGGACTTTATTAGCATTTTTACGTATCACATAGCAACAGCTTCTTAAACGGTAAATCATTTACAACCATTTCCAAAAATGTAGTGTTGTCTATCTACTAATTAATCATTATATATCTATAATATTTACATATTATTTATACATGTATTATTTTTTGTCTAGGGAGTCCAAGTATAACCAAAGACATAATGGGCTTAAAAGAGCTGAGCTAAAATTTATTTATCTTAATTGTTCTCGTACTAGACTATTGTTACTTTTAGTACTAATATACTATTTAACTCAAATTTACATCCTCGAAATCCTCGAGTATACTTTTCATTATAAATTATCCACGGACAAGACATCTAGTTGAATCATTTCAAACACAAAATGTTTGAAAAGAAAGTTGTTTGAAAAAAGAGACTATATAATTATTTTTTTTAGTAAAATTTAAAAAACAAATTGTTATGCTTAAGAAACTTACAGGAACAAAAAATTAATAAACAAGTGAGCTATTTAACGGACAGAGATTTGTTGTTTACAGATTAGTAATTAGAATAAATTACTTCATATTAGTCTTTAAAGGTAACTTGCTTTTCTCATGTTTATAACTCGTTATTCGGGAAATTGATAATTAGATGAAGGACAATCTAAAACTTTGATCCAAATTTGGGATTAGAGATTATTTCTCACTAAGAAATATACTTTATACTGAAATGGGTATAATCCAAATAATAAATATTTTGACATGATACAATAAATTTAAGCATAATTTCTATTCCGCCATGTTTATAAGCTTTGTTCTTCCGTGGGTTACCGAGAACTGTAACCGCTATTTTAATAACTGCCTATCTTCTGACAAAACTAGCTTACAAAAATCTATACTTGCAGTAATGTGATCACAACTTGTAAAGATTGTATAGGAGCCAATGATGTTTTAAACCAGGTTCTGTAAATCGTCTTTTGATATATTATTAAATATTTATTTCAAATACATATTGTGTTTGTATCCGGTATTTCTATGTCCAAGCAATTTCTGTGTAAATATTTTTATTTAGACTTTTTCATTATTTGTCAGGTTTATTTCTTAAATCACTTTCACAATTTATTACTTATGAGGCCAGTACCGTATTTTCTCAGATTCAAATTAAGTATAAGAGATGAGCTTTTATTGGGGAACTTTTTTAAATCTGGATTGACGATCCCACCAGAGGAAATACTATGCAAATGATTTAAAGGACGTAAATGTTGATCCTTTTTTACTTCTGGCATTGAAGAATCTAAAAGAAAATAAAAATAATTTAAAAGGCTGCGTTTTGTAAAATAATTAATTAATATACATATTTTGGTATAATATGACGTTAATGTTAGGATAACAAAGTAATGAATAATTCATCAAATTAAAATGGATGGAAGATTTATCTACTTTAAAAATACATTTGTTGTCTTATGCAAATTATTTAATTTAATTTTATTGATTGTAGGATCTTAAAAATTGGAATAGATATATATATCGGATTTATTACAAATTCATTGTTTTTAAAGAGAGACACTAATGTCATTTCTTCTAGAACGTTCCATGAAATTTTAAAATAAACCTTCAGTTGTTCTAAATTTCCTTGTATTTCTCGAAGGTTCTTCATAATCACATTCTTATAAGATCCGCACTAACTGCACTCTGAACTCTGCCACCGTGCGTTCAGACGTCATATTTATATCAAGATTTAAACGTAGTTCTATTCTCCATTTAAACGAAAGCTGATATGTAAATAGTCACAAATAACATTTAAAAAAAATCACGATTTGACAGTAAAGTTTCTGAAGCGATCTTAAAAATATCCTTAAAAGGGAAACATTTTTAATCAGACGATGAGCTTTATGTAATATAAAATATTATTATTTGTAAATAATGAAGTGAAGTCTATAATTACGAAATATATCTCTATAAATATAAGCTTTTATAATATCTCCACTCATCTGTTTAGTGGTGCTTAAACTTTGATACGATATACATTAAAATTATGTAGGTATATTACTGAAAAGGGCTGCATTTGGAGCCACATAAATAGTTGACCGCTGAATCACTCTTTCACTTGGCATTCAGAATGTTTACACAGTATTATTATATTAGTCGATGAACATATAATTTCAGGAATTTAATTTAACTATGAAAATAACCATAATATATGTGAATACATATTTACATATATTTTACTAAACACTTTGTTTTCTTATTATCTTATTATACGATTCATCGAATCAAAAATTAATATGAGGACGTAAAAATCTTCTTTTAATGCCTATAGTTGAGTCAAAAAACCGGCTTCTATATGAGCCTATTAATAAAATGTAAATTTGTTTCTGTGATCTATTTTAATATTAAATAAATTATGTAGTCAGATCTCGCAAATACTATTTTGTTCACAAAGACTTTTTCATATTCAGATGTAGAGCAACTTCGGCTACCACGTCTGTTTCACTTGGATAATTACGAGCGATGCCTGGCGCAGCGCGGCGGACAGTACTGCTTGGGCAGCTTCCGCGTGAGTGCAGACCAGGAAAACCCAAAATATGAATTCATTAAGGTATCACCATACAAATAAACCTTAAATTTAAGTTCTGCTATATATTATAAAAAAAAACATCTTGTATTTTTATTATAAAGCAACAACTTTAACAGTAATCAATAATTATATAAAATTTTTATATATAAAAAATATTATTTGTATATCTAATATGAATTAAAAAAGCTTGTTCGATTATACAAAAAATAGATATTCAAATTTTTCACTCTGAGCTACTTAGCATAATATATTTCATCAACCACAAACCTATAGAGTCTTAAAAAATTATAATATGAATACATTCCATTGATGATAAACAACATAACTGAAGTCTTTTTATTTTTTCTTTTCTCTTAGACAAAAAAGATGCCTAAAATAATCTCCAGAAATCAAATGGCATCTAATGCAAGTTTCTTAGTGCTCCAAACTTTGATATTCTTATTTCAGGAATACTCCTCCAGTCCACATAACTTCGATCGCACTCTGCTACATCGCGGGTATTGTGTATCTTCGCGTTGCCCATCAGAAGCCAACATCACCCTTCGGTTTGAGCGCTGCATACAACAACATGTGCTGCCTCCTGGTTTCACTGCAGCCTTGCAAACTTATTCATGCGAAACAAACAGAGAAGTGGATTTCAAAATGGATTTTCCACAGTTTGCGTTTCTGCTTGTGATTGGATTTATTTTATTCTTGAACTTGATGGGCACGTTGTACGATTTCTTAATAGGAGGAGAAGCAAGTAAGATTTTTTTAATTATTTATTTAAATACCGTTAACTACTTTATAGTTTAAGTGTACTGTCGGTAAAATTTTGATTGTTGATATAAGGCAAATCTAGTATTATTTATTTAAAGAATAATAAGTTTTCAGTCCTACCGTTAAAACCACACCTACCGCCTTAATTTATTATGTACCAAGTTTTCTTTGTTCAGTGATATGCTTTGAATTACGACAAGTTTTTAATTTAATACACATCTAAATGGAATGTTGCTTTTAATAAGACTAACAACTGGCTCTATTTCCTATGTCTTATAGTTGAGCTGACAGTCATAATATCAAGTAGAAATCAAGATTACGTGTAACAATTTGTTTATTTAAATAAGTTGCTACCATAAAGTATAATTTTAATTGAGATTCACTTTATGTAATTGCACTGTCGAGACAATGCAGATATACGACATTATCTTGAATTATGAGCTTGCAGAAACAGGCTTTGTATAACTTGGCTTTACATATATATATTAGTAGTAATATTTATTGGACAATTGAATTTAACGAGCAAAACTAGCAGTACCAGCAAATATTTGCGACATCGCTACCGACCAAATATACCTTTTTAAGGGTTAAGTATATAAATATACTTATCATTAAAAAAGGCTTTATTTTGTATACATTATAGTACTCATTTAAAAATGATAAGCTTTATATCTGAGTCATGCAAGTAAATTGTAATCATTCACTCGCGTGCTGGTATTACTAATATCACGCACCTGAGAATTGTGTTTATTTATTTTCCGTGTTCGTATCAATATTGAAAATTTAGATTTTTGTTAATGTATTCAGTTAAAACTACACTTTTTATGATCTAACGAAGGACTGGTTTTCTTTTTCTTCCTTAATTTCCTTAGTACTTTATCGACCAAATAGCCTAAAGAGAAGTATTAATGATTTCAGAGAACAAGTTACTGATGTCATGGTCATTACGAGTAAATTGGAATCGTCTTACAAGCACGCATGATGATGGAGACCCTCGATTAACAGCATTAGCGCCCATACAGGGTGTCAGGTATTGAAATTTTTTTGTTACAACAGAGACAGCTGCGTGAACCTAATAAATATAGTAAGCCTCTACTGCTTAATTAACCTATATTTAGGATTCAAACAAAATCATTAAAAAATATTGTTGTCTTATAAAAATACAACTTTAAATAACAAACAAAACCCTTTAACGGGAACAAACTTATTTTACAGAGTTTTAACTAATTATTATCTTAAAATACAATATCCTTAAACAATTTAAATTTAATTTACAAAGACACTGCGAAATCGCGTCAACAAATACTTTCCCGCGCAAAAGTGAATAAATAAATGTCATCGCTTCAGGTTCATTCCTTATAATAAATTGTGTGCTCCCTAAAGCTTTGTTGAAAATGCACTCCTGGGTATGACCGCTTTTAAAACAATAAAGAACATTATCAATCACAATATAAATTATCAATTAATGTTGTTACCGTTTATCAGTATATCTTGGTTGTATTAAAATATGCGGCCTAATTGAATAAATCAGTATTATATCCATTTATATTATTACTAACTTGTCAGGGAAATAAAAATAATTAATCTTCATAAATCTTAAATAAACTGTCTCAGTGAAGTAATACCAATTAAATTTAAGTACATTCAATTGAATTTACTGCTGCATTGTGTGTAGTTAAATAAGTGAGTAGTTACATTTATTAAAAAAAGAAATTTACTAATGAATGTACCATCGTTCTAATCATATGTTATTTGAGACTTATTTGAGAGCTTTTCTATAAAAAAGACGATAAAATTAAACATTGTTTTTGAATGAAGGAAAATCAAACTTGAAGGCGAAAATGGTAAATGATTTTAAGGCGTAGATACATTAGAAATTATATACATGAGCGACATTTTTGGAGTCACTGCTACCCAGCTACAGTTCGAATGTTAACACCAAGAATCCAATACTAGTTTCATTTTATGTGCACTTCTTCTTCTACCTGGCAATTTCCCAGCTATAGCCAGGGTCTGCCTTACATGTTGTGAATAGTTTTTGGCTATTTGTTTTTACGACCAGTAGCCTGCCTGACATCGACCCTCTTTTGGGAATCAACATTAATGTGCACTATAGATATCTAAATGTTAATTCAACTAGTTATACTTTCACTGATAATTGATACTTGAGAAGAGTATTTTACTTATTATAAGATTGATAAATTATTTAATTCTTAACAATGTATCGCGATGATCAGAATTATATTACAGCCATAATAAATATATGGTCTCTGTGGTAATAAAATAGATTAATTATTATTCATAGTTTTAAAATTTATGATACAGCAACTACACAAGACAACGCAACAGGATAAAATTTACTTGATTTACATAATCCTAATAATAATATAATAAATAAATCATAATAATAATATAATAATAATTATATATGAATACAAAGGCAAATATTGTATCTAAGTATTTAATTGACTAGATAGACTTAAATTAATAACAATTATATAAAAAAAAACAGAACCAAATTGTTCAAAATATAATTTATTTCAACAAGATATATTATTGGTTTAAATTTATCCTCCAGAGTTCTGCTGCTAGCACTTGTGATGATGACCCACGCTTCTGAAATACAACATAAGGTCTACCTCTACAATCCTGAGTTTTTTGAGAAGGTAATAATATAATCAAAGAAAAATTTAAAAAAAAAACAAAAAATATATTTTTTCTACTTTATGAATTTCGAATATAAATTCATCTTTTTCTACGGAACTTACTTCATAAAATTCTCCAATATCCAGGTGCTGACTTATCCCATCACAATGTTAATCAAGAACGGTTCGTCGATAACTCAGATCTTCATCGTGTTATCAAACTTTCTTTTCGGGTATAGCCTTTTAATATACGCCAAAAACAAGCAACTAGGGTTGGCCCAGCTACCCGCCTGTATATTGCATCGAATTGCTAGGTAAGTTATTAAAATAAATTACGAGAACCCACACACACATCGTCCATAGACAGCCTTTCTATTTTTTATTTCTTAATATCTTATATTCTTCTTAATTGAAAAGGATAGTTCCATTTTTCAAAATATTCAATTATTTATATATTTTTTATAAGTCTCTATCAGTTTTAACCTTTATATTAATATTGATCTAGAAAATTGTTTTCTTTGCAGGATAACTCCAATCCATATGTTAGTAGTAGGGTTCGCTGCAACATGGTGGCAAGAGTCGGGTTCTGGACCGCAGTGGGCCGCCACCATCGGAACAGAAAGCCAAATTTGCCGCAAAAAGTTTTGGGCGCACTTTTTCTTCCTTCATAACTTTATATATAAAGACGAACATTGCTTACTGCAAACATGGTAAGGCTTTATATTTTAGTTTCTATTCAAATTCTTATATATTTTTTTAAAGCTTCAATAGTAATTAATTTTTACAATTCAGGTTTTTAGCAGTTGATATGCAAGTGTATATTGTGGCATCAGCACTTATGCTATATATGATACAGAACAAGAAGAGTCGAATACAGATATTGACCTGCTTATTTATTCTGTCTTGCCTTTTAAATGCAGGACTTGCATATATAAATGACTGGAAATCGCTTCTATACATCATGTTACCAGAGTAAGTGATCTTATTAATTTTAAGCTACGATGTCTCTGCAAGGTAGTCTGTTTTTATTAAACTTAAAAAAAATAAACCAATAAAACTATACCTTGTCAAAGAAAATTTATCAGAAAATACTAAAGTTTGAAAACCACATTTTAATTATAATGCTTCTTGGATTGAAATATGTACATATATGGGTTTATTAATAAAATATTATTATTAACAAGGAACGTGCGCACCACTTTCCATGGAATCCCATCGTTTAGTCAATACTATATCTCTCCCTGGGGAAGCTTGCCATCCTGTTTCATAGGTCTCATCACAGCCTGTGTACACTTCGATATGCAAGAAAACGGATACAAGATTGCCAAGCACAGAGTATGATACTTTTATTATTTAACACCGATTATATCTCATAAATCATAATACAGTCAGTGAACTTTTTATACGCGGTATTATTTTTTAACTTTTCCCTTTTTTTTCTCCCTTTTCTCCCTTACAGTCTTGAAGACTCTAATTATAATTCTTTTCCTATTTATCTTTAGTGGTTCACGACGATCTACCACATGTCCATTCCTCTCATCGTGGTGTGTTTGTTGGCTGGAAACGTGATGTTGGAACACACATCTCGCGGAGCAGTTTCCTCTTTCCTCGCCGCTGAACGACCAACTGTCGCACTTCTCTCTGCCATATGTCTTCTGGGCATTGCCAATAATGTAGATAGTAAGGAATTTGTCACTAAAATTATCGTAGTAATAGTATATTATTCTTAGTTTAAAAATAATGTTATATTAAATGGTCATCTATTGTTGAATATAAGATAGATATCGTCGTTCTGCCCTCGTAATATTATGTGTATAAAAAGAAGCAAATCTTTCTTTAAGGTCCTACAATAGTTTAACTTTTCATTAGATATTTTCCGTCGAGTAATGGGTTGGCGAGGCTGGACAGTGTTAGGACGTATGTCGCTGTCGGTGTTGATGCTGCATTGGGTCATAAACATGAGACTCGTCGCTTCGAAACGAACGCTCTTGGAAGCTTCAGTTTTTACCATTGTATGTATTCACACTTTTTAACTTAAAAGGCAATAAACAATAATACATCTTTCATATTTCGTTGGAAACATGGCATTAATATCAGCGGTGCAGCACATGTACTTTTGTGATTTAGCTTAATGATTTCATTTAAATGAAACAAATATTTTTCGGATTGTACAACCCAACTTTATTTTGGACAAAAACTACATACTCCCGATTTTTCGGCTACTTTTCAGTAACTATGATCACGGTTGTTGAAAAGTAGGAACGTCAGGAGTATGTAGTTTTTTCCAAATCAAAGTCGCTTCGTATGATCCGAAACACATTTGTTTCATTCAAAAGTTTAAAACTCGCGAAATTCATAGATCTCATTAATGATTTATTTATTTATGCTTGGAATATATTTACAAATACATAATTAACAATGTTAACGAACTTTTCCCAGGCGGCTGACCTGTTATCGACCATATGGTGGACGTACTGCGCTGCGCTGCCACTTACTCTTCTGGTTGAGGCGCCGCTGCAGCGAACGGTCAACACGCTGCTTTCCTAATATCTTACGCTGTGATAATACACTTGTGGACTGATTAGGAGTTATAGTTGATAAGCTGCGAGGAATAACCTAGAAGAACATACACTGCGCTCTCATAATATTTGGATGCCAATATTTGTGAGCAACTGGATGGAAAGCTAGATAGAAAATGTTTTGTTTTAATTGATATTAATATGCAAGTTTTGTTTAATATCTGTATGCTCTGAATGTAGTAACAGTATATTAATTTATAGCAAAGCTTTTCAAAACAGGAACCTTGATGTGATAGTTAACTGTTATGGCGGCATAATATTAAGATTTAATTTAAGATGATGGAGTACGGGGTAAAATGTTATGACATTTCTTTTTATTGTAAAAGAACGTTATAATGTGTAGTTTTATAATTATCAGTAATTAAACATATTTATAATATGCTGAGTTATTATTTTTTATTTTTAAGCAAATTTTTGTTATAAAGAAAAGGTGCCTGGAATTTAAACGACATTTTATTGACAACAACGCTTACCTCCAACAAGGTCGATCGGCTTCAAAACTCAGGCCCTTTCTAAATAGAGAGGAAAAAAATTAACTTATAATCTTGTTTTTTATTAGGAACAAAGTTTTCATAGTAATTAATTTCAAAATTACAACACTTGAATACAGAAAGTTAGGCAGATTTTCTTATATGTATGCCATCTTATTTCTTTCCTGTATTTTTTATACCTACAATATTTCGTTTAACCATTCTTATTCTTACTTCATATTACTTTTTAAGATTACTTTTTCTTTTTTTTTCACTACTACAAAAAATTTATCAGGTAGAGCAAAGATCAGAATTATAAAGCTTTAAAGTTAACTAACATTTCCCATCCAAGTCTAACACTACATTATTAATTTATGTCCCAATTTTAATTGCGAAAAATGAAAATTATTATTAATATATTTATTTGAAGGAAGACTATTTTCATTGTTTATAGAGAAAAGAAAATATTTTACTGAAATGTCGAGCCACGATTATTGTCCTATATCGTGTTTCATTTCGTTTTATTAGTCTTAAGTTGTTTTCTAAAATGCGTTCTTAAAGCCTTCAGAAACCTTCTTCGTCATTACCGCTCAGTTATCAAAATGTTTTTATTTTTTTTAAACCATTACATCATTTTAAAAACATTTTCTAGCGAGACGAAATCCATTGAAATGCAAGATAATAAAAAAATTCACTTTCAACAAAAAGTTCTAATTTTCAAAGTGATTCTTTAAAACTAAAATGACATATTAACACATTTCCTTAATATTATATTATTATCAACAATAAAATATTATAGTGCAGTATTCCGTTAATAGTTAATCCGTTGCATATAATGGAACTTTTAAACATAAATCAATAACTCATAAACAGCTTTACAAAACTGTAACTCCTTTCGTCTTTGTGACACTTTTATTACTGAGTACACATAATATTTAATAATATATCCTGTAATACCGAGTCCTTTTCAATAGGCCCCACGTTGGGCGCCAGTGTAATACAGAAGGCTTTTCAATAGGCCCCACGTTGGGCGCCAGTGTAATACAGAGGGCTTTGACGTGAAGGTTGGTTTACAATAAGACGGCTAGGCCTCTAACGTCGACACCAGGGAGCTATCCCACACAGTGGAAGTAGCCAACGGAAGTCGAACTTAGAAGAGTGATTTTCCTCGGTAGCTTTCAAAATACAGTCCCAACCAGGTGGAAGCAGTATCTTTGCCACTATCGAGGTCCCTGTGACTCGATACAATACAATTATATTCTGGGTTATTTATTCACTATACAAAGCTATAACATTAGCGTGATTTAGAATACAAGTAACGTCATCTATTATCATAAAGATGAACTAATGTAATGTTAGGAGTAGAGACATTGCTGTTACAGTCTCCCCCTCTGTCTACGAAGTCGCCTCGACGAGAAAGACAGGGAAGAAAACTAGTTGTCCTTCTTCTTCGGTGGTCTACCTCGTGGTTTTGGTTCCATCTATGTAGCCTCTGAATTTATTGACTGCCCACACCACTGCCAAAGTTTCTCTCTCAGTAGTTGAATAGTTCCGTTCAGATTTATTCAACAATCGACTAGCGAACTCAACTGGGTGTTCATTCTCACCCTCCCCCTGCACTAAGACCGCTCCAATAGCAAAGTTGCTAGCATCAGTTTTGATGATATAGGGCTTAGTCTCGTCAGCCTGTGCGAGTACAGGAATAGTAGTTAACAGGGTTCTCAGAGTTTCAAATGCAAATGTCTGTTCTTTGTTCCAAGTCCACTCGGTGTCTATCTTAGTGAGACGCGTCAAGGGCTCTGCAACCTTAGCAAAATCGGGAATGAACCTCCTGTACCAGGAACACATTTGTATAAACCTCATTAAGTGCTTCAAATTACGAGGTCGAGGTACGTTCATTATTGCTCATTGGTTATTTGAACAGTCATTTGTTTAGTTGATCGGTCAAGGGGTTGGTCTTCTTTGTCGTAGTAACTCTTCCGTACTTAGTGACAACGTAGCCGAGACTTTGCCTCGTCGTATTGTGCTCTTCACTTGTGTCAAAGAACTGTTCCCTACTACTCATAAGTTCGTCGTGGTAGTCCTTTAATAGGCCAGACGTTCGGGCGCCAGTGTAATACAGAGGCCTTTTCAATAGGCACCACGTTGGGCGCCAGTGTAATACCGAGTCCTTTTCAATAGGCCCCACGTTGGGCGCCAGTGTAATACAGAAGGCTTTTCAATAGGCCCCACGTTGGGCGCCAGTGTAATACAGAGGGCTTTGACGTGAAGGTTGGTTTACAATAAGACGGCTAGGCCTCTAACGTCGACACCAGGGAGCTATCCCACACAGTGGAAGTAGCCAACGGAAGTCGAACTTAGAAGAGTGATTTTCCTCGGTAGCTTTCAAAATGCAGTCCCAACCAGGTGGAAGCAGTATCTTTGCCACTATCGAGGTCCCTGTGACTCGATACAATACAATTATATTCTGGGTTATTTATTCACTATACAAAGCTATAACATTAGCGTGATTTAGAATACAAGTAACGTCATCTATTATCATAAAGATGAACTAATGTAATGTTAGGAGTAGAGACATTGCTGTTACAATCCTTAAATTGTATAAGCTGTGTATGACTAAACTTAAGCGAATAATCGCTTATTGTTGTTATTACAATAATGTAATAACAGTAATTTTAAAGTGTTTTAATATGCGACATTCCTAAGTCAAGCTTTAGGGAATGAACTTGTAAGTCTTATATTAAATTTGTTTGTTATTCTTATTATGATTATATGTTGACTGGGCTTGATGAAAGATTTCAGATGAAAAGAAGATATGACGAGGGTCGGAGCTAATATCGAATATATCTTCTATTTCATAAGTAATAAAAGAAATTTGCGGAGTTAAAAATAAATATATATTTTAGGACAATGAGTATATTAACACTTATGTTGTATTTTTTTTATTGTAACAAAACATAGTCACTTAAAAAACTTCCTTGGTTTTGAAGTACGTTCAAAATTATTAGCCGAAGTCACTTCTGACAGTAGTACCTAACTATAAATGAAATCCCGTCGAAATAGATCACACCTTTTATTTCTACACGAGCCCAAACAAAGAGACCGATTAGAAATCCTTTTTGATGAAGGAATCCTATATACAGGGTGACTGGTGAATTACTATCAATATTTAAGGAGAATACTCGGTACATGATTCTCATTCGAATTATGTAAAAAAAATAGGCACTTAACTTTTGACCAAATTTCCATATGAATAAATAAAGTGTTGACACGTTCCAAGTGTTCAAGTGTGGACGCGTGCGGCGGCGTGCTGATACAACACTACGTCACGACACGCGTATGTGTGAGTTTCAGTGTATACCTAATCTGTAGGGTGTTCACACGATGCGTAATTAATTACATAACTTTTGGTTAACTTTACTTAGAAGGTTATTAATATTTATGTTATATTAATTTTTATTTTGTCATATATTATCGTCAAATATCACGTCCTCAAATATCAATAGTAATTCACCAGTCACCCTGTATAATACTTACATATACTTTCCTATAAATTTGTTAATTTAAAACTAAAAACAGCCATAAAGTTTTCTATTACTATTGATTATGTCATATTTATTCATGTTTATGTTCCTTTATAAGAGACGATTATGATTGATAAATAATAAAAATACAAGATATCAATAACCTCTGACCTATGCCTGTTAATATAATAATAGGGTTAATTCTAAGGTATCTGAGTCATATGAATTGCAATGATAAAAACTTAACGTTATCTTCAGTTGGCTAGAACCGTAGGATAAAATAAAAGGAATTACAAGAAAACCAAAATATTTTTTATCCAAATCAGTTGAATTTTCTGTTGAAGTTGAACCGCTTTTCATTTGGTACAAGTGTGACAGTATTGTGTGTTAAATTAATCGATAGATGGTGAGTCTTACTATTGTATATCGTAAAACGTGTCTCTTTAAAGATATTTAAAAAATAAATTGTAGATAAGTTTTTCAACAAATTGTTTTAAACGTAGGTACAGAAAATACCAATCAAGAATGTATAAATATACATTGAATTAATATATGATTTATTAGCACCGATATTATGAACCAGCATCTTAAATGTTTACAATTTGCATGCATAGCGCAAGTTTGAATCATCACACTACATAGGAAGCGTTTCCCGTCTTTAATTGAATAACCTACGTTGATGCTTTAATTTAAGAAGATTTATGAATAAAAAACGGTTAAAAGTTGGAGCATGACGATGCCACTTAACCTAAGGATACTGGTTTTCATTATTGTTTATTAGAACCGTACCTATTGAAAATCATTAATTATATAAAATATCAATAAGGAAGTCTAGTCTATTGAATTATAAGAGTATAAGAAAAATAAAAAGCATTCCTAACTGGCATAATTACGCTGAATATACTGAAGATGGACGTACTTCCTAGTTTAGGTATTTTTAAATGTAGTATTTCATTTTTAATTCGTTTTGATATATATTATGTTATTCATTATAACAAATATTCAAGTATTAATATTCTATAAAGTCATTTAAATGAATGAATGCCCTTAACCACGGTTGCTGCAAAGTAACTGAAACGTAATGAGTACATATTCAGTTTTTAAAAATAATAAAATATACGAAGTAATCCAAAAATATTAGTTTCATTTTTAAATGAATACTCTCGAAAGTATTAGATCTATCTCTCTATGAAATCATACTATCAATTATAATAAAGACAATTATTTTTTATAGTTTTTTTGAACTTTAGAACTGTTCTTAAATGTTTCATGAGTAAATATATGAAAATGATGCTCTGATGATAATTAATTTATATGTTTTTTGGGTCCTTTTTTTACTAATTTCTGGCTTTAAAACACTTCCTTTATCAGTACATTTTCTAATATAAATCACATTATATGAGATTTATTTCAAATTATAAATTCTAGGTCATTACCAAATAAAAAATATACCTTTTTTTACATTTAACCATATTGGTAAAATTCTCTTTAATTACAAAGTTCGACAGACCGTAAAAATGAATGTGATAAACGTTGCAAGTCCTACAATTATAAACTAAAAGGAATATATGGTTTTCTTGGCTAAGGTTAAGTTATAATATTATATAAAAACACAACCGGTTAAAAAATAATTTAAAATATAAGAATATATTTACTAATAATAACAAATTATATTATACTTAACGTAAGTATATTATGTTAAATTGTTCATAATGTGCTGCAACATATAACATATCTATAATGAATAAAATTAATAAATTGAAGTAACGGGTAATTTAACCAATTGGTTTATAAAGTGCTGATCATTGAGCGTATAAAAGGGTTTATAATTAACGTACCTGTTATTAAAAAAAACAGTATTAATAGAAACCTATTACCATATATGACCCTAACGAACCATTTTTTTTAATTTCCCTAAAGTCTTTGGTAACTTTTACTATTATCACCTGGAAAATTTGTCACTGTTGCAGTTTTCATTTATATTTATATGTTTAATTTAAGTTAATTTTATGTGGAATAAAAACTATGGATATTGCTTATAGTTCACGTATAAAGAATATTACTACGTATTTTTCTGATGATATTCTGCAGTACAAAATAAGCTTACTATTTTTAGGTTTTGCAATCAATTTAAATATTAATTATTAGGCTAAAGGTCGTTCTATTCAAGATCGTCCCCATTTGGAAAAACCACTTTTTTTTTAGTTTTCAATGTTATAACTTATAAGTTGCACTTTTATGGTAATTTATGGTTAGTTAATAGTTTATTTACGTAATCAGAGTAGTTAATCACCCACCACAACTAATGTTATGGTATAAACAAGACTTTAAAGATTTAAGAAGTAATAAAAATTAATATCGATATATACCGCTATAATTATGTTAATAAAAACTCAAATATAACTTAATAAATTAACAACATACATCTTTTCTTACTAAATTTTCTTTTGCAAAAAATTTAATTTATTTTAAAATACAAAATTCTGAAAGAAAAAATAACAAATTTTAGTTTTCAATTATATAAATTAAATTTGAAATTAATTTTAAAATAATGATATAACTCTATAAATGTTACTACTTTATATACATACTACTCTTATATACTTCGATAATTATAAGTATCAATTATTAATAGGAACTAGCCAGAACATAACCACATGAATAAATAAGTAGTTTTAAATGGAAGATATGGTACTCATAAAGTTCTTTGTCGCAATAGCTGAAACTGGCGACTTAAATGGAAAAAAACAAAAGAATGGGAAAAATATGAATGATTTAAAACATTTACCAGTTTAATATTAGTTTTACGTGTCTAAAATGCTGATTGACATTTTTAAACATACGAGTAAAAGTATACTTTTGATATTAGTTATTAATTACAAATTTAAAAATTACTTATAAGCCTCCACATAAATGTGTTACGATACAGAGTTCTACATAAATACATGATCTAGTTTATAAAACCGAGTATTGGTAAGAATATAGTTAAATAAAAAACATTTCATTCGCTTGTTAAAAATTGATTATGATTACATAATTAGTACGCTGACGACACTGAAAAATGAGAAGTCACTGAACTTGTAACAAACGACATAATAAAATCATAAAGCATGTTACTACTGTTCTTGAAATATTCGTACGCTTTCTACATTTGCAAAATTAAGAAAATTACAAACATGTGTTTTCGCTCATACAAATCGACCTAATATTCAATTTATACTTTAGTAAACATTTTTCTCGTCACGGTGTGTCATTTGTATTTATCATTGTTAATTACGAATTAATTTGTGCTGCAATGCAAAAAAATTGTCATGATCTGTTATTTAAACTTATACAACGAGTGATAATTATTATTTGTGACAAAGAGTTATGAAAAACATGTAATCGTTTGTGAGAAATCAAATGTAGAATGTTTATTGTAGTTTGGTTAGCAAGGGTGGTTGCTGTCTAAGGCGTTGAAGGTCAATTGAATATTTTATATAAAGGACCTCAGGCCCAGACGTGTTAGTGTTCTAGCGAGTGATAGTGATGATAGTGCTATGTTTAGTGATGGCCGTCGGGGCGACTGCTCTCGACTTAACCGGTAAGGTATTAGACCTGTTTAAAGGAATCCTTTATAATTTCCAATTTCATTTAATTTTTTTTTTTAATAACTTATTAGTTAAAAGAAATAAAATAAAAATAGTGGTACATATATATATTTATACATAATTTCTAGGTATATTCTTAAATTTTTAGAGCAATTTGTCGTGATTTCAGAACAATGCTGTGGTTATTATACATATATGTAACATGAAAAAATGTCTTGGTTCTTTTATTCAAACGACAATTTTTAATAAAATACAAAGTGCTCAATAGCACAGTTGTGAATAGATAAAGAAGTAGAGCTAAATTAGGAAAAAATGCCCATTCGAGATAAAATACTTAGAATGCAATGCTATAAAACAAAAACAACATAATATCATTTTATTTATATTATTTATTTTTCATTTAAATTACTACGTAATTGAATCAGATAAATTCGTTTTATTTCATAACTCAAAATAAAAATTAATCATTTTTGAAAAATATTCCCTTGCTGATTTCAATAATTACATATTTTTTATCTACATATATTAAACATTTGTTTGGTTTTTTAAAAATAATTATCTGAAACAGAACTAGCAGTTGTCGTATAAGATAATTAATTAATTATTGAACAATGAGATTATTGTACACATAATAACTGTTTGACGTCACGGATGCAATCTTTGTTCCATTATTCAATACATCTGTAATTTCCGCGAGTTGCAAAACTCGAAGACCGCACTTTGCATATTCGAAGAATCTCGTTTCATGCTATTTATTCTTGAAAGAATGCTTGCGGTTGTCTTCTTAGTGGAATCGACATTCCAAGCAGTGCTCATTACGTATTTGATACAAAAAATCTTAAATCTTTAAAATAAACGTATTAGCAATTAAATTGTTACATTGTCGATGCAAATTGTCCTCAGCCCACGCATACTAGGTAATTAACTAATTATAAGATTTATTCATTAAATCTACGATTAATATGTACAAATTTAATGAAAAAGATATGACAAAAGTCTGCAAATAATTTGTAATTAAACTTAAATCACTACAATACTATATTTGTAAGGAATTTGTGAATAGTTTTTTAACGAAATTATAATAAGATAGACTACCACAAGAATATATTGATTTTTAACAAGTACAAAATCGAATTACATATCACACTAAAAAAGAAAGTATTCTATTGCGTAAGTTTATTAATAAACAAAAGTAAGTTTATTAACTCATATAATCTAAGAAATTAATGGAATATTGTTTACATTGTATAAAAACATATTTCGTCACCGACTCCTATTTATCAATGGAAATTACCAATTCCATGGAAACTTACCTACATGTGATACTAACTCTTATACAATCATAAATAGAGATTTAAATTGAACAATAATAAAAAATGTAACAGAGTATAAGGATATAAATGAATAATGTCGTAAAGTAAAATGGAAACAGAGAGAGCACCTAGTCTCAGGGGCTTAGTATAAATCATCAAAGGAACAAGCTTTTGTCTTAAATATCAAGCTTGAATAATGAAATATATTATTTAAAAATATATAACAATAAAAGAAATACGCTGATTTCTTTATTTCAAATATCCCTATATACAAAACATTAAATAATATACGTGTCAAACCAATATACCCTTATTTTATCCGATACCAGGATCCAAAGAGCTAAATCAGTAGGTATAATAAAAATACTTCACACCATACTGGCATTGCAAAATTTTAATGGTTATTAGATAAAAAAAACTATGTAATTACTAATTAGTAAAGAAATACCTCTTTGCTTTTAAACTATATACCATATCTGAACCAGTTCTGTCGCAATCAAGTAACAAGTTCATTGTTACTACTAACTATTAACAAGTTTATCTTGGAAAAAGCAGCCTGTACTAAATCCAAGGTTTTTCTTAGAATAAACACTTTATTATTAGATTTTAATAAATGCTGAAGTGCAATAAAAGTAATATACCTAACTTCAAATCGTTATTTATCTAACAGTAACTGTGCGGATCTAAAATGTTTTCTGATATATTATAACTCACTTAAATTTTACGTTAAATTTTTACATTAGTCAATTAATAGAATTAAATAATATTAAACGCGATAAAGATTTAGGATTTATATGATAAGGCGTCTTATTATATTTTATAATTTTTAAATCTTTTTATTCTGTGATCCGTCACAGTATATCTGTTTGTAAACACCGATAAGATTTAAATTTATTAAATTTAATATTAATTACATAAAATTTAATTAAATTAAATTTTAATTCAAGAATATTTTCCACCATGAACGCAACTCTCTATAAATATTTCCATGATCCCATAAAATTCCATGGTTCAGAGACATTTATAAATTAAACTGTATCGATTGAAGAATTTATGTAGTCGTTTTAAACTTATTTCATTTAAAATCCACTATTTTTTACACATACATAAAGAAAATACCGTTTAAAAAACATTATATCACGGAAGATACTTAAATCAGAATAAAAATAGTCTACTGGATTTAACATCATATGCACATATTACCATAAAACCATCTAAACCTAGAATTGTTACAAGAAAATGTAAATGAAAAATAATGATAGGGCATAGATCACATTTATTATTTTCGTTATTGATAGAACATTATTATAGTCTTAGAAAATCGTATAACAACCTAATCATTTCAGAGGAGCAATACTATAAATTGCCGCAGCTATTCGAATTGGACAACTACGATCAATGCTTGTCTCAACATGGGACCTTCTGCCTCGGTTCCTTCCACCTACATTCCTCTCGAACCAATCAGCTGCTTCGCTTGCTTCAGGTTTGAAAGAAAATAGTAATTCATAGTAAAAGTTGCTATATCACCTACCTTAAAAAGTTTCTCCTTAAACTGTTTATCGTAAACCCATAATAATTTTACATAATATATTCAGAGATTCAGTGATCAGAATTAAGCTATTAAGAGCCTTATTGGTCTATTATAAAATGAACAAAAAATAAACATAAACAAAAATTTTAAGCGTAATTTTATCCATTGGAAAACTACGCTAAATCATATAATTATTCTTAAGAATATCAAAACAATAGATTGTCTATTTAACTGCATTTTTTAAAGTCCGTTACCTAATAATTTTCCTGTAAATGGACAATTGGTTATTATAATCTAGGTTTCCATAAACTTTTGACATAATATTGTTTCTTGAGTAGATTTAAAAACTAAGTTAGAATATCGAAATAACGAAAACTGTATACGCAAGGTAGCAGAAAAGAGCGGATATGTGTGAAATAAATTCTCTTAAAACGCTTCATGTTATTCATACATTCTTATTGAATTTATTTACATTGTATACTAATTTTAATTTTATTCATGAATGATGGGTTTTATAAAGGAAACATCAGCTGAGACACATCGATTCAACCACAAGGTTATCCACCGAGGTTATTGTCTTAAAAGCACGTGTGCCCATATTCTGGGCGTGTCCCATCCACAAATCTTCAAGGACTGTGTTCACAATATAACTAAACTCAAATATGATCTTGGGGCTGATCTTATCCATCTGGAGTACTGTAAATCCGAGGAGACATCGAAACCTATAGATAATCTGGATATTATAATTGCTTCTGTTCTTACGCTAATACTATTAGCAAATATCATTGGCACAGCCTATGACTTCTTTCGAGACTCGAATAGCAAACGTAAGGTTTTTTAATTTCTTTATAAATTGTCGTTAAGTTTAACAAACTCGTCTTAATTTAGTTACCGATCCTCTTACCCACTAATTATTGAATATTGTATAAAAGGTTTAATTCTTTTAGCCAACCGTTATCTGATGACATTCTCATTTTTTGCAAATTGGAACAGGCTGACAGCCACTTACGAGAAGGAAGACCAGAGACGCTCTGCACTTAGCCCAATACATGGAATGAAGTCAGTTCAGCCTTTTAAATTTCGAATCAGTATATGTTTTTTTTTATTTTCTAAATTTCCTATTACAATTTCTTTAATAGTGTTTTCTATGTAACGTTTATTCAAATTTCTTTTTTCAGGGTGTTGACTCTAATGGCAGTTGTGTTAGCGCATTCTATAATGGCCTATCATATGACATATCTTTATAACCCATCGTTTTTTGAAAAGGTATATTTAAAAATATAGAAGTATGTAGACATTTCAGAGTATGCAATTAAAATATCTTTTCCTAGGCCAATCTCCATCCACTATCGGCGATATTCAACAACGGCACGGCGACTGTACAAACATTCATTCTCTTCTCAACATTCCTACTGGCTCACAACTTGTTGCTCTTACTAGAACGTGAGAAAGAAAAGAAATTGAATTTTAGTTTCTGGTGCAAGATAATTCTTCATCGGCTAATCAGGTAAAGAACTGAAAATAAATTAAATAATAAAAGTGTTTCTGTTTTTCATAAAATATATGCCTGAAGTCCCTAATTTGCATATTATTTAAATTCCATTACGAACTTTTCGTTTTTCAAAGATTTTTAATAAATATATGTATCTAAAATTACAACTATATGGCTAAGAGTATGTCTATCACACTCACCAGTGGTGAACCATAAGGTTTTCTGTCTATATTATAAGGACCCTGTTAACAAAAAAACTCCACAGAATCAGTCCAACCTATCTAGTCGTGTTGGGTATAACAGCTACATGGCGTTTTCATTTCGGCAACGGTCCATTGTGGTGGTTAGCAGAAAACGAGGCAGAGAAGTGTCGACGCTCTGGCTGGACTAATGCACTGTACATCAACAACTTTTTGCGGTTTGATGACTCTTGCCTCATACAGAGCTGGTGAGCTGTTTTAGTTTAATAGAAGACTTTTTAATTTAGATCCTCAAATGAGTTTGAATTTTTTAAATAATAATTCTGTTATTTACGGTGAACAAATAAAATACAGAAATTTATTTGATGCAAATTATTTTATCCCCCAAAGGATGTTCTGCAGATAATTTAATATGGTCCGATAATAACTTGTATGTGTACTTGTTACTTGTTGTTAATAAACAATGACATTTCTCTAGTTTTAGTTTTCTCTAATTAAACGTTATATCATTATATTAAAAAGAAAAATACGACATTTTACATTATTTAATTGACTGCTTGAGATCTGCCTATTTTGTTCCTTAAATAAAGTGTTTTAATAACTACTAAAAGTATTAAACAACTTTTGGCACAAACAAAGGTCATGTTTGCTCAATTTGACACATTTAAAGTTTTATTAGTTAAACCCAATACCTATTTGTGACAATCATATTTATATTTGTGTACATATTTCAGGTTCTTGGCAGTAGATATGCAGCTGTATGTAATATCATCGCTGTTGCTACTATTTCTCGCCCGGAGGCCGCGAACAGCCATCAGTGTTTTAGGAGGACTGTTCGTTATATCTGTTATTGGCAACTTTTTAGCGTCTTACTACTTAGATCTCAAGACACTCGTTTACATAGCTCATCCTGAGTGAGTATTTAAAAATTAATCACTATGAATACAAGTTATCGCAACGGTAACACTCTTTTCCACATATATGTATAAAAAGAACAATCATTCCTAATCTAGAATTGTATAGATCCTTATTTAATTTTATCCCTTCTAGATACATCCGTATTCAATACAGCGGAGTCATTTCTTTCTGGCGTCAATATGCTGCACCGAGCTCGTCAGCACCAGCAGCACTGCTGGGTCTACTGCTGGCTTTCCTCTATCACCTTCTGAAGGAAAATAATTTCGACGCCAGTACTAACACGGTGTGTAGATAAACGCCTTAATTTTAATGACCTATGTATATTTATAAAAAGTTTTTTAGCACTGCTATTTTTTTACTTTAAACAATTTATTTGGAATAAGAAGTTTTGAATCACATTTACAAAAAATTTTCACTTGCATAAATCTCGGAGTAGTAGAGATTAAAGGTTATACTATTGCTAACTATAAAAATAATTTCATAGTATAATGAATCGTTTTTAAAATTGTTACCAGAACTTACTTCTTTAAACTGTTTACATCCAATCAATTGACAGTAATTTAACATAAATTTTCTCTTTACTGTTTTAAAAAATATTAATAATGTCTTTGTTAACTTGTATCAGCCTCTTCTCATTCTATACCGTCTGTCGGTTCCATCCATGCTGGCATGGATCCTAAGCGGCCACCTTCTCAAGGATGCCACATCACCAGTAATTGTTTCACTCTACACAGCCCTTGATCGACCAGTGTTCACAATACTAGTTACTGTGGCTAGCATTGGTTTCTTCTTCAAAATAGATAGTGAGTTCAAACCAGACCATGTTATTAAGCTTTAGCTATACACATTTTCTAAAAAAAGTACCTATTAATAAGATTCCTTTGAATACTCTCTACTAAATTAAACCACTATACAATCAAATCAAAGTTATAAGGATTATTATATTCAAACGTCAATAATAATATTTATGTGTATTCTTATATTTGTATGGTTTAAACAATATTCCTATGAATACATTTTTAAAATTATAATAGTAAAATTAATTATAGTCAGGCATTTATTGTTAAATAAGAAGACTATTGCAATGTTCTTAATAATATAAATAAAGACTAACAGAATAAATATTTGTATCAGAAATATGGTGGCAGTTTCTGTCATGGCGTGGTTGGCATCCTCTGTCCCGCATGTCACTATGTGTACTTCTGACACACTGGGACCTAAGTCTGGCGCTAATCGCACTACGCACCACCCTATCACAGGCTTCTGTACTAGAGATTGTTAGTACCAGTTTATATTATTTAGTTTACTATTTAAATCATTGATTTGTGGAAAAATCTCTTAATTTATCTCTTATCCACTTGTAATATATCATTAAATTATAAATGATACTCTTACTATTGATAATTACTATTTCTACTGGATGATGTCTCATTGCTATAATTATTTATTTACTACTGAAAATAAAAGACAAAGTTTTATTTAAAATTTAATTCTTTTACCAATTTTATTTACAGGGTTGCCACTGGCTGGGGTCATTATTTCTTACATATTGTGTCTCTGTGCCTCTACATCTCATGGTTGAACTTCCAATGCAAAAATTCTTGCAGGCTGTATTTTTGTGAAAATTATTAATATAGTACAACTACATCAATTAGATTACATGTTTTTGATAACAAATTATGCAATACAAATTACTACAATATTAAACATTGATATTAGTTTTTATAACAAACTGTGATATTTTAATTAAGTATTTGTAAACATATAGTAAACCAATTGAAAAAAATATCCTTGTGTTATTCCAACCAGTCCAATTCTTAAAAGAAATTCATTTAAAATAATATTCACAAGTATGCCCAAAACACTAACTAGTAACTTAAATAAATTCTGCCAGAACACATTTCCAAGTAAAAATCAATTAAATATAATGGCAACAATGATATCCTATTAGAATGTCATTTTCTAAATGGGGAATAAATAATCAAAATAATTAAATTATCAAAAATTTAAAAAAGCAGAGGGTTTGAGTAAAAAATATATGAATAAGTAGTTTTAAGAGCAATAGCATCTTTTTTTTTGTGCGCACTGGGAAAAAATGCTTTACGCATCCCCTTTCCATCAAGGGACGGAGAGGGGTATGTGGGACTCCTCGGGAAAAAGATTCCCGGTATACCCACTAAAAGAACCCAGTGGCGCTCCGACCTCGCCTGACTGACAGGGGGCTGGGAATCCGGTTGCATCCAGCCCCCCGCCGGCGATTGCCCCCCTTGTGGGGGAGGGCTCTGTTGTGGCCGGAGCGCACGGCCATCTGTGGCCGTCGCAGGGGCGGGTGAAAGCGGACGCTGTGTGCGCCGCCTTCCGCCCCTCCTTCTTCTGCGGAGCTCTGGCGCGGAGGGATCGTCCTCGTGCTCTCGCTCCGCCGCCTCCTTCTGTGACATTACGTCTTCGCAGAAGGAGGCTACCGCAGTCCACGCCTCCTCGCTCCCTAGCATTGCGATGATCAGACCAGGGAGCGAGAGGTCGTTTCCGACAGCTGCCACCAGTGCTTGGCGGGGCTCGGCCCACGATGGACACACATCAAGAGTGTGCTCTGCCGTGTCCTTCGCAGCTCCACACTGGTGGCACGACGGGGACTCCTCCCTCCTGGGGACGGGCCCAATCCCGTCCAGCGTCCTTCGACCGAACGTTGCAGTAGCGAGGTCCTCTGTCCAGTGTTGGACGACCGCGTCCCTCGCCTCCTCACAAACGGCCTGCCGTTCTGCCCCGTCGGGGCGTTGGCCTAGCTGCCTTTGCTCCGCCGTCCACTCGTAGAGTCTGACGAGCACCCACGCCTCGAGCTCCCAAGGAGGGGTCCCCGCCAGAACACACGCCGCCGCGAAGCTTACCGTGCGGTAAGCCTTCACCACCCGCTGCGCAATGGCCCTTTGGGACCTCCGGAGGGTAGCTGCGTTTTCCCTCCTATGGAGGGAGTCCGCTCAGATTGGGGCCCCGTAAAGGGCCATACTTTTCAGTATGCCGGCATATAATCGCCGACATCGATTCCGGCAGTTGGCGTTGCCGAGACCTGTGAAAGAAGACGGCCTCTGTCTTGGACAACGCCACCGTCAGCCCCAAACGGGAGATCCTGTCAGCGACCAAGGATCCTCCCGCCGAGGCCAGGCTGGCCGCCGACTCGAATTTTCTCCCCCGAGCAATCAGGAGGGTGCTTGACGTGGTCAGACGTACTTCGGGGGAGGTTTCCTCGCAGGAGCCAATCGAATCCGATGTTCCATAGAAGCGGTCCTAGAACAGAACCCTGTGAGATGCCGGACTCGACGCTGTACCGCCGCAGTCGGCCCGCCCTATTTGCGACGAGTAACCGCGTCTCGTTGGACGTAGTGCGCTGCGAAAGTTCCTTAACGATGCCGATTAGGCTGGCTGCCAGACATTTAAGAGCCTTCTGGAAGGTCCCCTTTAGATTTGAGGACTTGGAGGCGACCTCAAGAATCTCCCCCTGGTCCTCGAGAGCCATGCGCTCCATCTCCTCTACGGAGTGGTCCGCACAGCGGACGGTAGCTGCGCCGTAGCCGGCCTTGGCTCTGGTCGTCCGCGCGAGCTTCTCCTTAGAGGCAACCATTTCCTCCAGATCCGCCTCTACTATGGCCCGTTTTGCGGGTTTCCTGATAGTGTCGGGAGATCCCCCGGACTTCTGTCGCAGGAATCGCTTCCTGGACTCAGGGCGAATCGAACCACAGTCCGACACGCTCATGATGGACTCGGTGTCCGAGTAGTTCGTCCCTTGATCCACACAATGAAGGCTTGCCGACGAAGGTGCGCGGCTAGCTTCAGACTCTGAATGGCCCTGAGAAAGACCTTTGGGTTGGCCCTGAGAAGGGCCTTGGGGTTGGCCCTGAGAAGGGCCTTCTGGGAGGCACCGTCTGGAGGCGCCCCTGGGTTGTTTGGAACTCATGTTCTCAAAACACAGATCACGATCAATAGTCGCGAAGGATCACCAACCACGGGCCACTGCGTTACCGCGCACCAAGTGGGATAGGATACCTTTCGATTTCGAAGCACAGACAATTTTAAAGCTTCGAAGCACAGTGTTCGTTAGCCGCCGGCCTGCCACTCCGTTACGGTGGTCAGGCGCGACGTTGCCCAGGGATCACTACGAGGAAGTCAACACTGTGGGGGGACCCCCAGCAATAGCATCTGGTCAACTAAATACAATATTATTATAACATAGACAATATTTGAAATTATTTTGTTTAATTTTATTACAAAATCATACATTTATACCAAAATGAAAACCAAAACAATTAATATTAATAATAATTTAATTAAATTCTTTGATTTCTAAGAAACCTTTTTGCTCTATTATAAAATATTAATTGTATTGATTAGATTTTATTGATCTTTATTGTACAGAATTGGAGTAGTACAGAAGTTTAAAGAACTTCTTAAGTAACATTTCAATGAAAACGTTTCTGTTATATTTGTTGCTTCAAAATATGTACCAGGGGTTCGTGAAACGAAATACATGTGAATTAACAAATCATTTAAATGAGTTAAATCTTTCTCGAATAGTAACCAGAATTTAAACAAAACCATTGTGTGATTCAATGTGTTTTACTTCATAGTATGATTTAATTCACACTGAAATTGTGGTATAATTAGCCAATGTCAACATTTTAATTTTTTGAAAAAATTATAATTTTGAATACTGTTTGCAGAAAACATGAAAGGGTTTGTCAAATGGTATAAAGGCTGTTTTTAAAAGACTAATTATATTTTTAGCACCACCTAGACTTACAAACAATACATGAATGTAATGTTAGCAACTGTGTTGATTTTTAAAAGGAACTTGTGTTTTGTTCTTCTTCTTCCTGGCAATTTCCCAGCTTTAGACAGGTTCTGCCTTCCTACTTAAACTTCTCCACTTTGCACGGTCTTTGGCATCCTCGGTGGTTAGTCCGTTGGCTCTCATGTCCTGCTTCACGGTGTCCAGCCATCGCTTCTTAGGGTGTCCTGGGGGTCTTGCTCCAGGAACAGACATATTAAGGCAAATTCTTCCGACGTAGTTCTCAGGAATTATATGGAAGAACTTCGTATGAGATATAAGTTGTTTTTGTACAAGAAGACGTAAGGAATTTATTCCTCATCCAACGACAGTCACACAATGAGAGATCTGTTATTCTAGCTTTAGAGTTTACCATACTGGAGCACTAGCATGGCCAATCTTTAAACGACATATTGTGGATGTTATTGAGCGAGCAGCTTTTTTGTAAAGGAAATACCAATGATTATAAGAAATATTTGATTGAGATTTAATATTTTGGTTGTCTTTGTTATGTCACTTTGACACATGTTATTTCGTCTATGTCATATGAATGAAAAAACTCTGGAGCAAAAATTATGCAAAGTTGTAACAGACAACAGTTACACTCTTCTCAAGTCTACATTTTATTTTATATCATTTATATGTTATAATCTTGGTATCACAACTAAGCTATTTTCTATATTGTCTGCCTAAAGAAAGATGATGAAAAATTTGGCACTTTTAATAAAAATTAAAAAAACTAATATACTAATTATTATTAACTAAGTTAGGGAACTCTTTCTCTCAAGTTTTTGCTTTCATATAATATATTGCTTTGCTTTTGAAATACTTTGCGACATGTTATTGAATTTTTATAAGGACAAAAATGGAGTTATTGAAAAATATATCAATGTTTTAATACCCCAAATACTTCGATTGATAATTTCAAACCAAGGTTAGATAAAATTAAATTCACTGCATGCAACAAATGGAATTACCAATGACATATTTCTTTTTGTGGTTTGCTCTTTTATCAAATAATCTTCTAATCAACACTAAATTGATAAGCTAATACAAAGGAAAATCTTTGTACCAGATAATTTTTATCATAACAACAATATTATCACAGAAAGTAAGTATAATTTTCACATGAAATTTATTAGCATAATATTTATCGACTGCTAAGAAAAGTTAACCTGAATTAAATCACGATATTATGCCAAAAAATAATTCATAGATACCACGATAATAATACTTGTTACTTATATATTTAGGCGTCAATAATAGTAAGATAAATAAGTTAAAGAATTTAGAATTTTTAGAATTCATGTATATTATACAGGTAATACATTTCCTGTCAACAGTCACAAATTGACAGTGACAGTATACGCTAAACTTAAAATTACATTTTATCTGTGACTGCATGCTGATTGTACGAGTAGGAGCTGTTTTTTATTTAGAATCCACGTAAAGTCTTTAAACAGCTGTGCTGTGTAGACTCGATAAGATACGATGGGAAACAATAATTCACACGGAAAGAGTGAGATAAAAGACGGTAGTGGCATGAGCACTCCTAGGGGTTCAACCCGAAGCACGAGATCGGGGTCCAACGGAGAAGTGCAAGATCAGCCAGAAAAGTCTGAACAACAGACAACCTCCTTAGTTCCCGTTGAAAAACTTGGCAAGGTGAGGTAGTATATTTCGCATATTTTGTGTAAACTAAGTTATTCCGAACCTGCATTGAAGAAGTCGTCCGTAAAATTTGCTCCGCCATACTATTTGCTTTGCTTGGCCTTGAATAGTGATTACAGATGTCGTTAACGTAAGTGATAAGAAATATAAATATTTGATTTAAGAAAATTGTTTGAGCTGTAGTTTTCCAAAAAGTTTTGATATAAGTGTAAAAATGATAATTTTGATAACAATTCTAAGAATAAGTCTTTAGATCAGTAAATAAAAATAGTAATCTCACTACATTGATAATTAGAGGAATGACTCACTTTTCCAGTATTTATGAATAGAGATTCAAATTTTTTAGTACTAACTGATACTGTTTAATAAATGTTCTAGTGTATGTGTATGTTTCCATGCTTAAGACTCCTTTTTATTTACAACCTTGTTTGAAATATTTAAGGAAAACGATTGATTATATACATACACATTAATTATTATTCATGTCTGTTAGACCATATATGTGTTGAGGAAGGTTATGTTTTGCTATATCATTGTCACTTAACTTGCTATATTTTAAACCTTGTTATGACTTCTATGAAAAAAAAAAAAATATTATTATTATGACAAGCCAAAAAAAAGTAATATTGAACTATAAAAATGGATAAATAAATTAAATATTGTTGTGTATATATGCCTTTCATATAATTTATTTATTCAAAATGATACAGTTTTTAATATTTTTGTTGATTCAAATCTATTTCTATAATTTTCCGAAATTAACATTTCTTAATAGAACTTCAATTAATTTTGTGATCTGCTAAGTAATTTGCACATGCCAAAGTGTTTTTATTCTATGAAGGTTGACCATATCTGAATTTTGATGTTAGTGGTTTCAATTTAGAACTGCAAATAATACAGAGAGCAACGAAATTTTAACTGAATATCAAGTACAGGTCATATTGACTTACCTTATTTTATGCATGTTTCAAAACCATGTATTTACTTATTAAAATTATTTGAATTTTCTTGTTTCTTTAATATTTTTTTTACAATTTGAGACTTTAAAGTATATTTATATATACAATAACATATTAGTCTATATTTGGTAACAAACATGCTGCATGATAATCATTCCTTACAATGTTTACTAAGATTTGCATCTCAATTCCCTACAATAATTCCAACAATGCAAGACAAAATCATTGTATCTAACAAATAAATAGTGGTTTGCTAAGACAATTTATAGATAGTTAGTCCATAGTAATGGGTATTCATTTAATTCATTCAATTTCACCTTATGCTTAACCGATGTAAACATAAAGTATATTTTAGTATGCCTTCTTATTTGGCAACTTAATATTATTTTTTGACCATGACAATTATTAAAACAAACAAAAATTATCAGTTGTATAAAGTAACTTTTGTTTATAGTCTGGAGTCACATGACAGAATAAATTGTCACTAATACTTCATTGGCATAATATATTGTTTCAATACAATATACATTTACTATATCCTGACCCGTGCAGTTGCCAGCACAAGTTCTTGAATTGTATATGGTTGAAATATTTGACATATGCTTTATTTATAATTTAATAAATACCTTTAAAGGGTATCTTTTTGTTCCATGAAAACTTATTATTGGAAAACAGCAATGATATTTTACAAGTTGTAAAATATCTGATTGTCTGTTTTTATAAAATAGTAAAAATAAAAAATTTTAATAATAAGATTCTATTTCAAGGGCTTAATTCCTTTTAAATAAATTCTAAACCGTCTCAAGAATTGTATTGACGGTATAAGTTAAAAAAAACTATTGCAAATATATCTAGAATATCTATCACCTTAAATTTCATGATGTGTGTTTTTGTGCTATTTAACTATAAAATTATAACATGTATACCTTAAAATACAAAATAGAAATTTCATTAAGGTATTACATAACTATTTAAGTATGTAATGAAAATTCCACAAAACGATTGCTTTATTTCTTTTATTGCTTCACCAATTAAGTGGTTAAAATCATAAATGGAAATCCCATAATTTAATACCATTTAAAAACGATTCATTGAACATTATATAAGAACACTATCTCATAAACAGTCGGTGACAATCTTATCCAAAATATGACGATAAATCACTGGTTATGAATCACATAGTAAATGTGTTGTGGCATCGTAAAGCAAACGTGTGTATATTGATTATGGACAGATTTGTTGATTTGTTAGTAAAAGATTTGCGCTTTACTATCGTCGGTCTAAAAGAAAGACGAAAAGTTAAGAAAGTTCTGAGAATTGATTACAAGGTGAGAGAATGAATTATAAACGTTCACTAAAAATTAGAAGTTATTTTAGACTTCTATTAAATTGTTTTGTTACAAACAGTTGAGATGTTTCGAAACTTTCGACTGTTTTGATATTATACAAAAATATTTCTTGTTATGATATATCTATTATATTTTCACCCGTCCGTTAATACCTACTTGAATTGAAAAGTCTCTGGTGACTTATTTTAGGTTTTCAATCTGGTTTTGAAGGCTAGTTTATTGAGTGAAAATAAAATTATAAAAACTCTTAAATCAAATACAAATTAATTTCGAAAAAACACAATGATAGAAATGTCAGATTTGTTTTATATATTCGGCTTATTTATTTACACACCTTTTCTTATTTGACTTATATATTATAATTTGCTCTCCAAAATCGCCTTTTCTCGTTTGATATTGAAATTAGATAATTACTTCCGAAACTTACACTGACCCCTTAAAATCCCCGTTGTAAATACTACCAAACTAAGTAAAAAAGAAGTATAGATTACATAGAGCCAAATTTTATATATATATACTATATCGACTAATAATACTAAATTGAATTCATTTTGTTGAAATTAATAAATCTTAAAAGTATATTATTACTACCGTCGGAAATAAACTGAGATGTCTTGCTCTATCAATCAATAGGTACTTAAGGAAAATAATAAAATGCGGAAGCAAAATATTACGTTTTCCATTTATTAGACGATAAATATTCGTCAACATTAAACGATACCGATATGTTCAGAAGAGAGTCCAAGATAAACAAGAACTGTTTGGTTATTTTTTAATAATTATATAACTAAATGGCTTTCTGTACTTATTACGTATTCTTGATACTAGTGACAATAATTTATTATTAATTTAAATTTAAAGGGAAGCTCATATTTTATAATTTAAGTCAAAATGCAATAGTCACTGAATAAAATTGGTGACTTTTTTATGCTTTAGTCATACTTAAAACCGTCTATTATTTATTAAAGATGGCATTCCACTGTCCACTGAATATATTGTTATATTTATATGAAATCGTTGATAAATAATGATACAATATATATCAAATTAATAAAAAACAATAACTTACATACATGTAGAAGTTGCGTGTTTTATAAATTATTAATATTAAAATATATTTCACGGTCATCTTTCAGTTTTTGTCGGATTCATCGATCATGATTATTTTTCATTTGATAATAATTAGCCCGTCACTTATACTAATCGGTCAAGTTTGTAATGAAACCTTTGTTAGAGAATGTATGAAGCAAATATGATTTACAACATCGTTTTATCATAGATATAAGCTTCAATTCTTTTATTAATATTAAACAAAAAAAACGCTAATTACTTTGGGCAATTTCAATTCTTTTGGAAAATTTGGTCGAGTGTCATCGTTATACGCGATGTTGTTTAGAAAATGTATAATTGTATATTCATAAAAAACTTCGTTGTGTCATGAGTTAATATAGTAATAATAAATAGTTTATACATAAATATAACATTATAATTATTATAATACACTTGATTATATATTTTTTAAAAGTAAAATCATATTTAAACAATCTAATCAACATGAATGTCAATTCCATAAAACAAAATGCAATTTTTTGTGTATATTGTTGACGTTAATAAAAAAACGACTGTCCACGCAATATTTACTTTACTTTTATTATTTTTCTTTTCGCTAGCATTAAAAACTTCCCATATACCTTAAGGGATACAAAAAAATAAATTAGCCGTATTGATCGAGCCATTTTCAAGTTACGCCCTTAAACACATCCATTTTATTCATATGGATTTTTTAATAACGTTTTAACTGGGTCTACAGCAATTCAGTTTCTAATTTATTAAAACAAAAAGCTTTTGAAGATATTCTTGTTTACACATTTGCATAAGAAGATCGATACTCAAGAAAATTTATATGTCGATGGCGGTAGATAACAAACAAGACTATAAAGTGACCGACACTTTAACTCGTCTAGCATTGAGGCCTGAACACGTTTTCCAGTAAATAACCTAAAGATAGGGTTAGTTAAAATTAAAATATGTAAACAAATACTTGGATTTTATCCTCGGATAATTTTATTTATTCCAAAAGTTGTTTATCTCTAAATAAACTTGATAGTTGACGTAAAATATCAAAGCAAATCCGTGATTTTAGCAAAGAAAATAATACGGAAACAAACAAGAGTATGCAACTTATGCAATCTATATCATTGATATTTATTGTCTTTATTTATGAAGTGCTTTATATCGAGTAATACCGATGATTGTAATTTACGATGTCTAATTAAGTCGTCCTTGTATCGTATAGTACCTATACTAATAGAATGCAGTCTGGCAGTCGAAAACTTATCCGGGGAAAGAAATTTCGTGATAATTGTTAATTAATTATCACGTAATATGGTAATTAATTAATAATGAACAATTATAAAACTGATATATAAAGTGATTTATTAACACGTTTCCCTATATGTTAAATCACGAAAACATTAATTCAAGTCAATGAAATGTATAACTCAGTACATTTTCCCGAACATAATTATTTATGCAATTAATGCTTTTAAATTATTAATCTTAAATGTCTCGTTTTATGAATGCTGGCCAGTTTTAAATTACACATATGTAAGCTATAACTATAAAAATATAAGTTCTTAAACGTATTATGAATTCTCCTAATGAGTTACTTCAATCAAAGCAATGTGAGGATGTTTTTTAAAAATTTTCTTTTATCTTCAGCTCCTTGCGCATCGATCGCAGAAGGAAGATGGAGTCAATGGTGTTACGGAAAAATCTTTTACCGTAAGTTTTTACAAAATTGCAGTATATTTACTTTATTTTTTTCAAATACTATACAGGGTGACTGGTGAATTACTATCAATATTTAAGGAGAATACTCGGTACATGATTCTCATTCGAATTATGTAAAAAAAATAGGCACTTAATTTTTGACAAAATTTCCGTATAAATAAATAAAGTGTTGACACGTTCCAAGTGTTCCAAGTGTGGACGCGTGCGGCGGCGTGCTGATACAACACCACGCCGCTGCACGCGTATGTGTGTGTGTGTGTGTATACCTAATCTGTAGGGTGTTCACACGATGCGTAATTAATTACAAAACTTTTGGTTAACTTTACTTAGAAGTTTATTAATATTTATGTTATATTAATTTTTATTTTGTCATATATGATCGTCAAATATCACGTCCTCAAGTATCGATAGTAATTCACCAGTCACCCTGTATATTTATCTATTTTTTTTAACAACTACCTGAAATCCGCGACACATACGGAATAAAAAGTATCCTAGTCACTTCTTATTACATCGGCTATCTGCCAACAAAAATCTCATCAAAATCAGTCCAGCCATTGTAGAGATAAGCCGGAACAAAGAGACAAAAATTTAAAAATAAAATGTTATTTTGGTGTATGTACTGTATAATATACATATACATATTTATATGCTTGTAGTAAAAAAGTTATATCAACATTATAAACGAACACTCAAATTTTATGTGTATGTATCAATATTATAATATAATTTTTTAGAAAATTTTGCTGTGGTATGGACATAAAAGAACGAGTAAAATCTCTAATCTTAGTCTGTATGATCACACTATAGACGGAGAGTCTCTCATTTCTCGTTCAATAACTTATGCTAATACTTTAATGTACGAAAATTCCGAATAAAAAATAATTCACTATTCAGTGTGATGTTGCGAACTTAGGAAAACTATAGTCAGTTTACTAATATCGATATAACGAAAAGATGTTTGGGAGAAATACAAATTGTTTTACTGTGAAGTTTACATAGTAAGTCCGTCTAAACGAGGGCGTCATCATCGCATACCGCTGACTTAGCACTCAGAGCCGTTCCAGGGCGCTTATTCTAAAGAATTATACACGATACCTTTATCAGTGGCCGCCTTTCTTAGAATTAGAATAAGCACGCTTTGTTGTAAGAAAAAGCCCTCTTGGGTTGCATCAATATTTATATTTTAACATTGTATTAATATTAAGCTAAATCTGCAATTGGCAGTCTAAGCAATTTGTTCTCAAATTAAATAACCTTGAACTTGACTACTTGTTATTTGTTTCCTATTTTGTTATAAATCCTTTGTTAGCAGATATCGTTTTATGTAAAAATATTCCAGCCCTTACCACACTAGACTTCTTTTACAAAATAGTTACATCTTTATAAAAAACAAAAGACTGTTGTGAAGTTTATCAAAATGGAATGTAATTTATTTCCAAAACGCTATTTTCTAAAATTTAAAAAAACTAAATCTTAAAAAAATACGAGTGTTTTTTTAAATATTATTAATTCGAATGTAGTCGAGATACGACGTAAATTTCTCTCGAATATAACACTCGGTCAATAAACAATAATAAAGCACATATGTATTCGGTAACACACAGTGCTAAATAACGTCGCGTATAATTTGTGGCAATCACGCACATACTCTCGATTGTTTAATTGACTGTTGAGACCTTACTTAAGTACAGCCACGGGCAAAAGTATTAGGCACCCTACAGTAAGACAAGTTTTAGGGTGTTTTAGCATAGCGAGTGTAAATAAAACTGCATTTATGATTACAATGGTTTATTTTAAGAAAATAATTAATATTTTGTAGGTCCACCTTTTGACTTAATAACCGCAGCCACTCTTTTTGGCATTGACTCTACCAGCCTGAAACATTCTTCTCTTGATATATTTTTCCATTCCTGCTGTAACGCGGCCAATAGAGCTTGTTTATTGCTAATCGAGTGCCTGCGGATATTTTTCTTTAAAATGGACCAAATATGCTCAATCCGGTTGAGGTCTGGTGATTGTGGTGGCCAGTCCAAGAGATCAATATGATTTTCAGCAAACCACTTCATGGTATGCGCGGACTTGTGGCAAGTGGCGTTGTCTTGCTGAAATTTCAGGCCATCGGTGTTTGTATCACCGAAAATTTGCGTTATCGACGTTGCTAGTGCTGTTTCCAGAACTTCAGTGTATTTAACACTATTCATTCGTCCCTCACACAACACCATTTCGCCCACTCCGTCGGCAGCCATGCAGCCCCAGATCATTATTGAGCCTCCACCATGCTTAACAGTGGGAACCACACATTCTGGGTTGTATTCTTCGCCAACCCTTCGCCTAACATAAGTCACACCGGGTGTTCCAAACACCTATGCCAAACGAAAAAAACACATTTATTTTCAAAGTTATTATTTTTTCTTGCAGTACGTTATTTTAAAAACATTTATGTGTTTTAATATTGTACATAAAATAAATAACAATACCTCAAAGTTAGATTCGTCTGACCACAGCATGTTGGACCAATCTTCCACTGACCAATCTCTATGTTTGAGTGCCCACTCCAACCGATTTTTCTTATTGTGTTCTGACAGCCACGGCTTCTTCCTTGCTTTACATCCTTTTAATCCAGCTTTAAGAAGTCTTCTTCTCACAGTATAAACACTCACTGAGCTGCCTTTTGCCTCAGATAATGCTGCAGCGAGCTCTAAAGCAGTTTTTTTCCTGTTTTGTAGAGACTGCCTAATCAACAATCGATCTTCCCGTTCAGTAGTAACTTTTCTTCTGCCTGTTCTTGGTCTATTTTCTTGGGTGCCAGTCTCTTTGAAGCGATTTATAGCATATTGAACTGCACATCGCGAGCACTTCACTTCTCGGGATATTTTAACCTGAGACATGCCTTGTTCATGTAAAATCTTAATTCTTAGACGCTGTTCAGCACTAAGTTCAGATTTTTTCGGCATGATTAACACGTTAAATGTTAGTCTTTAGAATTGTGATAGGAATAGTTGCGTAGAAGACGTGTATGTTCACTGCAAGCACTGATAACACACTATAACCCGAAACGCAAAAAAAGCAAATTCGAAGAAACACCGCTTAGGAGCACACCTGGATGTCATAAATATTTTCTTTTATCTTAATTTGGTTAAAAATTGCCGCTAATACAATAGCTAAACCATAAAACACACACTTGACCGCAATATAATGAGATAGTGACTAACAATAGGGGTGCCTAATACTTTTGCACGCAGCTGTACAATTAATAATGCATATAATGATATTTATAAAATCTGTTATTTTCTGTTTTATTAAAAAGAACTGTATTAATGTTTCAGAAATATCTATTTCCGATGTATCCAGAATTGGCGCGCCACTTTTACAACTACGTTCACAGGACAGCTAAGTGTAAGAACAATCACATTCCACTGTCTGCGTTCAGACAACAGTGCGAAAAGATACTGGCCATGCTAGATGACAATGCCATCATTGAAACGTATATAAGGTAAGAAGCACTTGTCTTTTGATCCCAAATCTAACGAAAATATATACATTTTTAAACTAGTAACTACGTTAAAGTGAATTGTGGTATTCTCAACATATTTTCTTCCAAACAGAATGTTCAGCTCTGAACCCGAAGAAGGCAATGTAACTCCTAACGATCTCCGCGGTCTTCTTTACATCAGCTACAAATTATCGATGGACCACTATCCCGAGGGTCCGCAAGCATGTCCAATGGTGAGATAATGTTTTAAATAGGTTTATAAATAGAAGACCCGGCGAACTTCGTATTGCTCTATAATCAAGGAATATCTGTTACGTTTTTTTATTTATATTTTTGGAGTTTAACTTTAAGCCATAAATCTCCGTGTTTTAAAGTGCGACAGAATGATTGACATATTAGTTAGTTGTCAAATCTAATGTCAAAAAAAACGTTTGTATCAACAACTACTAATAAATTCAAAATTAATTTAAAAAACATTGTCCAGCGGACAAAATTGTGAATCTAAATCATTCCCAGATCCCCTTGAACACACACAAAAAAAATCATCAAAATCGGTCCAGTCGTTTGAGAGAGTCGTTTCAGTGACATACAAACTCACAGAAGAACTATAATATTTTCATCTTCTATAAAGATTAATTCGACTGCTTTCAGATAAATAAGACGCTCTCAGCAGTTATCCGAGGTTGCTTCAACAATAAAGATTCCCACAGCGTCGGATTTGTGGTACGCTGGCTAGAGGAGCATTGTCATCGACTTATATTCCCCATACACAGGTGAAAGTTGCTTTCATCCCATATTTATTACAGTGAGACCTAAGGATATCATTTGTATTAAGCTTCAAAACCAATCTATGTATAATTAATGCTTCTTGTTTAAACACGTTGCATGACCTTTTTTTTAGAAAAGTCCAGATAGTGTTTAATCATACCTTATGGTACGTAGAAATGTAACTGAGGATGATAAGTGCACTATTTCAGTAATAACCTATGTATTAACTTTAGCTTCAAAGCAAGACTTTCAAATTGTGACTGGTAAGGAACACAGATGCAGCCAGAATATTAGAAACCATTATCATATACTCATGAGAAGGGCAGAAGCGTATCGGTTAATCCAGTTGTGAGGAATGTATCAATAAAAGTACTACATATATTGTAAAGTTACTCTTTCTTTTTTACAGATACTGCGTGCACATCCTAGCGACTCGTCACCGCGACATCGAGTCTCTCAGCAGCAGCAGTAGCAGCAGTGGTTCGCTGGAGCTCGGTACTCCGGTTCTGGAGCGTGGTTCCTGGGCTGGCGGTTCGGGTACTGGTTCCGGTGGAAGTGGACTCCTGCCGGTCTCAGCAGCTTGGCTGCTAGCAGCAACGGCACCACCGCTCTACTCCAGACCAGCCAAACCACCGCCTCACCCAGGTATACTGGAAGCAAATACACCGATGAAATATATATAGTTACATATACATATACATGACACACACTCATAACATACTGTCACACAACCACGAAGTTATAGAAGTGGGTTAATTAAGCAAAAAATTACAAATTCAAGTGGTTATTACTAACCTTATAGGAAAATTTCGTTAACTTCGTTGTTAAACTTATAAACTTAGTAGTAGTAGTTCTTTTGTATTATGCAGTATAACACAAAAGAACTACTCTCTTATGGTAAAATGGTAGCAAAGCGTCTCGCTAAGACTTTAGCTTTAATTTCTTTCTAGTTATATTCAGCCGATATGTTTTGAGATCAGGAAGGAACAAAACGTTGATCTAAGAAGAGGTAAATTTTATTACTCCCCAATCCGTTACGTACTCATATACATATGTGGAAAGAAAATTACAAATAAAAGGAAGGAAAAATACAATTAGTAAAATATTTTAATAATATTTGTGCACACAAAACTGTTCCAAGAAAATATATAAATTAAAAAAGGATAAAATCTAGGATAGGTCGTCCCATATATAATAATAACAATAATTATATATAACATTCACATAATAAATATATAACAACATTCCTGTCACAAAATGATATAGGCGAAAAAATAATGAAAGGATACAAATACACCTTTCGTATCTTATCTTATATAGCTTTTATAACAAATATATTATCAATATCTTACGCCACTATATATTTCAGTTTAATCCACATATTCCAAACATATAGAAGTAGTATCCAAATTTAAGTACTTTAACAAAATTTTAAGTTTAAATAAGTTATGTTAATTTATTACTTTGTATTGCATATAGCTCTACTAACTTTGGTTAAGTTGGACTCCTTATAAGTACGAAACTAGATGTAAATTTGCTTCAGACTACGCGATGCGATCTTTAGTTTTGCTTATTTTATCGATTAAAATACATAATTTTTTGAAATCAAAATGTCACGTTCATGATTTTATTAAAATACGAGTACTTAACATTTATTAAATTACTAGCTTTCCGCCTGCAGCTTCGCCCGCGTGGGGTTTGGTGATATCGCATTTCCAAGAGAATCTTTTAACAGTCTGGGAAAAAACTATCCTATGTTCTTTATCAAGGTCAACTCTATCTCTGTACCAAATTTCATTAAAATCAGTTCAGTGGTTTAGGCGTGAAAGCGTAACAGACAGACAGACAGAGTTACTTTCGCATTTGTATTATTAGTAGGGATGCTCTAAATGATTAGAGATCAGATTTTTTTTTTCTATAATTATACTTTTTATTTATTAATATAAATTTTGCTCCAAGCGAATATTATGCCTCGAGCGATGAATTTTCACGTGTTTTTACGTTTTTGTTCATAAAATAACTTTTATTAATATAATTTATGCTTTAAGCGGTGAATGTTCACGTGTTTTTATCTTTTTGTTCATAAAACAACTTTTATTGATATAAATTATGCTCCAGGCGATCAATGTACCTTTACCTTGGTATAAAAACGTTTTGCTTTTCTAACAATTTTAATTCTTATAAATCTTTATATTTATTTTTGATGCATTTTACCTTTTAATTTAGAGATATTTTTTTATATGTTTTGCTTTAGACATTTGCTCTGTAGACAGTTGTTTAAATTCTTATTAATGAAAAAAACTTTTATTAATATAAATTATGCTGCAAGCGATCAGTGTAAATATTTGTTTATCTTTTCATAACTATTTTTTAATTATAAAATAACTTTTAGATTTCTCCAACAAATTCGATTACATTTCTTCAACTTTTTGTAATGAAACTCTTATTTACGAACAAGTTCTGCTAAAGTAATTTGTGTTCTAGTAGTCTATATTTGCACATTTGTCTTATAATCTTACTGTGAAAGTTCAAAGCTGTTAATGCGCCATGCAAACATAAATTTTATGTCATGAAAATTGTATTTTTTGGTGCTTAATATGTATATTTGGTATTAAGAGTGATTTTTTGCGAATTGTGATATTAATGTGTATCTACATTTATAATTTAAAGGTTAATGCTTTTGTTAAAGCTTAACATAATCTCCGAAACTACTGAGTCGATTTTTTAACGGTGTAAACCTGACAATAAAACTCCATGAATTATGGTAATTATAATCAATTTTCTGGCATACATACATATATAAAAGAAAGTCGAGTTAATGACACTATTTATAACTCAAGAACGGTTGTACATACGGATTTGGCTTGAAATTTGTGAAGGGGTAGGTTGGAATCAGGATATAGGATACTTTTGAATAAGTTCAGCCGAAATAAAATCCAAAATCTGCTTACTTAGTGACTCTAAAGCGAAACAGTTTGTTTGGTCGGCTACACATACATTTATTATTATAAAATTAACTCGGACAAAGTCGAGAGCAAGTATATATATAAGGGTAAATTTAATTAAAGGTAGGTGCTATAGACATTACTATTCGCTAATATTAATGACAAACTATAGTGAAAATTGGAGTTAAGTGTGTTATGTTACATATTATATGAGGACATGTATTTCGTAAACTACTGAACCGATTGTGATAAACTAAAGAACAGGTAAAACCAAACAGCGAATTGAGTATTATTATTTTTTCATTTCTTATTATTATTTTTAATAATTCACTAGAACAAGTTTTCGTTGTGATCCGTTTTTTGTTAAGAACTTTCACTTACGCGAATTTAACGGGATATTTTCCTACGAATACTTCTTTTCCTAAAATTGTATGATACATAAACGATATTATTTTATGTCTTAGCTAAAAGCGAATTGTATTGCTTTTAAAGACTTACGAATTTTGCAGGAGAAATTTATATACATGTATTTTATGTTATTATGCGAACTATGAGATGTTAGAGTTATCGTTAAATTATATTTGACTAATAAAACTGAATTCAAATAAAAAAAATATATACCATGGATATTCCTACTTATAATACAGTAACCATATGGAAAATGCTCAGCAATTTATGTGTATTTTTACAAATCAGTTCTTATTTATTCGATCTCTGCCTTGCGCGACCTGTATCTTGGAGTCATGTTTATTTTCTTTATGTATGTCTTGCAATAGTTCTTTTAAATAATATATGGAGAAACGAATGTTTTTTTTGTTTGTTGCTCTTTTAAGCAAAAATTACAGAACGGTTTTTGTTGAAGCTCTGTAATAATGTAGCTAAGGCGTCACAATAAGGCATAAGCTAATATTAAATTCCGAATTCCTTGTGATGCCTCTTGCTCAAATACCAAATCTTTTGTTTTATTACATTTTGTTTGTTTGTTTTAATACACTTTCACATTTCTCTGTGATTCTATTTCAAAAATTCCACGAGGACGGAGTCGCTGGCAAAGACTAGTTTATCAATAAAGAATTATAAAATAATTCTTTTAAATTGTATTCAGTGTACCTGTGCGTTTTGCTAATTATAAATGTATTTGAAATGGGCACACTTAGGTCTAGCTTACATTGTATTCTATTTTATACAATATAGGTCATTGGTTGTGAAATACTGGACAAATATTAAAAATAACTTGATCATTAAGACTATTCTTAATTATCTTTCCATTTCAATTACATACTGATTTTATAAATTTTTGGCCTATGCCTTTTATGCGAAGTACCATAAAGAAGTGTACATTTTTTGCGATGTTAATTTTAAATTGAATAAGAGTATTTTATATCTACTGAACTAAATCATGCGTTAAAAGCCCATTAGCGATTTTTCATATTTAAAAAGAAATGTTGGCGAAATACTTGAATATATTTCTTAGATAAAATGTAATCTCTACGTTTTATTACAAGATCATAAATGCTTTAAGTTTCACTCAAATCTATTTACACGTTTTAAAGATTAACTTTGACAATCAGAAAGGATGATATAGAGACTTAAAATATAAAGTAAGCCAAAAGTTTGTTTATTTGTTTGTTTCTTTATACCTTGTAAATAATAAAAAGATCTTAATACATAAAAAAGAATTTTTAATATTTCAACAAAGTTCTATTTATAATACTTCAGATACAAATTCTCATTGTTTTCTATGCACAGTTAATAGCTCTGGCGAAATGAATGTATCTTATTGTTATTGTTGTATTTTACAATGATTTTTAAAACTAAATGCACTCAACAAATATGCGATATTCCATTGACTAAATGTCAAGGTTATGGGGGTTATTTAAGCAAAAAAAAAAATACTGCACCTAGTGAATATTCATAAAGCGTTGTTTGACAGAAATTAATTTATTATAATTGTACTTACATATTTTATTATGTTTGATGTTCTTTGCTAGAATATCCGTACAACGCAATGGCAATATTTTAATTTATATGAGAGATTATTTTACTATTTATATTATAAGCAATATGCTTCGCGTCCTATGCTCTATTATGGTAATGAATTATATTATTAAAGTATCATATAAATAGCAAAAAAGTTGTTGATATGTTTATTTGTTTTACAATTTCGCGATTATTTAAAGTGTATTATTGTCTAAGCTATCTGTCACGTGCACTAATCTCATCCCATTGATTTTTGTTTCATTATAGTGTCTATAAGCATTTGTATGATGGTTATAAATTTTATTGATTACTTACAATTTATTTAAAATATTATGTAGGCAAAATAAGCGCTGTCACATATTTTTTATGTTCCTAATACTTTTATTGTTGTTTTTACAAATAATCATAAGGTTTTGAATTTTTTCGAAGGAAATCTGACCGAAGTATTGATATGATTGTTATTTGTAGAAGTTGTACTGCTTTTGCTTTTCTCTTATTATGCTTAAACTTTGTTGACTGCTCTTTTGCTTGCTTGCGAAATTACTTAAAACTTCATTTTAAGTATTTATCAGAGCTGAATATATAGTGGTGTTTTTAAAGTCAACCAAAAAGATATTTTGTTTCCTTATGCTGATAAGAAAAATAAGATGAAAAGTAAAATTCATAGAAATTAATTATTAAAACTAAAAAAATATGTATATACACGAATGTCAATGAAATGACGTTTATTGGTGCAATAAAATTTGATTAATTGTTATATTACCTTCTGTACGTGAGAATTACTATTAAAGTTTGAAAAAAAAATAATTTAGGAGTCTTAAAAGGAATATAGAAATATAAAGCTATATTTTACATCTCTGACAAGTACGGAAGGCAACGAATAATAGGCCCAAGTATTCATACAAGTCTAGAATAATTTACAAATTTCATACAAGATTACATATTTTAAATCACGACGTCATAGTATTTATCGATAACCATAATAAGTACCACGATTGGTTAATGATTTTTGAAATGGTTATTTTATAACTATAGATCGTTTTTACTAATTTTGGTTTCAAAATTCAATACGGCTATTAATAGAGTGACACTTAACAATGCAAAAACCAAAAAAAAAAAAATACTTTTATAACCAATTCATTATTTTCACCAACAATGTTTCTACAATTATATTAGTGTTACCATTGTTAACAATATGATTACTCTAAAATACCCGAATTATTTAAAAAATGAAGTGCCTAGTTATTGAATGTAAGGAGATGAATCTAAACTTACAACGTACAAACCCATTGCACTTCTTTTACAAACAAATCTCTTTTACAGACAATATTTTTATAATTCGTACAATATTATTATAAAAAGTAACATAATATTATAATAAATTAAATAGTATAATATGATTAAAATTCGCTTTTTCCAAATTCTATGATAGCTTGATAAAGTTTTCAGGACACTTAACTTTTAGAACTAGTTATAAATTTAACGATCCTCAGTTTTGTTTTAGACTAATTGCAATATAATTTTCATTATGTATAGAATAAGGATAACATTGCTGCTCAATAAACAGACCCATTTGGATTCTATACAATTTAACTTCAACCATGTTCTTTGCATGTAAAGCTCTTATTGGTGCGTATTAGGACTGTATGGACCGTCATTTTCCAAATAGGTTTCCTTAAGCTGTTCCCCAAATAACAACTTATAAAGCCAGCTAACTACGAACGATAAAATCCATTTCTAATGAGGTTGATGATTTTCTAAAGTATCCTTTCGTATAGTAAGTGAGGTTTCGTAAACCTCATTTTCTGATATGCGTTATGAAATTACCATTTTAGTTATAATTTCTTCTATTACCTAAAAATGTTTTTCCTAGACCTACTTATTAATTTTAAATAACATATGGTTGGTTATTCAGAAGACATTTGCAGTTTTATATTTAGCTGTACGGTAACCTATATTATAGTATTTATATTTTGGTAGAGTGGTTTGCAAAACCTCCAGTAAATCTAAACTCAAGGGCCCAAATACTAGTTTAGGCTGCGTCTAAAAGTCGTTTTTCCTTACGCCTTCACAGTGATCTCGCTTTGTCGAGTTGAGTCATGTGGACAGTTTGTAACAACAGCCTCTCCAAAATACAAATCGTAGCTATATATTCATTAGTCACGTTAGATATATTACTTGGTAATATTGGCTCAATAAACACTATACTAAGCTCCTTACATAATGAGAAATCCGTGTTTCTATTACGACCACATGTCAGATATAAACTAATTTCTGTAGTTAATTAAATACCTGTTAGTTTGGACCTGGCGTCTTCGGAAAAGAACTTGTAATAGTGAAACCGACTCTTTGTCATTAACGTAGGAGGCTATGATATTAGGTTTTTGCGTTTTGTCTACAGAGGGTTTATCCCATTGTATCGCTAATCTTTGATATTGCGTAATGTACAACCTAAAAATATGAGTATTCCCATTGTGTTATTTGTGTATTTTTAATGCCAATATTGGATATATTTTTCGTTATAATTTTAACACAATTATCAACTCTTCACGTGTTAGTAGTATACATTTAATGAGATCGATTTTTGATCTAAATTATAATAATTAATTTAATTTGATTTATAAAAGAACAAAGTATTAAAACAAAAGCAAAAGTAGGCATACGTAATTTATACCGTAATAATTTAGGTAAGTATTAAATAAAGTATAAGACATACTAAGGATACAGACAAAAACTAATTTCAATATAAAATGTCAAAAGGAATGAAGGGGATTATTTTAAGGTATATCTACTCATAAGGGCGGTGAAAAATAGCTTTCTTCGCTATATACTCATAGGCAAATGTCTTGTGAGGCTCCAATTTCTTAGTGAAAATAAGCTTACAAGTTTAGTCTAAGAGATAGCCAAGACACTGTCAGGTCTAGTTAGTATGTTAGTCAGAAACTTATGTCTGAGTTTATAAGTCATAATACACATCCCCATTTTACACACAACATAAATATTACTCCACAATTATCAACACTTAATAGTCCTAATGAGTTAAATATAGACAAACGCAGATATAGTTCACAGTAGCAATTCACTCTATGATATTAACGTCAGGTGGTACAACTGCTTCGACTGCGTGGATGGCTCGTCTGGTGTGCGCGCTGCCCTCACATTGGGTGCCCTTGTACGCCTCCAACGAGCACGGACTCGGAGCCAACAGGTTCCTTCATCACACGCTAGCATACCGGTGTGTTGCTCAATGTAAAAAATAACTTCATACATTAAACATACTTCATTAAGACAACCTCTCTGTCCATTAATACGAATTTACTGAGCTTACTCCTGAAATTAAAGCTTTCATGTATCATCGAAATAATTTTTAATATAAAAAATATTTCTATGAAATTCTAATTTTTAGGTTTTTCCCGTAACCTTTTTTAACCAATTAATATATTATTTTCGACTGTTACTAACAATTTCAATAGCCGACACTTGATATAATTTTCTGATTCCCAAAACTTACTTTCTTCAATATTTTAGATTGTAAAAGATTGCTGTTTATCCTTAAGACGTAATTTCAAATATGTTCGCATTCTACCTAAATTTGACTAGGATTACCATTTAATGCACCTGTTTTTCTAAACTAATTTAAAGGAATCATTACTTTTTTTCCACGGTGACCATAATTTTACGTCAAAGTCAAACATTCTTAATCTGTCGTCTCCTACCTAATCGGTTACCTATAGCCATCCATAGTCACTAAATTTTTTTGTTAACTTTTATAAATAAAGTTTTGACGTCAGTAACATTTAAATTATCATTTTCTTTTTGTAGGTAGTAAATAATAAATAAGCCTTTTAATTTCGATTATACGATATTATTAAGTAAAGACAACAATATAAATTACAAAAGTAGCATTACAGTTTGTAATTGAAAAAGCTGGAAATGCATTGAATGAAATTTTTGATAAATAATTAATAAATTTTTTGTTGTGATTCACATTCTTAAAGACCATCGTGCAATGCAAGTATATATTTCTTTTTAATATTCCGATGACCCTCCAATGGATGAATAAAATTAATAAAAAAAAACTAAATGTTCGCTTACCAAAGTAATACTATAAAATAATATTCAATAGACTCATACATTTTTTGAGATAAAACTTTTGCTTTGACGTCATGGCATTTTCATTTCAGGGGTCCAACACTAGTGGTTATAGAGGGCAAGTGTGCGGGTGAGGAATCTTCGGAATCGGAGAGGGTCACTGTAGTGGTGTGCGCTCCTCAGGAATGGCGTGACACACACCAATACTGGGGCGGACCACAGGGAGCCCTTGTGCAACTATATCCCACGTGAGTACACTCACATCACTAAACTCTGTGTAATGCCGGCCACACAAGTTACAGTATACTTAAGAGAACCCAGACTTGCACATATTCACGTATTACAGAGGCGTACACATACGACTTAAGGTTGCTTGCACATGTCATTTCTGAGATAATTCTTCAAGTGTGCGTACAGGATGCGAGCTTCTTATGCTATGGATGAAGCAATGCCGTAGTTAGCTTCATTTTAGCGAGAAAGGAAGTGAAAATTCAGAAAAGACACGGAATTATATTGACTTTTTTTTGTTGTCTCGTTCATTTTGGCTCTAAAATGACGTGCACATGTAAACAAGCAATATAACAAACTTAAAAAATGCAATATTGCTCAAGTTGGGAATTAAAATATGGAACTTTTTCAAGAACTTGTGCATGTTGGAAACTTTAACAGTTTTCTTCCAATACACGTTACAGTATAGGTACTTGTTTAAGTCATGCCCAAGGATACTGTAACATGCTTGGCTGGCATGAAGAAGTACAGCAAAGCCAACTAGAGAAGACAATTTTCAAAAATACAATGACTTGCAGTAAATTCTGTTTAGTCAGTAACGGATTTATTCCCATGTCAAACATAACGTAGATGTCGCTGATCATAAATATAATTTTTTATGGTCATACAACCATTACCTGTTCGGGGCTAAAAATTAAATAAACATTCAAAACTTCTCTCGTACGCCCTTCTTTCCGTAGTGTTAATATTAACGAAATAGCAACATTATTAATTTCTAAATTTCTTTCATCCACAGGTTGTCTTTAGTGGAGTGCGGGCCGAAGCTGTTATATCTTAACTCTCATATTCGCGGGTACCCACGTGGTCTTCGATCTGGCTCGGACCCACGTCACCCGCTTCTGTCTGTAAACGAAGGTTTCGATTCATTCACCTTCAAGGGAGTGCCGTACACTCTTTGCGCTGTCGAGGTGAGATAGACATAAATCTACGTAACTAGATAACCATATAGTTTTACATTTTCAATTTGATGTTATTGCCAGTCTTGGTTATGTGGTAACATAAAATCTAGGATATGACGTAGCAAGGGCGATAGTGATATTAAAATAATATTGTTAAGACTTTAAAAAAGCTTTTATATTAAAAATATTGTTTTTTTTTTTAGTTTCTTTCAAACATATGATGAATATATTTTATTAATTAATTGTGACATGTAAAAATTGTGTTATATGCACTTACATCTGTAAAAAAATATCCTCAAAGGCTGTGACATACATCTTGTATAATAGTCATCAGCAATTGGATTAGACTTACTAACATTTAAATTTTAATAGTAACATTGATACCACATTACACTCTTCTCTAATTATCATCTATGTTTAGTAACAATGTCTTCTTCACATCCCAATATAGTATGACAATAACCACGAGATCAAAAAATATAATTCGTGTATTTATTGTGTTATTGATGATAGTTGTGTGTATAAAGGTATGGGGTTGTGGTGAGCAGGCCTTAAGGGAAGCACAGCTTGAGGTCAAGAAGTGGCAGGTCCGGGAGGCTGAGAGACAACGACAGGTATACACACAGAAAAAATATCATAATATATCATGAATAAAACTTATATGTGGTTCAATTAAGTGATATAAATATGAAATAGTAATGAGTATTAATAACACTGCGTTACAAATGAAAAAAAAAATTGAGTACCCGCTTTGAAATGTCATGTTTTCTTATGAATACTTATAGTTTATTAAAAATGAATACAAATTAAAGACCGCAAAACCTTAACTTTTTCTTTAGCGGTTGTGACGACCGCTTAGTCCAGTATTCATAATGGATTTCCAAAGAAATATGTACGAATATATCGACGTTATTGAATGAAAATGACTACTAAACAAAACAAAATAAAAAAGTACAACACATCAAAAATGGTAACTATTTCGTTTACGCCTAAAGTGAGGGTTATAGAAAAAATTATTTGACATGTACCTCGAAAACTAGATGTGATAGATACCACATATGTTTGGAACATTTAATCTGTGACTCATTAGCTATTCATTCTAGCTAACACTTTCGTGGGTACCAAAATCGTGTGACGCAGTGTAATTACATATACACTTAAATTTAATCTCATCAAAACCTCAACACTATAGTATTGTTTTTGATGAATTAAATGTTTGCTTCTTTGATTACTTTCATATTATAGACTTGGAAGAACTAAATAACAAATATCTTTATGGTATTGTATTCAACCAGAAGTTTGTTTTTTATTCGAATAAAGTGATAGAATTAAAAATATAAGTGGCACCGGTTCAAAGTTCCATATGTAACATTTGTGTTCTAGGTCAAGATATCAGCTGCAGACTGGATAGAACATCCCGATCGATACTTACTAGAGCTGGCAGGCCGGCCGCAGTACAACAATACTGCCACATAGTCAACAATACCACAGCAAATAGCACTTTATTTCACACCAACATTCACTGGATGGAGAATAAATACCAAAGGAATTGAGCTCATTTTTTCAATTGCAACACTCAAATAAATGTCCTTATTAATATAGTGATGAGCTATTTTGAAACACCAACTGATGTAAAAATAAATACATAAAATGCTTTGCTGTAAACTGAAATTGTGTAATGTTAATGAGAATTCCTGTAAATTTTATTCTAGAACTCAATTTATTATACAAAATACTTAGAAAAATATTTTTATCAGCTTACAATGTTGCTTTATTTACAGATGGTTTAGAATCTAGAAGTATGGATGACAACTATTATACATGTATTACAGTAAAAGTATTAATAGTTAAAATATTCTATGTCACTCCTTTCTTTGGTGTAGTATTGTTTTTTTTCTTACAAACAGCTGTGATATTTTGTAATCCAATACAAGCACATCCCAGTTGGTGATACTTAGAAACAATTGGTTATATGCATGTTAGATTAATTGTCTGAAAATATTTTATCAATATTAAGTTATCATATCGCCATAATTCAAGTTATGGTTTTATATTTAATCACAATAAAAAAGTTACTTAAAATTTCCTCAATACTTTGTAACTTAAATGTAGTTAAGGAAATTTCATTTAAAAATTAAAATCACGAAATATTATTGTATCAAAGATTTGTTCGACTAACACTATTTATTTTGCTCAAATATTTGAATATTCATGAAAACTGAATTTGAGTCATTTATTACAAATAATTTTAGTCTTGTAAATCTTAATGTCTATTCACACCTACTATATTATGAGAAGTTCCATTTCTTTTCACAACAATTAATAAGTCAAAAAAGACAATATTTTATTGACAGTATTTATACAGTTGTTGCTAGCATTTGTGATTGTTTATATAAATAAATGAATATAATATTTAGGACCAATTTTATATATATCATATTTTGCTTTTGCTTTGCACAATATATATTGCGAGCTTATTTGTATTAAGAAAAAAATATAAAAAAAACATTTGGCGCCATGAAATACTTTAAACATTTATACGTACTTGCAGTCTCAAAATACATTATTTTTTATATTGGCTGCCAAATGAACAATGCTTTGAGAGACTTTAGAATAGAAGAAAATGGTTGCCTTAACTATATTATAATTGCTTTTAATAATGATATTGAAGTGTATGTACACTTGTAATATAATGTAAAATATAGATATAAGATAATAAAATACTTCAAATAAACAATTGATTTTATTGTCACTTCTATGGACGAATCTTAGTCTTTTCGGTTTGATATGATTAATATACGTAGGTATATAGATTTATGTATAAATTGAATAAGAAAAGTGAGTCGTGCAGCTAGTTGTCTTGTTCTCATCTAAGACTTGTAAATTGTATGGAATATTTATAATATGGAGTCCTAAAAAAAATATATAATACTAGCTTTTCGCCCCGCGTGGAGTTCGGTTATAACGCGAACTTTTCAAAAGTCTGGGATAAAAATTATCCTGTTCTTTCTCAAGGTCAACTCTATCTCTGTACCAAATTTCATTAAAATCAGTTCAATGGTTTCAAAGCATAACAGACAGACAGAGTTACTTTCGCATTTATAATATTAGTAGGAATAAACTACTTTTTATGATTCTCCTATTCCTCGTTTAGTCATTCTTAACATCATGAATGCATTGCCATTCATATGAACTAGAATTTTCCAAAGCAGTCCCAAATCCATAATAAAAAAAAATGTAGTGGTAACTGATCGGCATCAACGTCTAAAGTTTGCGTCAAGTGATTTCATACACAATACTACTATGTGCCTTAAATTATTCTGAAATTCGGGATAATAATAGCTTGTCTTATTCGGAAGTCGATTCCACATTACTTAAGAATTTATTCCAAATACGTTATGTAATACTTTTAGTGTTAGGCCAAAACATTCGTTATGATTTGTTAACACTTAAGTTTTTATAATTAAATTTAATAGGTCTAATATATTTTTCTGGAATATAAATTAATTTAAAAAAACGATATTGTGTTAGAATTTGTAACGTTACGTGTTTATTTTTAATATAATTAAACATAATATTTGGTAACTTAAAAGTTACGAATTATTATTTTTAGTAAAATCGATAAGATTCGTTTTGTCACTCCCTAGTTCTACAAAAATCTGTATATTTTTTATTTGTTCAAACTCTAAATTCATTATCATCAGTATCGTTGAAGATTGAATTTAAATTTTGAGGTCTACAAAATATATATTTTTCAAGAAAATTATTTTTTACGATTAATAAACATTCTATGTAATTGGATTTTGAAATGTCATAGAAAAGTCAACTGTCAGCTTCGTTTTTAACATTGACAATTGTCATTATCAGATGATATATGAAGTCGTGTTTTTTAAGGAAATTAATTTAATAAATCAAATTTGGTTAGATATTGAAAAATAGAAGCGTATATAAGAAATCGAATACAATCATAGTGTAACTATGGCAGTTTACGCTGCGCATTTGACCCGCACTTTACAGGGGACACCGTCGGTCTTTCAGGTGACTGCGCAAGAGGCCCTCGGGTCTACAGTAAAGCCCGCGCTACGAAAACTTGTCGAAGTAAGTTCTACCAAGTGTTCTTAATTTCAAACATATGTTAACATTACTATGGTTATATAAATACAAGATTTAATATACATTACGGCTGTGTGTTTTAAATGTGAATTAAAACTATGTATGTTCAAATTGCAGTATTTAGCAGCAGTATATCCTGACAAGCTTAGCTGGAGTGAGCGGTGGTATGATGAGCTGTACCTACTGTTGGACTGTATAGTTCAATACCATTATCTCAAACATTACGGTACAGTAACATTACTTATACCATGCACAATACCAACTTGTTTTCGTTTATATATATATTTTTATATTTAACAGGCATTCGAGACAAAGTATTTTTTCGTAAAATAAAAGTTTTTATTTTCTTACGTTTTATTCTTCTAAAAAATATCAGAGATGAGCAACTAAGTACACCAATGAAATACATTTCAATCATTAATGCATCACTGGTTGTAACTTTCAACATGTTTATTACTGTTGTTGTTGTACTTTTATTTTTAAAATATTATAATACTTTGTATATAAGTATGTATTTTTATGTATTTGAATTTATTTATAAAACATATGTATTATTTCGTTTATACACATATTTATATGTTATATATAACATTTATTAATCATAATATGTATGTATGTCAAGTAAATATGTTATGTTTGTGTATATATGATTTACCTAAAAGGTGTACACCACCGAACCCCTTTCTTATTGTATTCAATGTCCTCTATCCAAAGGTTGTCTAGAAGAGATCGCTCTTTTTAGTGATGAGACCACCTTTTGTACCGTGTTTTCTATTTTGTTGTGTTGCTTCTTGTATTTTTTTGTTTCGGTGTACAGTAAAGTATATTTATCTTATTACAGCTGCTTCGTTTTCTGAGAGCTTCTATGGCTTGGTGAGGTCGCCAATAAATCCAAATCATGAGTTCAATTCGGGCCCACGTTTACCACATAACCTTGAGCAAGCCTCACTATTATTCCTAGTAGGACTACCTTATATGAAGGATAAGATTGATAAAATATTAGAGAGATGGAGAGAAGAACTTGATGAAGGACGCCTTGGTAAGGTAATAGTGTTTACTACTTGAAAATTTTCTTACATTTCAATATATAAAAATAAACATACCTATATGCTTTATCTTTTTCATATTCATATTTTCATCTGACAGTTACAAAAATATTGTGCTCAGTAAATTCCCTAATTTTATTGATAATAATCAATAATTTTATGTAGGAATAGCTTAGAAATAAAAGTATTTATTTATAGAGTAAAGCAGATCAAGCTCGTAAAGCAGCCATCAGACTGTACATGATATCAAATTTTGTGAGTGAGGTCAGCAAATTGGTGGTATTGGCTCGATACTTGACTGGCAAGAGCCTGTCTCCTACATTGTCACTGCAACTTTTAGGGTTGACATTAAAAGATGCACCCCCAGAAGAGCCTGATGATAATACATGGGGGGATTTGTTTAGAAATGTATTGACGGGACAGTTTAGGTAAGTGTAATGCTGTTGAATTCTAGCTAAGAAATATATCATTGTTTTTTTATAGTTTTACTTTTGGTATAATTATCGCAGTATTGTGCAGTGATAAAACTTTAAAAGAGTCTCAATTTTATGACTAATATAGTAATTTGGTATTAAATATGAGAGAATGATAATAATAACTTTTTTAGTTCCTAATTCATTAATTATCTCACTGAGGTACCTCTAATTGAATGAAATGTGATGCCAAAAATTAGAATATAGAAATAATAACACTTTGTAATGACTAATTGACCTTGGATAAATGTTTTTGTACTATTGCCTATATAGAAATTGCTTGGTTGGCATTTAAATGTATGACCTTGCCGTCAAGTGAAATTCTGTCAACAATGTGGTGTCTGTAAATCCAATATGTCTTCCTTTCACAGCAGTGCGGTGTTATCCTTTCGAATGTGTGTCTCAGCGTGTAGACTTCTTATGGAACGTGGTGCGTTCGTGGTGCAACTGCTCAGATGGTGGGAGTCACGTGCCCCCGCAGCTAGTGCTGCGCTACCACCACCACCGCCACCTCAAGGAAGGGTAAGCCACACACACACATACACACAAAACACACACATACACACACAATATAATAATAATTTGACATGCCCTAAACATTATCAAAAAGAGTTTGTTATTATATCTTTTTGTTTGTTTACTAATTTATCAAAAAACTATGTATGTGGATATTTGAATGCTGTCAGAATAAAATTGACATTTAGTTACAACGGCTGATTCTGAAATAAAATACAGTGGAGATATACAGGGTGACTGGTGAATTACTATCAATATTTAAGGAGCATACTCGGTACATGATTCTCATTCGAATTATGTAAAAAAAATAGGTACTTAATTTTTGACCAAATTTCCGTATAAATAAATAAAGTTTATACACGTTCCAAGTGTTCCAAGTGTGAACGCGTGCGGCGGCGTGCTGATACAACAAGACGCCGCCGCGCGCGAGTGTGTGTGTGTGTGTATACCTAATCTGTAGGGTGTTCATACGATGCGTAATTAATTACATAACTTTTGGTTAACTTTACTTAGAAGTTTATTAATATTTATGTTATATTAATTTTTATTTTGTCATATATGATCGTCAAATATCACGTCCTCAAATATCGATAGTAATTCACCAGTCACCCTGTATATTTTTGAATACATGTAATAAGTGTTTCAAAGTTCTTTGAAAATGAATTGACCAAATTCGGTTGAATTGTGTAATTGTAATAGTTAATTGGTTTTTGTCAAAATTTATTTATGGACAGCTTAATATTATTTTCAATATAATAAATAGAATAATAGGAACTTTTTAAAATGGATATCACAATATCTTTAAGCAATTATTAAGCTGCAATCTCAATACATAAGTGTCAGTAGAAAGACTGTTAATGTAGGCCTATACAGGGTGACTGGTGAATTACTATCAATATTTAAGGAGCATACTCGGTACATGATTCTCATTCGAATTATGTAAAAAAAATAGGTACTTAATTTTTTGACCAAATTTCCGTATAAATAAATAAAGTGTGTAACGTTCCAAGTGTTCCAAGTGTGAACGCGTACGGCGGCGTGCTGATACAACACTACGCCGCCGCACGCGCGTGTGTGTGTGTGTGTGTATACCTAATCTGTAGGGTGTTCACACGATGCGTAATTAATTACATAACTTTTGGTTAACTTTACTTAGAAGTTTATTAATATTTATGTTATATTAATTTTTATTTTGTCATATATGATCGTCAAATATCACGTCCTCAAGTATCGATAGTAATTCACCAGTCACCCTGTATAAGAAATTCCATTAAGAGGCGGCATCTAGAGAAAACAATTTTATAAAAATTTTAATAACCCAACAACTCTTAGGATAGATTTAGATAAATGAATGTAGTAGATAAGTGAATGAAAAGGCTTAATGTTTTTGAAAACATAAAACAGCTTGATTAATTCATATTTTGTATATTCATATTCTGGTGCTGACAAATAGGGACTGGCTAGGTTAGAGGTCGTAAATAAGATATGTGATCGAAATTCCTCACCCGAAGATAAATCACATGTACAAATTTAAAGGCGACATAATTTATTAAGTAGCTCTTAAATGCAACCGCACACATATGCATCATGCAACATTTTTAACACTTTACTATAATAGTATAATGGGTGATATGCTAAACATGCGATTTACAAACTTCTTCTTTAGTAAAATTGTGTGCTATCAGTAATTGATATTTTTTGCCATTTACAATCTGACTGAAAATCAAACCATACCTTGACTTCTTGGGGGTCACAGTATGGATTGTAAAATTCAGGTCTTTAAGAGACGTCCAGAAGCCAAAACATGTCTTCACATAGAACATAAGCAGAAGAGATTATTTTGGTTTTGAGGAGAGTTTTTATTTCATTGTCTATTAGATGTGAAATGAGAAGATCTACATCAAAATACTTTTCATATACAATGGTACAAAATGCTTAAGAATTAAATATGAAATTTTAGCCTTTTATTGTGATATAAAGTACCCCTTTGAAATTTTATGTAATTGTATTAAAGTACGAAAAATAAAACCCCCAACGTATTTAAAAGCTAAATGATTTCTCGTTTATGCTATACTAGCTGCGCCCCGCGGTGTCACCCGCGGATTTCCGGGATGTAAAGTAGCCTATCTGTTATTCTTGGACGTCAGCTTCCTGTATACAAAATTTTATCAAAATCAGTTCAGCCGTTTCAGTGTGAAGAAGTAACAAACATACACACACACTCACAAACTTTCGCAATTATAATATTATAGGATAAATATGATTAAAATATTAAATATCACTTTACCAGTAGGTAGAATGCTATAATTTCACACTTTGTTCTCAAACAATCAGTTTCCTTAAGTTCAGTTACACAAAGTACATAAATAAGATTATTTATTTAGTGATAACTTTTATTACATTGCATTGCGACGTGATTAAAAAACTATTATAAAAACCACGTGGATGTTTGCCAACATTATAATATTTTATGTATTTTTTTATTATACATGTATTAAAGTAATATCCGATTTTTTTCAGAGAGATGAGTCCCGTTGGTTGAACGCATGTCCTATTTGTCATCAATCGTGGAGGGTGCCGACTGTGTTGCCAGTGTCAGGGTCAGTATTAACATAATAGAAAATAATCTTTCTATAAAATGATATCTATGAAGATAAACTATCATTATCTGTATTTGAAGATAATGTTCCCTAACTTATTGATTACGTAGGTAATTTAATTAATAGTTACTTAATGAATTTTACTAAAAAGATTGTATATCTTCAAAATACGAAAAAATATATATCCGTACTTTACACAAACAATACTAGATTATTATTATATATAAGTAATTACAAACGTAACTGTCATTAACCTTAACACCCCACACTTTTTTTATATTATTTACAATTACATAGCATAATTGGTAAATCAACTCAAACATGCTACGTAATATTCCAGAGGAGTCAGGTTCGATTCCTGGTCGTGACGAATTATTAATTATATATTGTCTATTCTAATTTCAATTCAAGTTATTATCAGGTTTGTCATAATATATATTTCTATGCTCCAGTTATGTGTTCTGCTACACGTGTATCTCCCGTCATTTACGTCGCTCGGGTTCGTGTCCCGTAACGAGGCTGCCAGCCAGCGAGCGATCACTGGTCAGGCTATACCTGGACTTGTGACGTCAATAATAAACCCTTTCTATTGTAATATAGTGATTTTATTATTGTATACATGTGCTAGGTGATGTAGACACAAAAAGAAGCAATCCATATGACTCGTGATTCTTTTAGAACGGGTGTTGTGTCATGAAAACGTAATTGTTACTAAAATTTGGCCAAAATATCGCTTTTCACTATCAAAATGATTGAGAACTTCGCATTTTAAACGGTGTTTAAAAACTTATTTTCATTCTAAGAAGACATAGTCCTTGTTATGTCTTAAAACAATTCCCTCGAGTACTTGGGTCAGATGTTAATTAACTGGACTGTACTTCCACGATTAAAAGAATACAATTTACCGTTATACTTACACATAGATTGTACTAATTTCCCTTTTATCATGCTTAAAGCCTCCCTCCCATCCTCGAAGTTCATGGGATAATGGAATAGAGATATCAATAAAAAACTGGATATCAGTTTCGAAAAATTCACAATCTGGTTCCAATTTTCTCTGTACAGTAAATCTTTGATGCCCTTTGGATTGCCATATAAATAAGTTCCTTATAATAACTATAATTCATTCTGTAACAAATGGCTTATATCTCATTTATTTTTTGCTTTATTATCATCTTCTGTAATACTGTGCTTCACCTACAATTTAAATCGTTTTAGTTTTTTGGAATTCTTAAAGACAATTTTAGTTCCTAATATTAAACAAAGAATCATTCCGATGGTTACGTAGAGGTTTGTCCTATTGTCTTTATAATTGCTAGGTTTGACAACTAAACACGTTTGCTTGCTATCTTACTTGCTAGTATCACAGGTTTTCTTACATAAAGACTAATAATATATTAGGAATTTTAAAGGATTAGTATGAGTCTAATTAATTACACATCATAAAGGAGATCTTAATGGTTGACCTTGTTCTAAGCCTGATTAGATAACACCGGATAACTCAGATTGAAGCTAGGTAACATTTGCTTGGCCCAAATTATTATAATTCACTTTCAAAACAGCAGTAAATTCTAAGCTTATATACTGTATTTTGATGTCATCCTGTTATTACTCTTCTAAGTCAAAGTTTCAAATATATTCAACTTTTTTACTTTACATATATTTGTGTACCTATATATATTTTGATTTTTTTTCTTTGATATTGAAAATGTGTTATAATAAACCCAAAAAGGTATCAATTTCATGATGATTATAGAAATAAAAAACTGACATTTAGAAAAAAGGGTTGTGGGTTAAAATAAACTAAAAAAACAACTGATTGTAATTGAATTAAGTGACACTTCTACAAAGAGACTGATACTTATTGCCTGGTCAAACCACTCTGTTCTATAATTTATGATTTAAAAGCATATTTAAATAATAACTCGGAATCATAAGGATTGCTTCTTCATTCCGTTATTGTGAATACAACTTTCTTGCCTCTTCAAATGACGTCAATAAAACGAAGGCATCACTTGTATATTATTAAGTAAAATTTATAAACTATAGCTTAGCTTATCTTTAGTTATATGACCCAGCCGCACTTTTAAATTTGTGATGTTACAAATGGTAACCAATGCATTTATGTAATTATATATAAAGGACCAATTATGAATTATATTTTGAATCAAATTAAATTAATTTAGAATATACCAAATACGTATAAATATGTTTAGGGATTCAAATTCTTCCAGCGTCGGGACGTGCGAACCCCATCGCCCACTGGTGTATTCCAGTGCAATCAGTCACAGGGGGGGGGGGCCTGGTGGTACAGCCCTGGGAGTCGGATGGTCACGGATCCGGCAGGAGGCCGTCCGTGGCTGTCTTGGGGGGGAGGGGATACTCGGGTCTCTCAAGAGGCCTGAGTTCCCTTGTGGTCGGTCGGTTTCCGCTCTGTCCGCCGTCGGGCGCTTGCGCTCGTCGGTGGGTGGTTGGAGACTGGCCGCGTGGGCTTGGGTGGGAGGGGTAAGGGGTTAACCCTCTCGCGATTAAGCAAGCCCGCCAGGCGGGGGGACCCTCCTGGTCACTTGGAGTGAGCCCTCTGCCGCCGGATCGTCGCGGATGTATGCTTCGGCGATTCCCGTGGCGATCCACGAGGCGGCGCCAGAAGTGACCGCTGGTGTTTTAGTGGGTAGCATGTAGTGTTGAGTAGGACATACATGAGGCGCTTCATTTGTCCCGGACATGACGTCAAAATGTAAGAGTGCCTCGAAATTTAAAATTGTACTACTTCAATTTTTTTGTCGCGGTCGAGCGAGGCAGAGAAACGTCAAACGACAAACACGTCTGACGTCACGGTCGTCGCGTCTGACATTATGAGCGAGAGAGAAATATATTGTCTTTCATGCGAGGCGAGGCGCCAGCCAGGAGGCGCGTATTTAAAAATTGAAATAGTAATAATCTTATCGTTACATTTTGGATAATTAATTAAAAAATTTGTTATTCTGATGCAAGTATAAGTTATATTCTTGTAAATTTTGATTAAAATCCATTTAGTAGTTTTTGAGTGAAAGAATAACAAACATACATCCATCCATCCATCCCACATCCATCCTCACAAACTTTCCCGTTTAGTTTTAATAGGTATATTAGGTTAGAAATTTCATATTCGTAATCATTTGGTTAGAGTACCTAACAGACTATAAACACATAAAATTCATTTTTTATACTTGTAAGATTTAAAATATTTGTACTAAACATAAAACAAACAAACGACATGACAAAAGCACGTCGCGTCTGACATTTGAGGCGCCAGTATATTTCGTACTATAACTTCATATGGTTCAATTCGCCTCGCCTCATTTGAAGTGGGACATTGTACTGGCTCAGGACAAAAAAGAGGCTACTCTTACAAACTCTGTTTGAAGTCGTGTCCTACTCAACACTAGTAGCATGGGACCTTCTGGCCCGTGAATCCCACATGACCGCCTCTGTCTCCCCTAGACGGAGGGGTAGGTATAAAACCTTTCACCACGTTAACAAAAAAAAAAGGGATTCAAATTCTATACATCAGGTTGGAGATTGTTTTTACCGTAACTTAAAATGTTCTTGAATTATCTTTATTTTTTAATTTGGTGTTTATTTATTTGTATAAGTCTGAACATTGGTTTTGATTGACTATCTTTTTTTGATTTAATAATAAAAATTACATGACTGTTTTCAATATCTCCATTCATTTATTAATTGTTCTAAGGGAATAAGGAATTTGTTACTTTAATAACTATGTAACCAAAGGTGCTAAATACATGTAAATATGTTTGTTGTGTTTTTAAGTTTTAAGGTGAAGGATATACTTACATAATATATTTTATAAAATTGTTACTAATTCTGATGTCAATGTTTATAATTTATAAAGAAATTAAATAAATGACAGTAATAAAACAGAGCTTTTTGTTTTTTTATCGTTTAATGATATCAATTGACCAGTTTACATATAAAAGTGTTATACAGACTATATAATAATGATTAATATTGGTGAAATAAAAAGACATAACATTGGATTCTCTCGCCTACAAATATTCAACATCGGTTATCAAGTTGGAGGAGATATATTGATGTGATATTTGTCTCCCGTTCTCGGCAACTAAAATGATCCTGGGTTTTTTGCCTCTCAATAGTATAGGTTGCGGCGGGGCAGTTGAGTTCACATCTAGAGGAGGCAGGTTCTGAACGTAAGCTCTCAGCTCATCGCGACTGGTAAAGGACTTATTCCCGTAATAAAGACGGCCTTCTTCCATGTCTTTTATCTCCCAAGGCTTGGATGTTTCAAAGTAGCCGCCATCACCCTGCGTTTTATGATACACTTTATTTTGATATACAAAAACGAGAGCTTGAAAAAATAAATATTTTTTTGACAACTATTTAATGACAGACATTATTTGTACCAGTATACTAGGCTAAACTAATATGGTACCTAGGTTCTGTGGCTCTACCGATTTTATTTTTACCTCAAGCTGCAGTACTAATTAAATTCAAAATATAAAAACCTGAAATTCCAAAAAAATCTATTGGACGCTACAAAATAACTTCTTCGAGGTTTAGCGTCTTAGAAACATCTGAATTACTTACTTCAACTAAAATTATAACGACTTTCATACTGACAGAATTACCCAAATGGTTTTCATCTTTATCGCTTTGGTTGCATCTAAATCTAATGAAACAACAGATGACGAACTCTGTTCATATTACACTTTGAAACATTGTTTATTTTTGGATCTTTATATAATTAGAGTTTGGACAAGACAAATGCTTCGTCAGTCTCTTGGTGTAAATTATGTGAAAGAATAGTAATTAAGAAGAAGATTAACATATCTCAGCTTTTACTAAAAATACATTCTATAACGCAGTAGACGAGTTCGTATTTTAAACACATAGTTTCGATACTTTACGATCGTCAACTGCCATAACAATAGAAGAAGTCACCTCTAAGTGGGAGACAGCATAGTGGTTTCCATGTTTTGCCGTCAACAGTGACACCACCTGACCGTCACGTCCCACCAACGGAGTTCCAGCCATAAACTTGTTAAGAGACTCCAAGGTCGGGGCACACCGCCAGCTGGCCACCACACCGTCACTTGATGTCAGAAACAAACGCTTATGACGGTTCAGGAACACCTGGCAGACAAACCTCACGTAATGTACATGTACATCATGTTGTATTGAGGAACTTTATTACCATTTCTATTTCGTGGATGGTTAATTTATATATGGAAGTAAGTTTTTTGGTTTCTTGTTTCAATGGCCAAGAACTATGTGTAACACATAAAATGTCCCCTATTCTTGTCTCATTGGAAATTCCATAAAGCCCTGTATATAACACAAAAATGTTCTTCTAAATACCTTTTCGGCTTTGTTCTCGTCGAGTCTGACAAACACAAGTTCTTCCAGCGGCGCGAACAGCTTGTCCGTGAACAGGTCACAGTAGTGGTGCGTCGTCTTGGATAGCAACTCTTTCTAAACACATCAACCAAACACAGATTTATTAACCGTAACTTAATTTATAACCGGCACAAGAAAAACAAATGGAACTACATATATAAAATTTAACATAGTCTATTGATCCCTTTCATTAATTATTTCCAAAAGAGATGTTTTGATAATCAACCCGTATATAATCCATTCTCGTTATCTGTACCAAAAAATATTTTTAAATAATATTATAAATATTTAAAGATGATAAGACCGAGCTCATTAATAGCAATAATAAATTCAAGATCACAAGAAGTATAATATTTTTGCACGAAAATGTATTAAAGACTTACCTCCTCCTGCGTAGCACAATGTATAGGCATTGCATTCCCCACCTTTGAATATGGTTTACCATTATATTCGTGCAGAGTGGCAGGAATAGATACGTTCTCCACTAGTCCGTAGTACTTTTCATTCAATGCTGTGCTTTTCAACATGATGTGCTGTTTACAATATATTTATTATTTTTTTTTCTATCGATCTGTTTAAATAAATTTAATTATACGAGACCAGAAGCGTAAAAATCTCGTGCATGTTACATTTTACCATAAAATGTTACACTCTTGAAATTAGAAGATAGCTGTAATTTATTTACTTATTATAAGTAGATACTTAGAAACATAGATATGTTTCGTATAATTCACCTGTAGCTTGACTTAAACCAAATAATACGATCTTAAAATTCAGCATTAGGTAACTTGAAATTGATGTGATAACCAGATTACGACTATTTATTAAAGTAGATACAAAGAGTTATAAATATTCCAGACATTATATATATCACAAAATCTTATTCCATTAAATATACAAAAATGTTGCAATTATTGTCATCATAATCAGAATCCTTGGTACAATTCTTCCGTTTCCATCTTTACACATTTTTATAAAGAAAAATCAACACTATGTAGGTACAATTAATCACGATAAGGTAAAAACAATAATTGTCTCCATGTTGATAATAACTCAGATAAATGTATTTATGTATTAAAGTATCGTTACATAAATTGCTTAACAGATTTCACATTTTTTATTAAGTAAGTATATAACTTTTAGTTAGTAAATAAACTATTATACTCTCACTGAAATGAGACATTGCCAACATTTTAATTAGATAATAAATTATTTCAGCTTATATATCTACATCAAAATCGAAATATAATTGACGTTATAAGCGATAGTGAGATAAAATGCAAGAAAGAGAATTAAGAGTAATGAATTAGTACTGATTGTATTAATATGGGCTTATAACTACAAATCATTTGTAGTAACTATCGTGTTACATTTTAGTAAAATGATAAAGAATACTAATAAGATGTCCTCAAAATTAAATATATATACTACTTAAGAATAGTATTCCTAGATATAACCTCTTAAGTTTATTATATTTATAACCAAACATCCACAACATTATACCAGCGCCTTCATCGACGTGGGAGTTATTATTTAGACGAAGGTAATATTTTAAAAGTTCCTATTACACCATGTACCTATTTGTCACCAAAGTTTCGTTTCGAAGGTTAACGGAATAAACTCACAGGCGGAGAAAAAAAGGTTTATTTTGGTATTTGTATTATCCATTTAATACAAAACAGTTTCTTTGATATTAAAATCAACCTCAAATTATTTTATTTTTATGAAAATGAATCACACTTACTGCAGTCAATCTTATAACAGAATAAGTAAGGACTTTATAAAACGTAAATTTTAAAGCGTTAAGCTATTTACACTATAACTGTATGAAAATAATCACAAACATAAATTACTCCACACCCGACGATATATTACTATCATATTAACTCGAAGATTTCGTACGTCTCTTGTCTTTGATAACGCTTATCAGTCATTAATTTTATCAATGCATACATTCTACATATAAACTTTCTCTGGTCAAAAATGTATTTAAAATAATTATAATGTAATAATTATTACGCCTTTTGAATATGTTGTGGTGAGATTATCGACATGTGTTGGAAAAGTATATCCACATAGCTTTTTTTTTGGGATGCAATGCGAATGAATGTGAAAAGCATTGTATTAAAAAAACTTAATCTAAATTAACTGTTTAATCCTACTTCTACATACCTAGCTATAATTTATAAACGGTATTTTGTTCATATTTAAAACAGAAATACCGTAAAACGAATATCCTTTTTGGATGTGAGACAAAAATATAGTTAACACTTATTAATATAGTGCGATTTCTTTATTAATAGAATATATACTATAATTTCAGAAATAATCTTGACAAAAGCATCTCTGGTAGGCAGAAAGTCAAGGGATTTGAATACACTGTAACACAGTCCATATAAACTTACTCAAATTTTTTAAGAGAGTTTGGTCAAAGAATAAATCACAATATACATTACTTTGTGAGTATCTCATTAGTTATGTTATTAGTGGCAAGCTTAAAATAGTCTTAAGAAAGTAGCTTTAGGACTTGTAATAAATGTTCTAAATATATGTACAAACAATAAATGTCCTTGTCCTAGCTTCATAGAAACTAATGAGGGCCTTAATATTATAGAGAATATTATGTTAGTAATTGATTTTATACGTACTTGAAATTTTGAACTGATATTTTTACTTGAAGAATAAAATCTCTACAAATAAACGTAGACACAATGTGTGCTTAATACGATTAATAAAATTAGATAGAACTTTGGACTTGCAATTCAACACTTAATGACTTTATCTACATCAATTGGCTATAAATATTCAATTCTCTGTAAGTACCTAACTAAAAGGCATTCTAAATAACTTAACCTTATTATTTACACTATACACAATAGAGCTGAATAATAGCGAAACACAAGATTTGATTAACAAAACGGGGAGTTCCCAACCATAGGCAACAAATAATAAACGTGAAATAAAAGAAGTTATACATAGTGTATAATATATTATATATTTAATTATTTATTCTTTTGGAATAATTAAAGATTATTTTTTTACAAATAATAATAATTATTATTATTACTATTATAGATATATAACCATATTCATGCAAAAAAGGCACAACAAGCAGAGGTCGCCCATGGACAGCCACAACATAGTTTTGTGGATGCATTGTCACCCCTGATTGGGAAAGAGGGAGACGAAAGGTTGGCAAAAGAGTAATGGTAGGAAAGAGTAGGAAAAGGGAATGGGCAATTAGCTGAGGAAAAGGGAAAGAGCATTTAAAGTGTTCTGGTATTTATTCTACTTTTTTCTTATATTCTAGTTCCCTCTCTTCAACACATCCGTCTCAGCTTCACCCCGGCAGTCTCTATTTCCGATAAATTATAATTACATGCATATTGCTTTTCCTTTATATTGTTTGTTATTTACTTATTTCTATTAATTTATTTAATTTTGTATGGCTGTTTTTGAGGCTTAGCAAGATTATTAATGCGAAATATTTGTACTAATCCGGGGGGGATATCGTCTTTCGTCAATACATATATGTATATATCATTAGTGAAGGTCATTGACTTCATTAACGAATAATTGTACAATCTCTCCTTCAATTCTAGTATTTCCATATATTTTACAAAAGAGCATGTGTATTGGATTATAAAGCGACATAAATCTCTACAAAACATAAAGGAACATTAACAACTTATAACTACAATCCAAAGCAAAATCACGTTTATTACATTTATAGCTAATTTACACTAAAACATAAGACAACTTGAATTTAGTATCACCGTAGGTGTACAATAAATCATTTAGATATCTAAATAAAAATAAGTATTCAATATTGTTTGTTAATCGTCTTGCACATAATAGGTTTTGATATAATTTGTAAGAACGCTGCTAAAAGAAAAAAAACTTGGATCATGCCAATTTTTTTTATAATTGCCTTTCATCCAATAAAAAAAAAATCATGCTGACCGAAGACGAAAAATTTATATAATATTGATATTTTTTTTTTTATTAAAACTGTTAAATTTATGTACTTAGATATCTTCTTACCAACACACTTTTACCAATTTGTAGACAAGAACGATCTGTGCCTGTAAAGAATTTACCATGACTTTGGAACAAGAGCCGTTGTTAATCATTGCGATTTTGTTTTTCACTATAGTCTAAAAATTTGTTTTAGTTAATACATAAGCTGTACGATAAAAAATTTATGGTCCAACATTACTAAATATCGAAGTTTTTTTAGAAATATATGTCATGTGTGTCATGTGTACGAGTTTTTTTTTTACCTTGGGAAAATTCATTTACGCATCCCCGCCGTTTTTGAGGACAGCGGGGTATGTGGGACTCGTTTCCACCACCCGCTAAAACCCAAGCGGGGGGTCACTTTCGCATTTCACCGGCTTATGTTTACGAGTAATTTAACCCTATAATGAGTAAATATCTTTTTTTACTTATTTGAGTAGTGATAAGACTACATAAATCTGCTTCTATTATTTTTTCTGTGACAAAATTAATTAATAAAAACTCGTAGTGATGTTGATACATATCGTTACTGTAGTTTAAGTATATATGTAGTTTTTTATGTTAAAGGTGGCAAACAAGCAGACGGCCCACTTGATGTAAGGTAGGTACCGTGGCACATGGACATCCGCAACATCTTTGTTGCCAACCTTGTTTTTTAGGGATAGGGAGGGGAGGGAATAAGAAAATGGTAGGAAAGGGTGGGAATAAGGAAATTGCAATCGGCTCTCTCACTCATCGGACGAAAAGCAGCCATTAAAGGCTACTTCACGTAGATCTTCTGTGAGAGGGTGGTACTTCCCCGGTCGAGCCAGCGCATGTTCGAGCTGTAGTAACTAACCACAACTAAGCTCTACCACCTAAAAATTTATTGCAGCAGTTAGTGTCATACCATCCTTAGCGAACCAGGTTATTATTAGAAAGTAATGAAAATTGGGTATTTTATACAATGTGAATTATGAATATAGTTTAATTATCAAAACAGGTATTAATATTTATTATCAATAAGGATAACATCGCAATCTGTATATGGTACCATTCTAGCAGCATTCAATCTTCGTGGTGTTGTGGCGCAGATCGATGCCGATCGAGCTGGATCACGGTACAGCAACTTGCAGCCTCCCCCAGGAAAACTCACCACCTCCACTACCAACACGTAGTGGCCGCGATATCGGCCACCGAAAACACGCCTATAAGTTCAACAGTTTTTAGCTAAAGAATTCTTAACTTCGTTGACTTTCATGCTTGCATAAAAATAATAATAGTTCAATCTCTTCTTACACTTAATGTGAAGGTTACGAACCGTTTGATCGGGTAGAGTGAATGATAGTTGAGAGCAAGAAATATGATTTAGCAAAGATAAAAAGATATGAAGTCACTTTCATTTATTACTGTAGGGCCGAAAAAGATCGGTGAGAGTACATGTTTCTTTTCTATCTTTAACTCATACGTTGAGTTGGGAAAAAAGAAGTTTTACTCCAGTAGTTTGGTTTAAAGGACCTAATTCGTTTTTTAAGTCTTTCATCAATTGTCATCTATTGAATAGGCAGAAAAACAAAGGAAAAATATTACCAACCTAATTTCAGAAGACAGCTTGTTATGTTTACACAAGTCGCAGGACAATAAGGCTTCGTCTACAAGCACCAGAGCTGGTCCAGTTCTGGCTACGTGGTCCATTAATGCCTTTGTGGAGAGAGCGCCGTCAACGATGATAATGTCATTAGCGGCTGCCTTGACAAATCTAATTTTGACGCGATCTGCATCCTGTTCTTTTAAAAATATTAGTAATACTCGGTAATGAGTAATTTATTTTTTCATTTATTTATCATGATTATGTTTATACAAATAATGACTTACATTTATAGTCACCCTGTTTCCGCTGCTACCAGCTTTACAATTAGGAGCACGTCTGGTAGTGTAAAAGCGATGATTGACGTCAAACCTAAAATCATTTGGTTGAGATTTATGTGGTTCAAAAAAAACAATGAAGCTGCAATATAATTTATCGTTCTTAAAGACGTTCTAATACAATTTTATTAACTACTCTTAGCTATAACATTTAAGTAACGACCTTTTCTTAAGTTATTTGCTTTTATTGATATGTTGCAATTAAAATATTTCTTTAATAGGTGTCATTAACTTGCAAGTAAGTTAAAATACACATAACAGGAGCACAAGTTGACCTGCAAACTGTCGTCAAAAGAAGTCGTGCAAGATGCGAACACGACTCCAACTAAGAATATTACATGCCCGTGCAAAGTTGTATAGAATTATAATTTATGACCAAAAGTTTCCCTGCGCTGGTGAGAATAGTCACAGGTTAACATTAGAAAACAGGCCACGAAATCTATTGTAGTCTAAAATAGATTGAATACCTCTTACCGTTTTAATAAATACGATATATCAATTGTCCAAGTATTAGTACCAAATCCCTCCTGTTGACATATTTCAAAAAAATGTTTATTAAAATAATTTCTCTGCTTTTCTGACAACAACATCAAAACGCAGGCTATGCCGCAATCCCAGTCGAATCTTTGTTTGATATGGGGAATGTTGTATTTTACGAACTTAACCATATTCTCTACATGAAAATGTTAAAGGCATAATTTTTAACTCAAATTTGCCTTGTTTTCAACAAGACATTATATGATATTTGTTCTCATAACTTTATGCACACATACCACTAGACTTTTCTTATACTTAACGCTACATATCGGTTCTTATCATTATCACTAGTCAATAATAATATCAATCGTATGCTTATCACCATAATTTCCTCGTAAAAATAAGTAGGCTATTCGAGGTGTTGGATAAACATTACTTTTTCAATGTTTTATAAATGTGAAGGGATTAAAAAAATAAAAAAAAACGTTAATTCTTTTATGCTATTCAATAGAATGGTGATTCTTTTTACAGAAAAGACAATTATACTCTTTTTGACATAAGCAAGATATCAAAAATCTCAAAGTGAACGAATCCACGGCATAAAAAAAGTATCTGAAAGTGTCAAATGTCATTTATATATGTCATTAGTACAGGAATCATCTGCACGAAAATTGAAATTTATTATTAACATTAAGTAAGAGCTGACTAAAAAAGTAGTGTTTGAAGATGGCACTAAGAAGATCTATATTCCGGTTAATCTCTACTACAAAAACAAGCAACGGTCTTTGTAAAGTGAGGTATTACAGCTCCCAAGCCGATACCCAAACTGAAGGTGAAAAGAAGAAGACTCATTTTGGTTTCGAAACAGTAGATGAAGATGAAAAAACCAAAAAAGGTAGAAAAAACCAAAAAAGATCCTCCTATCGTAAAAACTCGACTTTTAAATTGTACTATTTTGTTATAGTAAAAAAATAACTTTAAATTATGAGTATGTCACAATTTTTACTACATTGTTTCAGTGCATAAGGTGTTTGAGACGGTAGCAGATAAATATGATCTTATGAATGATGTAATGTCTTTTGGTGTCCATCGACTTTGGAAGGACATGTTCATGATGATGTTGGCTCCAACTCCTGGTACTAAGTTATTAGACATGGCTGGAGGAACAGGTGAGACCCATAAAATTATTTATATTTCTTTATATCAAACCAAAGATATTTAAATAGATAAATTGTTTGGAAAAGAAATAAATAAATAAGGGTTAACAATTAAGAAAATGCCTGCATATTTTTTAATATATAATAATAAGTTTTAAATAGATTTTCATCTTTTTTTCTCTCTTGTATCAACCTGTTTGATTATTTTACTTCTTACATGCATTATTAGTGTTCTTTAACACACTAAAGAGAATAAATAGCTTTTAGGTAGTTGACAAATATTTTTGTGATCTTATTTATTACATAAAATTGATTTTCTATTATAGAATTTCACAGATGCTATAAATCAACAATTGATTAAACGAAAACTATTACACATGTCTAGAGAATATAAGGTATTAATGCTGAATTAACAAAAAAAAAATTGAATCATAAATATTGTTCTTGCGATAGGTCATAAACAGTTAAAATATTGTTTTTTTTCATAGAATTATGAGAGGAATATTCTTTATTGATGTTTTATTTTAAAGGAATTAGGTGATTATTTATGAATCTATGGAAATGGATTTACTTTCATAAAACATTTCTAATAGTTATGAACTATAGTAAAATTTTCTATATTTTTTTGTCTAAACAGACACAAAGTATTTTATATGTAGATTTTCAATGCATTGTTTAGTTTGATGAATTTTAAGGTAGACAAGTTAAGTTACAATAATGAAGGTATAAATTTCTTGGTCTATTATTATTAAAATTATCCATTATTTAGTTTGAGTTTTATACAAGATGTAGCTTTTAGAAAGAGGTCTATAGTTCCCTGTACAATGTTGCACTATTAGGGACTTACAGCAAATTTCTCTCATCCAAGACATGTGAATAAATGGAATGTTTAATTTTATTAATAAAATTTAAATTTCAGGTGACATAGCATTCAGATATATTAATTATTTGAAGAATCAAGCTGGTCCAAATGATGTTCGTAGTAGTGTGACAATAAGTGACATTAACCAGTCCATGTTGGATGTCGGGAAGATAAGGGCCGAAAGGTACTTAATATTTAATATAGTTTATCACTGCATGCAACAATAATAAAAAAATCCAGTTTGTTCCAGTTTAAAAAATATGCTTGCATGTTCTACTCCAAATCAGCATTCATCATATAATCATAGCCTATTTTGCTAATTTCAATTCATAAATGTTATCATATTGAAGAAAAATCAATGTTTTTTGCCAGATAAACGTTTGTAATTTGATGTTGAAGTCTTTATTGTTTTCATTTATGGGCTTTGCTATAGAAACCATGACATTCTATTTGTTCTAACTTTGTTAAGAACAAACTTGTCTATTTACAATTAAATATTTAGACTAAAATATTTAGTCTAAAGTGCAAATGTAAAAAATATATGTTTTAATTATCACTTTGGCCCTATAAAATAAAATAACTTTTTTATGGCGCTATTCAAATGGTCTGTTAAAAGTAATATAAAATTTAATGAATTGAGAAAATTGTTTATCAATTATTTATTATAATGTGACCAATTTTATATATACTCTTTTAAATAAATAGATAGATAGACGCACTGAAGAAACATACGTCGTCTCCATAAATTTGGACATTATCAAAATCTATGTGCACTGTATATTACTAAAAATAAAGAGACCCCCAATAAAAAAGTCATTAAAGACAATCTAAACTTTCAACTAAAAATAGATTGAGCATACAAAATAGCTCTAGATATATGTATTTAAGTAATATATTGAAATTTACAGTAGTTTTTTTTGAAATATTCTAATAAAAATTTAATATTCTAGGCTGGGTTACATGAAGGACAGTATGGTTGACATAGATTGGGTGTGTGCTGATGCTGAAAAACTTCCTTTACCCGACGACAGTTACAATGCCTACACTATCGCTTTTGGTATAAGAAACTGTACACATATTGATAAGGTATACTTTTTTTTCTATTTGGAGAAAAATTAGGTAAGATTCTGTACTCAACTGCATCTGAAGTTTATGGACTAACTACTTGACAATGATATTTATAATATTAACTTCATCTTTCGTTGAGATATATTTAAATCGGATCTAATCCTTCCTCTTCTAATGCTAAGGTCCTTGAGGAGGCGTACCGCGTTCTACGTCCGGGTGGTCGATTTCTGTGTCTGGAATTCAGTCAGCTAACAAATGGAGCCCTGCAGTGGTGTGTTAAACCTTTTATGATATTAACTGTTGTTGTGTTACATTTACTACATAGGTAATACTGGTATCGAAATCCATAATTTGCAGGTTGTATGACCAATATTCTTTCCAAGTTATCCCAGTCATGGGCCAAATAGTTGCTGGACAGTGGCAACCCTACCAATATCTTGTAGAGAGCATCCGACAGTTCCCTGATCAGGTACATACATACATATGTATGTTTTTAAGATTTTTTTTGTATCCATATATAAAGGTTCAGTTACTGATTCAATTTTTTTTTCAAGGAAAAATTCAAAACGATGATAGAAAATGCTGGCTTCAGACAAGTGACTTATGTAAACATCAGCTTTGGTGTTGTTGCTATACACTCGGGGTTCAAAATCTAGATATTATAGGATTTTGTATTAGTTTAGAGTTGTGTAAATATTATTTAAATAAAACAACATCAAATTATTAATATGTAATTTATTAAATCCATCAAACTGTGTTGGTCTTTGGAATGCAGATCCAGTACCTAAATTACATTCATATACACTACATCGGGTTGACGTTTCGAAATCTAATACAATCCATATCGATACAGTCGTGGCACGCACACACACACACACATGCATCTCACACACAACTCAGCCACACTGTATATAACGAGGCAAAGCTCGAGGGCCGTAATCGGTTAGCTCGTAGTTGGGAGTGCATGTTATTGCAAAAAATCAAAATCATACCCAGAGATCCGACAATATCCGGTCCGGGTCGGGTCCCAAGTCCGTCCATCCGGTCCGGTCCCCGCAGCCCTCTAGCTACGTCCGTCCTATCCTATCCTCTAACACCTCCCAGCCAAGCATCCATCGAGTCCAATCCACAGAGGATGAAACAAAAGAAAATACTTTTAATTATAACTATCAACACTCGTCTGTATATACAACGGCCACTCCCCGTGCTAACGACGATCGACTGACATCTGTCTAAGAGTCTAGACTCACTAAACTATTATAATATTATGAACATTTCAACATTATTCCGGTTGTGATTTGAACATTAACTTATCTAAATCTAAGAGGATCATAAACGATATGTAGTGTAATGTTATATTTCATACAGTTAAAATTCAATACATTATGTTCATGTCAATAAAAAATATTATTACTAGACAATTGTACATGTATTCATAAAAAGCAGTAAAACATAATTAATAATATTCCTTAGCTTCGATCTCTAGGACATACATGCAGAGACAATCAGCCAATAAATATTTACATAAACATAACATACTACAATCATTGTTACATTACAATGTAAAAAAGGATAATAATTAAAATTTAATTAAAACCACCATCTTAACTAACTTAAAAACTAGGACGCGATAACTCCCATCACACAAAACTCTCACATCGCCGAAGTACGGGGAGCGAATTGATCATAATACACTCCATTAGGTTGTGGTATACAAGCGACACATTTGACAATAGTACACGCATGTCTGCCATCTTCGCGTCATATAGGCATATAAAGGGTTGTGTATTGTTGTCAAAGGGTCGACGGGTCGCCGCCGCCACCGCCGCCGCGTTCTGCAGAAAACATTAGTTCAGTGACACACAAACACACGGACAACACCGACCACACCCGCTCTAATTTGGACTTCCTTATATATATGTCCTCACTGTCATCACTCAATAGTTTAATGTCTTCGTTAATATAAAATTGTTAATTTAAATTTTTTCGTCTGTTATGAACATCCAAAACTATTAATTAGTAACTATATTCCTTTTTAGTTTCTATTTGAGGAACTTCACTAGTGCAAAACACGTGTTATTAAAGCACTCCATTAGTATTTTGTGAACTATTATTAAACACTATTAAACCACTAAGACAGTTGAGCTAACTTTTTAACAGAAAATAAAAACAAAAAAAAAAACAGTGTAAATTTTGTATCCCTCCTGTGTCCAAATATGAATCTTAATCCTGTGTATTCCTTTCCATGCAATCTGACTTAAGTTACTTATTGTTTTTTTTCCTAAATCCTGTCCAATCCTGAATTATCCAAATTATTGAGTGTAATCCGAGTGTCCATTATCCAGCTTATAAAATAAATAAGATCCAACATGTAAATAAAAAATCCAAGGAAACTGTGAAAAGGACCTGTTGTTACGGACAATTATGATCACTTTCAAATTAATGTGAAACAAATATTTTATATGGACCTTAAAATATATACAGGGTGACTGGTGAATTACTATCAATATTTAAGGAGCATACTCCGTACATGATTCTCATTCGAATTATGTAAAAAAATAGGTACTTAATTTTTGCCCAAATTTCCGTATAAATAAATAAAGTGTGGACCCGTTCCAAGTGTACGAAGTGTGGACGCGTGCGGCGACGTGCTGATACAACACCACGCCGCCGCACGCGTATGTGTGTGTGTGTGTGTATACCTAATCTGTAGGGTGTTCACACGATGCGTAATTAATTACATAACTTTTGGTTAACTTTACTTAGAAGTTTATTAATATTTATGTTATACATATTAATTTTTATTTTGTCATATATGATCGTCAAATATCACGTCCTCAAGTATCGATAGTAATTCACCAGTCACCCTGTATAGCCTTTTAAATATCATTTGTATCATGTAAATGATTGTGTTGTGTTATTTAAAGAAGCTGAGTGTAATTTTTGTATTAATTTTCTTCCAAAAGTAATAAATCTAAAGGTAAATAAAATAAAAGTGTTCAGATATTACATTCAATCAAATTACTCACAATTGCCCCATAGTTAATATTTAATGTAACATTAATATTAAATATTTAACAAGTATTAATATGTCCAATACTCTTTTAACAACAATTTTGTTCATTCAAATCTATTTCCAAGTAATAATCGATTTAAATAAATAACATCTTACAACAAACACATTTATCAGTTGCTCAGCATAGTATTTCAATCATGACCATCTAATTTATTTTTACAATAAAAAACTCAAAGAAAGTTGATTAAATTATCAAAATATACTTAAATATTAATGCTTTCCATTAAATATTATACATAATTTCAATTCGCAAAGTAAATTAAATTATTGAGTATGGTAAATTCAGCTAGCAATTAAATAATTATGAAGTGCTGTGAAAATAGTTTTGTGTCTTTTATATAGATGCTATTTCATTAAGTAGTTTAAAATTTGTGTTTGATGCTTGTGTTGTGTTTGCCTTACTGTAATGTTCATGTGTATGTGTGTATATAAATGTGCACATTTCTTCATACCTCAGTAGTTTCGTGGGCGGGAGGCTACAGGCGAGCGAGAACGGGAGCGAGAACGTGAGCGCGAATAAGAACGCCGCACCGGAGAGTATGATGGAGATCCCCGACGAGTGTACGATGGTGACGTGGTCGGATATGTAGGGGATCTGTAGGAACAAATTATGTATAATGACAATTTAATTCTGTCAATTGATAATATAAGACTAGCTTTCATGTTAGCTATATGCAACCATCGCCCACCTGTCCCTCAGCCCGCCGCCGCCGCCACTGCCGTAGTCTTCCTTAACGCGGATGTAAGACACCTCCCCCTCGTGGCTCCTAAAACGCGAGTCATCCAGCTTTTTGACGGCGTACTTCATGTCCTCGTGTCGTAGGAATTCCACTACACCGGTGCCGTCTTTGAAAGTGTCTGCGAAGCACACGTCTCCCGCTTCACGCATGTGATCCTTCAGATCCTGGGAATATGGTATGAGACAGGATATTAGTACCATTTAAAATTATAATCTTTAAATACAGGCTGTATTTAAGTGTGTGTCATCGCACCTGCCAGGAGCCGGATGGCGGTAGTCCTGTGACTAGCACCCTGTACTCCGAGCGACGTGCTGGAGGGCCTCGTGCTGCCGGACGCGGCCCGAAGCGATCGGGCTGCGAGCGTCCTCCACGCGCACCACCGCCGCCCCCACGAGGGAACTCTACACGCAGCCTATACCCATCGTAGTCATAGCCATCGCGAGCACGAACTGCATCATCTGCATCACTGAAAAATAAATAACATATAAGAAACACTTAAACAAACCCCTGAAACATAACTTTTTTTTTTACATACTAACATCCGTTTCTAGACTAAGCTAAGCGCTCCCCTTGTTAGTGTTCCATAAGCAGAAAATTCAGGAATTTAAAATACTTTTTATAAGGAAACTGATTTGTACAGAAATGTTTCTTTATTCGTTTTTTATAAACATAAATTATTATTTGACCTTACATTTAAACTAGTATTATTATAGATTTATGCTTTGTAGTACCTTTACTGTTTAAATTTACCAATTATGTTGCCGAGCAGTTAAAGTATAAATATAAAAAAAAAACATATGTGTAATGTTTCAATGAATATAGTAATTATATTGTTGATTAAAACATGCCAGTAATTCCCCTGTACTCATTACATATCATACTATTATCACTAAACAACTGGCTGATAACACAATCAAGTTTTATTAGAAATGATAACAATTATTGCCACAGAAAATAACAATAAAAGATTAGAGGATATCTTTAGAGAGAAGCCACAAGTTGGAAGTTTTGGCCAATATCCAACAAGTACATCAATGGAACATGAAAACATTTCAAAGTATTTATAAATTTAAAAGTAGAGTACAATTGTATTCATATTGTTTCATGTGAGGTGAATATACAGTACATTCATTGAAAATAATTATATATATATAAATAGCATTTCACCAATAATCAATTTCAGATCTTTTCTTTCAAAATTCAAATTAATTATTAATTTGTTTGATAACAATTTGTGCGGGTTATAAAAATATAATGAAAGTGAAGGGAAAAGAAAAATTTCAATAATTTTATTTCCATTAACTAATTGCTTGGGTCATTTAAATGAGGTCAAATATAGGATACTAAATATTAATAAATTTTAACTATAAGGAAAGGATAAGTTCAAAAAAATCATATATTGTAGAAGTAAAAGTTGCGCATCTTATATAATTTTCGTATAATAAATATAAAGATAAAAATGTATGAACCCAAACCGCCAAAGCAATTTGTATTTAAGATTTAGGTCATTATGGTCATGAAGCATCTAATTATATATATTTGGTACTATGAAACAGTCAATTTTACCTTCTTTAAATGTTATAGAATATTTCATGCGAATTAATGCTTACAGACTTATTGATTTTGTATTCAACACAAAAAAATAATGTACAGGTTTTCAAAGTAATAATTATAAATTGGTAGAGTAAAATAATTACCAATTAATGTAAAATAATACCCACCGAGGATCTTCAAATTCGACGAACGCAAACGGTGGTCCTTTTCTGTTCTTCAAATCAACGAACGTGACTTTACCAAATTTGTAAAAAAGGTCTTGGATGTCCTTTGTCCTAATATCTGGAGGCAGATTACCAACGTATATTCTGCATTCATTCCTGCTACCGCCACTACCTCCGGACATATTTGAGAGATTTTTAAAAGAATGAAGTTAAAAGTTATAGTAAGTAATTACACTTCAACAGAATTTATTTAAATATTTTAAAAGTGGGCCGTCAGCGTTTACTGAAAATTACACATCTGACAAATCAAAATGGCGACTCGGGCACGTAGTAGAATGTGGGCGAGACGAGCGTTCTCCGTTCGGATATGTTTCTTAAAAATAAATTTTATGTTGTGGTATTTTTATTTATTTCCTTATTTTATGTATTTTATTAAACAACAATGAAATTTTATATTTAAATTATATGCTATGAAATTATTTGTTTTATTGTAATAAACAAAATTCGTCAACATAGGATTGTTGGTTTTACTTTTTCTGTTTATTAAAAACTGAAAAAATCTAAATTATGTTGTAATTTATAAATTCTTTGACCAGTTATATACGTTTAAAAATGTATTTATAATTTTTTTTGATCTTAGAACATATTCAAATTTAGAACGCCCCCTAGCGCGACACGAAGCAATATTCATTGAAAGAAGCCTTTGAAAGAATCCTCTAGAAAGTAGGCAAAGAATCTCCGGTATCAAAATCATTACGTGAGAAATTGTTCATAGTCCGACGTTAATGTAAGTAAAATTTAAATTATTTCGTGAAATATGAAGAGTTTTTAATATCCTGCGGATTCTAAATATTATTTTATTCTTTAATAATTGTTTTAGCTTAAAAAATGTGTGAAAACCTTTTGTCGTTTAACATGATTTTTTATAACATTACCGAAAATGTTTAGTAAAGTTATAGTTATTGATTAAATTTCCATGTTTCTATGGTGATAACCCATGTAATGGTGGAAGTATTTTTTTTTTGTATTTTATTATCCTTTTTGTAGAGCCTTTTTAGCCGCTGTTTTATTTTATTTCATGACGGGTATTAAGGCATTCGCTTCTGTAAAGATAACCACTAGAAAATCTATAGTAAAATTGTGTAAATCAAGGTATTATTAGAAATATTTTTCGACTTCTATATTAAAAATTAGAATTCATTTTTGTTCGGGGTGGGTAAGGTAATTTGTAAAAGTGCGCGCGGGGATGGATTCACGCCTGACCTTTTAAGTTATTTATAGCTCCTGTTATTGAACATAAACAATCAATGGTTCGGTTTACGCATGTGGAAAATCAATTAACTAGTCGAGATTATGATAACCTTTTTGTAAGGGTTGTCGGAAGTGTCTAGTACTTAAATCGGACTTATTTGGCGCGAGTCGAGTATGTGGTGCTAAAAGAAGTCATGAGCGGAAATATGAATCCAAATTCTTTGACTTAAAAATCATTTCAGAGTGCTGTCGTCTTTTGCGTACTTAGCCTATTTTGTTTTAGGACGTAGGTTTGAATAAGCTAAAAGAAAACATTCTCTAGTTTCTCGTTTTTTGTTGAACGTTTTGTAAGGAGTCAGGAAATCTAAAAGGGGCCATTTCTATAACATATTTTCTTTCATAGCAACCAAACTGACAAGATGTGTGACCGCAAGGCGGTGATCAAGAATGCTGACATGAGCGAAGAAATGCAGCAGGATGCTGTTGACTGTGCAACGCAGGCTCTTGAAAAATTCAATATTGAAAAGGTAATTAAGTTATTTCTTGCTATATTACTAAAACAGTTCAAAATCAAATGTAGTTTCTGGACACATTATCTATTTAATTATAACTAAGATTCACCATTTGTACAAGTTTCATAATATATTTGTAAGTCAATTGTCATAAATAGATTCAGGAATTTCAATATCATATCAGTCACACTTATTCTTAAGTACCTACAATTGTCACCATGTGGTAAGTAATATCTATGAAATATTATTTTCTTTGTCAACAAAATAATTAAATATGGGTACAGTTCACATGGAAGTATGGTTTTTGATTGCAGGATATAGCAGCATTCATCAAGAAGGAGTTTGATAAGAAGTACAACCCGACATGGCACTGCATTGTGGGCCGAAACTTCGGGTCGTATGTGACGCACGAGACGCGCCACTTCATCTACTTCTACCTGGGCCAGGTGGCCATCTTGCTATTCAAGAGCGGCTAATGGTCTAAGGCTGGCTAAACCACTTTTATTGTATTTATATTGAAAAATTTTAGTTAAATCCTAGACTTATTACCTAGCATAGTATCATATGTTAGTACTTATCTAAATTTATTGTTTTACTTTGTTGACACATTGCATGCGATATTTTCCATACTTCTATAATTATTAAACTTTCTTACAAACTGTGGTTTTGTTTTATTTGGAACTGTCATAGTTGAGAACTTTAATGGTTTCCAATTATATTTTATGTGGGCTATATAAAGAGATTTGTATGTGTATGGTTAAAATTTGTTATACTTTATACATTTATTTTTTAATTGCACTTGCAGCTGCACATTAAATGTAATCTTCTGTCTTAAATGTGTAAAATAAAAATTAAACCCAAATGTTTTCTTTTTATTTTTAAAAAAACCTAAGGTGCATTCTAGTGATTCAACAATAGAAAATAGATGCATTTGTAAGAAATTTTGCATGGTTATTCATACATTCATGTGAATGAATATAATTATTTCTCAATGTGCTGATTTCGCAATTGTACATTACTTTGATTCTAGCTGAATAAACTTATAGGGTGGCAAATATGAAATTAAAAACTGGACAGCTAAATAATCCCATGAGTTGGACAAATTTGGGTATTAAATGAAAGACAGCCACCAGAACATAGACTACCCAGCCAGAAAATTTCTAAAATACTTAACATCCAAATTGTGATAACAATAATGTCTAAAGATTAAAATTGACAATTGATATCCCACAAAATTTATATTTGTTTTTAAACCCATTAAGTGGTTATTTATAGAAAAAGGGCTAGACTATAGAATAACATGCCAAGATAAGAATAATATGGAATAACATTAACTTTAAAAACAACAGATGACAAAGGGTTTTGCAAGTAGATGAAGTTCCTAGAACTAAATAGGTAGCATCCGTCAGATGAGGTTACAGTGTATATAGGGTTATATTGTTGTTGATATATAATTGATGCAATTGCAAAAACTTCCATAATGTGCAGAAACAATGATTTTTTTTTTATTATCCGATTATAACATGGCTGGTGTATGTTGTCTCTAATAATTCATGACTAATATTGCGATTACATAAAATTTAATATTAATTCTACTAGGTATATTTTAGAAAATATTCTACAATAATAAAGGGCAAGTTTTCTCCGTCGTTCATTCAATAGATTCACACTGAATATTTAATGTTATTTGTGACTTTTGGGTACCTATATTTTATACGACACAAGTTTATTTCAAGGTCTTTACAAAGCCTAACGTTTTGGTTTAGATCCTTGAATCTTAACCGTTGTTTGATTAGCATCTGACCTCCCGTCAAGGACGATCAATCAACATTGCGCATTGATTCATATCCAAACTGCCAGCAGTCACGGCACTAACAAACTGTTATATAGGTTCTACATCCTTTAGCAACAATATATATTTATGAGATATTATAATGAAGTTAGGTGGAAGGGGTCTTGTTGATTTAGTTTTGGCAAATGGTTTTGTTTTTCCTATAGTTTGTTTATGTACTTATTTTGATAAGGACCTAGTAATTATTAGTAATGTTTTTTATTTAATACTAGTTTTTGCCCGCGACTTCGTCCGTGTTAATTTCGTCATTAATATATGTAGGTATAGCTGACCGGGCGAACTCTATTCCGTCTTAAATAACCAGGTATTAGTATTTATTAAATTTTTCCTGTTTCAATCGAACAGAATGATTGACATATTATGTAGTTAGTTGTCAAATCTAATGTCAAAAAAACGTTTGTATGGGAAATAGAAAAGGGCTGTTTATAGGGTTTTCTCGGAAATGAATCAATTTTTTTCAGCTTTCAAAATCTTCCCTGAACCTCCACGAACATTTCAAGACTAAGATAAGTTAAATCCGTTCAGCCGTTCTCGAGTTTTAGTGAGACTAACGAACAATAATTCATTTATGTATATACATATATAGAATATATATAGATAAATCTTAAATCGCACTCTTGTTAGGCATCTTTTTGTTATATCTTAAATATTAAGTAATTCAACTAATTTGTCAATATTTGTTCGTTTTGATATTTTGCTGAAATATGTATAGATATACTACCTTTTGTTAAGTTTGTATTGCAGAGAAAGAGAAGGAAATGTGTAACAAATTACGCGCATATGCATTATTTATGTAGAAACTAAGGCATTGGTTCCGATTGATCTAAGATACGACATTTAAAAAAAAATAAAAAACTATGGCGAAATTTACGATCTATCTTTGGTATAATTCTATTTTATTAAATCAATTTATCTACAATTTAGTGATAAGTAATATGATTGCTACTTTGGCTTAACAAGACATGTTGTTTTAAGAAGTGATAATACTTTCTACTTAAAGTTTTACATACAGTTAAGTAGGTAATATTTTAAAATCAGTAAGTTGTATTATAAAAACACCGGATTTTTTTTATATATATTCTAATTGGATCAGAAATAATACATATGATATAATTTTACCATGTTTTAGAAATAATTAAAAATAACATTTTAAACAACCGGATGGATTTAGGTATAGCATTAAATAAATTTCATAATCGTATATACTTAGAAGAGGCATCAATTATTCAACTGGTAATATCTAATATTTCAGCGTATACTTTTTTAAATGAAACTATTTTTTTAATAAAAACACTTTCATCTCGTCTGCCCTTAATCATGGTTTCTGTAAAGGAACCGAAACGTAGGGATTACGTAGTAATAAAATAATAAAAAACGCTTAGTATTCTAAAAACTTTGTTTTATTCAATTGTTGTAATCCTCAAAGTTATACATTTTATCACTTTATTTTTAAGAGTATTATTAAAATTATGTTCTAGTTAAATAATAAGATATCATAGCTTTAACTATGTCAGTGGTTTCCAAATTTTATCATGATATGTAAACCGCAGCTTGCACACGAATTCGAGTGCAAAACTTTTGGCCTATTATATATTTGGTGTTCTGTTAGTAACGTTACAGTTGGCCGTATTAATTACGGCTATCGGGAAGTTTTATTATTATTATTTTTGTGCTATTATAAATTATTTTTATCAAGGTCTTTTGTCTGTAAAATTGTAAAGGTAAGTTACTTACATATATTATAAGAAAACAATTGAAAGCGTTCTTTCGTATTAAATTGTTTTTAGTTTTATTTATAAAAATATAAATTGTTAATTTGATATTTGGTTTGATTTGATTAATTATTAATTATTATCACGGTTGGTTAACCTGTTCAAGGCCAACGATTTACTTTAGAATTGTTACAATATTCAGTGATAAATGTGTATTTTTATAATAACAGATTAAAAGACAATTCCCATAATACAACCACGATGTCAAACGCCAAAGAAAACCTCCTACTTTTCTTTGACCGCCCCACCGAGCCCTGCTTTATGCAGAAAGGTGAAGAAAAGGCTACCTTCGATTTGCCTGCTAACTACTACGTAAGATTATTTTATGTTCCTTCTATGAATTCTTTAATATATATTTAAAATATACCTACTTTACTTGAAACTTAATAATTTCATTTCGATTTTTACATATGAAAATTTTATAAAGTAAGAATGAAAGAGAAAATTACATTTCATTATTTAATGAATATGTTAATTTGATTTCAGCCGGATAAATACAAGTCTGCGAGTTCGACTTTGGCCAATCGCTTTGGTTCAGAGTCGAGTCGACGTATTCCAGTAAGAAACATAGCGCTGCCCAACCTTTCTCTGCCCATGGAACTGCCTTACAATGACCAGTTCTCACTCTTCGTGCCTAAACATAGGCAGATGGCTGGCAAACTCATTGATATTTTTATGAGTTAGTGATACGATTACTTACAGATTCATTACAGTTTTAATATATACATATAATAACATAGTTTTCGTACTCAGCTAAATACTTATAATAGAAGTACTTTTAATCAGTTCTTTTATTTTCTAATGTTTATATCATAGTTGACAGCAACTTTTATATAGTGCGATTACTTACAATGTATTTTTTGTATAATTACTTATTATTTTCTTTTATTTTTTTAGGTATGCGTAACGTTGAAGACCTTATGTCAGTATGCTCCTACTGTCAGTTGAGGATAAATCCTTACATGTTCAACTACTGCCTCTCAGTCGCCATATTGCATAGGTATGTTTTATTTTTATTTTTTATTTATTTATTTATTTTGGAAATACCATCGGCATATTCACAAACCATATGTGGAAAAAAATATAAAAAAGTAAACTTGTTCAGTGTGATACACCATTACAGGTATTTACATTATTACTAACATGATAACAAAAGTACCTAAAGGTAAGGTAAACACTACACTAAGACATTTAAAGAATCTGAATACAATAAGATAACAAACATTTAAATATCAATTACTACCTAAAACAGTATTTATTATTTTTTAGTTTATTTTTTTTTATTTTGGTATTGATATATTGAATATATAAAAAATACATTACGAATGTATAATTTTATTAATAAAAACGTAATTAAGCGGGTTTTTGAATGTTCATTGCCTTATTATAAAATAATTCCATTAATATCTAAATTTAAAACAAGCAACGATATCTTCAATTCGCCTCTTCTTTTAATTCGATTCCGTCTAACTTATAATAATTCCATATACTACTTTTTTACCATTCATTCTTTCAAAGAAAAAATATTCATTCTTTTAGGGATGACACCAAGGGCCTGAATATACCAACATTCGCGGAGACCTTCCCCGATAAATTCATGGATCCGCGTGTCTTCAGGAAAGCTCGTGAGGTCAGCACCGTTGTGCAGCCAGGAAACAGAGTAAGAATAATTAAAATTTTAAGTATCCTTCGATATTGTCATACTCCTCCAGTAGAATATACTTTAAATATATTTAAAACGGTTGGACGCCTAAAAACAGTAGGTATATGAATTCTAACGTGTATCTTTTTACTTTATTCTCGCTTATTTTGTTTGTTAACTTGTTTTGTAAAATCATTTTGTTACAAATACATTTATTAACGAACCACAGCGTCAGTAAATCAAGGCACTATATTTTGAAAGAATACTTGTATATTTATAAATAAAAAAAAACAATGCTACAAGAAATAACAAATTAATCTTACGCTCCAGCTGCCAGTAGTGATCCCCCAAAACTACACAGCAGCCGAGTTTGAGCCGGAACAGCGAGTGGCGTACTTCCGAGAGGATATCGGCTTGAACCTACACCACTGGCACTGGCATCTTGTTTACCCATTTGATGCAGCAGACAGAAACATTGTTAACAAGGACCGCAGGGGAGAACTGTTCTACTACATGCATCAGCAGATTATAGCAAGGTACCTGTCTAGTAGGCGATGGTATTATATGCAATATATAAATGGGGCCTCCTTGATATGATAAAAATATGTATAATAAACCTGGGATGTAACGGAGGTAGTTTTATCGGAACCGAAATCGGAATCGGAGTTTCCAAATTTGGTTTATCGGAATCGGAATCGAAATCGGAGGCGGGGTCAGTTTGTTTAAAGACAAATAAAACATGATTTATAGCCAATCCTTTTCATTTTTATTTTTTATTATGAAATAAAAAACAACTGTGAAAAAAATTGGCATATTTCCAAATAAACAAAAGATAAAATTAATGAATTTAAAGTTTAATTAAAATTAAAACCCAAAGTAGTGTGTTACATTACAATATATGAACAAAAGCTAAAACAAATTAAATGAAAATTGTCTCCAAAAGTAATGTATTGTACTTTATGAACAAAAGCATTGATGCTTTGTCCCCATCCAATCTATTTCTTAAAGAGTCGTAAATTAGGCCAGCACCACTAAAAAGTTGCTCGCTAGCTACCGAGCCCGGTGGACATGACAAATACTGCCGGGCAATTGATTGTAGGGGCTGAAATTTTGTATTTCTTGTACTCACAAACGTGTCGTGGGCGTAACAAATAATAACAAGTGAAAAATTAATTGATGATAGAGTGAACGTAGTGGGGGTCTAAGGATTCCCCGCGCGACTTGTATGAACCTGTTCGGCACAGATTTCGTTCGACCTCCGATTAACATCCGATAAAAAAGTATCGGAACCGAAGTCGGAACCGAAAGTGTAATAATTATCGGAAGTTCCGACTTAACGGAACCGGAATCGAAGCTCCGTTACATCTCTGTAATAAACTACAAATTATTAGGACATCTGCAATTACATTTTTTTGCTACGACACATGGATATTTTATTGAAAATTAATAGGGATATATGTCACTATCATACTCCTACATGTAATTCAGACCATAGGCCATTTCCTTAATCTCAATCTAGAGAGAGTGCTCATTCATATAAAATGACATGTTTTTTTTGGTAAACCGATATCTTTCATCAGGTACAGCGTGGAGCGCATGTGCAACGATCTTTCTCGACCAAAACGCTACAGTAACTTCCGCGAGCCCATCGAAGAGGGATATTTCCCCAAACTGGACTCGCAGGTCGCTAGTAGAGCATGGCCACCGCGGTAAGGAGCTTGTTATTTGGCAGAATTATAATTTATTTCCAAACAAAGTTACAAAATGTTACAAGTCACATAAATAATATAGTCCTAATAGTAGTTCGATTTTCGTTTCAGTTTCGCTGGTACAAAAATCCGTGACCTGGACCGTCCAGTGGATTTGATCGCAGCGGATGTGTCCCAATTAGAAACTTGGAGGGATAGGTTTCTACAAGCCATCGAGGATATGGCCGTTTTACTTGTGAGTATTTTCAATTTCTGAAGTCACATTTATAAACTTGTTTAGTTAATAATAAAATTGTCTAGTATGAATATGGTTTTGTTTAAATGTGAAAAGTTACATTAAATTTATATTATAGCATATAATGTGAGAAACAAACAAATAATTTTCAGCCTAACGGTCGTAAAATGACTTTGGATGAGGACACCGGGATTGACGTTCTTGGTAACCTGATGGAATCATCCATTATCAGTCGTAACCGACCTTTCTATGGGGACCTTCACAATATGGGACACGTATTCATCAGTTATTCCCATGATCCAGACCATAGGAATCTGGTAAGAAATTTGTTTACCATAAAATGAGAAGTGGATAATTAATGTGGCATTTTCGTAAAAATATATAAACCACTCATATGAAATTATTTATCATGGTAACTTCTATCTGATGGATGTAAGGATTGCCACAATTTGGAGTTTGTTTAAGATGTGCTTCTATTAAATATACATACATGAATGAAATGCTTATTCCATCTCATATGTTACTTGTTTCTAGTACAATTAAACACTAATATAAGCAAACTTCATAATTCAAAGTCTTTGGTAAAGCGTTTAAAGCTCAGGATTACTGATAGCAAAAAAAGTCCTATTTACTATTCATTGTTATACCACAGTAATTTCTACGTCGTAGTAAGATTTACCTTTACTATATGTGCCACATCAGTTGAAAATTAGTTTATTATATCGTATTAGAATATAAACTATAAAGTATTTATTATTGGTAGGAACAATTTGGAGTGATGGGTGACTCCGCAACAGCGATGCGTGATCCTGTATTCTATCGCTGGCACGCGTACATCGATGACATCTTCCAGCTCTACAAGAACAAACTGCCACCATATCCAAATGACAGAGTAACAATATTTATACCATTATAACACTTAATGTTTGGTATTAGTCATACTAGTCTACTAGCATTAGTGGTTAAAAGGCCCGCCTCTCATGCACGAGGGCCCGGGTTCGATCCTGGCCCTGGCAAGTACCAATGTGATTTTTTCGAGTCATATGTACTTTCTAAGAGTATTTAGACATCACTGATTAATGCATTCCCAAAGAGGGTTAATGTCAGGCAGGCAGCCGGTAAAATAATTAGCCAAAACTATTCACAACATGTAAGGCAGACCCTGGCTAAAGCTGGGAAATTGCCAGGAAGAAGAAGAAGATTAGTCATACTAGCATGCATATGCTGGTTATATTTACCTTAACATAACCTTGAAGGTGCTTCACACTTTCATAGATATCTTTTGAGATTTTTATGTTGGCAACGAATTTAAGATGAAAAGATATATTGTTCTCCCTCCGTGCCATCAAATTATGGTAGCAATCTATTGGCTTTCATGTTCATAACATAAAAACGGACAAATTCTGATAACTTTGTCATTACATTGCTTTCATTTTTTATTCCAGCTCGATTTCCCCGGTATCCAAGTGCTCTCTGTTAGCGCTGTGTCGGGCGCGGGACCTGACCGACTATTAACGCAATGGGAACAGAGTACAATGGAGCTAGGGCGAGGTCTAGACTTTACACCACGTGGCTCAGTTCTGGCAACGTTCACACATCTACAACATGACGAGTTTAATTATATGTGAGTTGTATGTCCTAAGGGATCAAAATATGTTCCTGTATAAATATTTCTAGGTACTGTTACTTTATTCCCTACTCTCATGTTTTGTGTACAAGTAATGATCATGTTATAATAATTACAAGTAAATCTAAAGATATTGATTCTAAGGGTAGATGAGGAATGAGTGTTATGAAATTCCGAAATTTTGTATGACTAAAGAAATTATTAAAAAAATTACATATAGATTTTTTTTTAAATACTTTTTGTTCTATTATAAAAAGTTTTCGGTTTCCAGCATCGAGGTTAATAACGCAAGTGGAGCAGGCGTAATGGGTACAGTGCGTTTGTTCATGGCGCCGGTCGTCGATGAAAATGGAACTCCCCTCAGCTTCGATGAACAGCGGAAGTTGATGATAGAGTTAGACAAGTTCACACACGCCAGTTAGTATAGTTGCATATACATAATACTCATGTTAAATGTTGATAATGTTTTCTTAATGTTACCTCGCTCTCAGATTCATCATTATAATCTTCTATAATGCTAGTGTTTACATGTAACATATGTATATATTTTACATGTACTATATGTTTCACTTGATTATCATATTTCCTGTCACTTTACGGTGTTAAATTCTTGTTAGATGTCCTGTTTTTATTTTGCAGTACCATCCGGTTCTTCAACCATTCGTCGCTCGAGCACGGAGTCATCTGTAACTATCCCATACGAGCGTACTTTCCGCTCTCAGGGTTCTCGGCCCGGCGATCCTGGTTCCGCAGAGGCTGCCGAGTTTGACTTCTGCGGCTGCGGTTGGCCGCACCACTTGCTGCTGCCGAAGGGAACCACAAGGGGATACCCAGTTGTACTGTTCTGTATGATCTCCAATTGGAGTGATGACGGAGTGAGTATAATTCGATAGTCTTATTCTAACTTGAAATTAAAACTAAATCTGAACTTAACGTCAAATTGTTGTTAATGTAGGGAATTGTTATTCAGGCTGCAAAAACTAGCTTTTTGGCCGTGGCTTCGTCCGCGTCTGGGATAAAAACTACCCTATGTTCTATCTCAAGGTCAACTTTATCTTTGTACCAAATTTGATTAAAATCAGTTCAGTTTTTTAAGTGTGAAAGTGTAACAGATAGACAGACAGACAGACAGACAGAGTTACTTTCGCATTTATAATATTAGTAGGGATAACGTGAAATCATTGATGATAATTCTTCTAATTTACTGTCCATAATTTTCAGGTATCTCAAGATCTAGTGGGTAAATGTAATGATGCAGCCTCCTATTGTGGCATCCGTGACCGCAAGTACCCTGACCGCCGTGCCATGGGCTTCCCCTTCGATCGTCCTTCCCCTGCCAGCTCGCTTCAGGATTTCCTTACTCCTAACATGGCCACCAGACCCTGTACCATCATTTTCAATGACAACGTCAGGGTCCGTTCCGCACGATAACGACTTAGACTAGCAGATGAATACACTAGAACTTCTATAAATTCTTCCACTTCGCACTATGGGAAAATCGCGTATGTTTCGTCTTAAAACTCCGTATCTCAATGATTTCAAAACTAAACGATCTGTAATTTAACACACATATACGTGAAAGTATAAGGTTTAATAGAAAAAATTATCATTTTGAAAATTATGTTTATTGATTTATTAAAAAACTAAAACTAAAAAAAATACATTCATTTATTAGAATAAATACTTTCTTTTTATAATTTAGTCACATAAAATAGAATTAAATATCATTGTATAAACAGTGTCTAACGAGAAAAAATAATGTATAAAATTCAACAAGCTCCAACAGATTTTCGTTGATAGCAAGAAAGGATTCGGCTTCATCGAAAAGTTCTTTCGATATTAATTCTGACGTATTTCTTAAACTTGATATATTATATGGATCCGAAGTATACAATAAGATATGAAACACGGCTGTATTAGTAGCCGCTCTTGAACACTTTTTAGAATGATGAAGTCTAAACTTTTTGTAATCCTTGTTGCGGGATTCTTGAGCGTCTTCTCGTTTTTAATAGGTAAAATAACATAATACTCAATGACTTTTTCTCCGTGAATAAGTATTTTATGTACGGAGGAATGCATATAATTCCAATTATAAATATTTACGTACCGTTGGGCGGTACTATATGCATATTCACCGAACTTTTTTTGAATCAATAGGCATTGCAGATGACATAGTTTGTGGTATAATGTACATCCGTTTCATAAATTCTACGTCTGCACTAGTAATGTCTGCAGAGCAAGAGTAATTCAGGGAAAAATTCCGAGCTGTGTTTCCATCATTACTATTTCTAGTGCCTTGTTGAGGTTTATCGATATGCCCTCCCATTTCCTCCCAAAGCGGCTTTTGTACCAGTTTTTCTTTTTGTCTTTGTTTTTTTTCTGGATTAGTGGCTGATCACTTTTGGAAAGACTAGTTATAGGAAATGTGTAAAATCATCTCCATACTTCTAATCCAAGCGTCTAGCATTGACAGTCCACATTGAAATTAACTTTCATTCAAATCTCGTGTCCTAACTGCCTCTACTCGTAAGTTATTAATTTGCCGAGGAATAGCATCACAAATTGTACAAAAAGCGTTCGAAGGAACTAAAGTTGGATAAGAAGGAAACACTGAGCAGTTTTTGTCCGCCAAACAAATACGAAGTTTCCCATACTGTTCTTTGTTACGGTCTAAGTCAATAAATGTTCGTAGTGCTTCTGACTTTGTAAAAGATGTAATGTCTTCAGGGTTCTCAGTTATGAATTTAAGACACTTTTTCTTATAGTTTTTTGACTCAGTACGTATAATATTAACAATTGTGGCCTCCTTCGTCACACCCATAGACCGCAAATCCTCAACATATGCACATAGTCCAATCCGTACTCTTGTATTAATTCCATGTCGTTTCGTTTATTTGATTTTTTTGAAGATGCTCCATATAGTTTCGTTGGTCTGCCACTTACACTGCTTCCAGACGTATTAGGGTCATTAACTGTGACTCTACACTCCAGTGGAACATGAAATTCACAATTTAATCATGTTTCTTTGAATGTAGGAGACCACAGTAGCCATATCATCTGACAAATTGAAATTTTTTGCAAGTAGTCTTCTATATTATTCCCATTTATCAACAAATTGCACAACTCTCGTTTACTACAAATTAATCGATTGAGTGAATATTTGAAAATAGGTATTAACTACTTTTTTAAGTAAACTGAATTTCTGACGAATAACTGTTGATGTTTCGAGTTTTGCCTTTCTTTTATAGGCCAATGAAATAGTACTAGGTATATGCAAAAAGATGAGAAACTAATTTTTGCACTTTTTTTTTCTCCTTGTGTAAAACTAATGTAAAAAATCGTAATACAACAAATATCTCGACAACGGCATACAGTAGCAAACGGATACGTCTCTTTAAAAAGATTACCCGAAAATTACCACCTTAAACTGTTAACTTTAATTAATTTATTATACTTAAAAACTTACCAACTTAAAAACTTTCGAGTAAGGTGGCTTTGATGCCTTTTATATACATCATGGTCAGCCAAAAATAATAAAACATATAGAAAGGAAAGCTTATTTGTAAGATTAAATTAATTAATTAATTCTCCATAACATCGACTTTCACGTGAAATGGTTTTGAGACGGCCTTGTATGGCGCTTTCCCATAGTGCTTCGTGGGACCCATCTCAACCAAGTAATTAATTAACATCATGCATTGTACGCTTCTCTTTGCCAACAGTTGACAATAATTCTTTGATCAGAAAACAATATAACCTGCGAGAACAAACAATGTATTGTGTCCAACATTACATATGTAATTTGTGTTCTCTAGAAACACTATTACCAAATTTTTGCACCAATCATTGAGGACTTGACTTGCAAATGGATACCGGATTCAATCTAATTATAGTTATTCTTAGGTCGTTTTAATCTTAATAAATCAGATTTTCACCAGTGTCTTGTATCATTTCCTTCTTATTTATGTATTTCCCTACGTATTTATGTACATGCCAATACGAAAGTACCCAAAGATCTTTTTTTTTCAAAAAATTCTTTCAGAATTTATCACGAACATATCTTTATCATACATTTAATAAATATATTTCACAATTAATTTTTCTTGTCTTGTTATTGCATGCTACTGTAGCATTTTGTTATGCAGCCGACTCATTATTTCCTTTTGTATTATTCCAAATATTTATTTTTTACCACACGTTATTGGATTCTATTGTTGAGGAAATTATAATTAACATTGATCTATCCTGTTCAAATACTAAAAAGTGAATAACGATTTTAATCTCATTACATAATCCCAAAAACAAAACTTGGTGCCGGTGAAAACCTCGTTGCTGAGATGTGGCATATAGTGGGATACAAAAGTTCTAAGGCTCATTGAAATAGAAGAACTTATGATTACATTAAGTTGGTTGAATGTAATTCGTTAATTTTGTCTATTTTTCATTTATTCTTAAGATCACACGTGTTTTGCCTGTCAAACAATTTGCAATGTATGTATATTTAATATTCTACATCCATTATACATTATACTGTTATTATAAAAGAATTAACTATTCACTTATCATGTCTGTGTTAAGTTTGATAATTTAAAGTGATTAAGATGATTTGATGTTCTATTATAACGTTCGCATATTTAACATCTTCGAGGTTACTTAGCCTTGAACCATTTTAAATTTCATTTTTAGTATTTCCTATACTTAAAAGTAATTAGTCATTCTATAAAGAAATATTCACACTTTAATCCGTATAAAAATGTTAAGTAAAAAAAACACATGAAGGCCCGGAGTACATGTTTTTTCATTTATTTTGTAGCGTCAAATAAACGTGGCTGTATTAAGTCATTATTCGAACAAAGACTACTAAATGATTACATTTATACGATATTTAAATTAGAAAATCATAACTAATTATCGACACGTAAAAATTATTACGAAAAGATGCTTATTTATAGAGAACCCGACCTGAGTTGAACAGATTTAGTGTGTTCTTCGTATGTACTACTTTAAAATGAAGGTTCATTATTTGGTATGTATAATATTGAATTATGTTATATGTTTAATTTTTAAAGATTTTCATAGCGAAAAAGGGTTATGTTAAAGTTTATATTAGGATTTTAATGTGCAAGCAATGCCAAAGATTATATTTTTTGTGATATAATGTCTTTGAAACTCGTTTTTATTTCATTGGAAACGGCTATTTCGCTCTATTAATATTCATAATCAGCCAATTATCAAGTTTTCAGTATAGAAAACATTAAAGCGTTAATTTCAGTACCTCTTGGGTACATAAAAACTTGACAATTCCGTGGCTGAATACATCAAGACATCGTTTGTCAAAAAAAGTGAATGTCAAGACTGTAGTGCTGTTTCAGATATACATTAAATTAACGAAATGTTGCGGTGGTGATTATTATTGAAAAGCTGCTGTTTTGTAAAGATTTTCATATGTGAACTGAAAATAAAAATAATAATATGCTTTGAGGAAATGTTGCAATCAGTAAAATTTTCTGTAAAACAAGAGAAGCCATGATATCTTTTATTCTGTTTAAATATTATTGTAATGCTCCTTTTAACAAACCACAAATCAATTTTTTTGCAGATGCTGGTCTCTTTGTTTCTCAGCATAGACGCAAAGGACTCCAAGGTTGTTAAGAGTGTAAGGGATGTTAAGGGTGTAAAGGATGTTAAGGATGCAAAGAAAATAATTCCAGAGGCATCTGCTTCAAATCCGATTTATGGATCAGAGCAAAAGGGAAACTATGGTGTTGGAGAAAACAGAGGATATAAATCAAGGGAAAGGAACAGAAATGGAGGTTTGCTATCCCAAAATTATGGTAATAACTATGGGTATGGCAACAATAATGGTAAAAATAACTACGAATATGGGAATAACTATGGAAATGGCAACAATAATTATGGTTATGGGAATAATTATGAATATGGAAACAATAACTACAGATCTGGTAATAACAAGAATTATGGAGACGATTATGGATATGGCAACGACAATATCGGATATGGTATCAACAAAAATGGATACGGTTTGAATGATTACGGGTACGGTGGCTATAATTATGGATTTGGAAATAATAATTATGGATATGGAAATAACAATTATGGATTTGGCAATTATAATTATGGAGACGGCATTAGAAATAATGGATACGGCAATTATAATTATGGAAACAGCTATAAAAATAATGGATATGGCAATAATGATTATGGATATGGGAATAATAATTATGGATACGGCAACAATGATTACGATCGTGACAACAACAATCACGGAGACGATGACTATAGAAGAAAATTGCGAGGACCAGATGAGATTGGTTATTTTGCCAGAGACCCAGCAAGTAGACGTCTCTATGGCAGACGAAATTACCAATATAGATTGATCGGCAGGAATGGACTAGGATTTGACAAGCGGACCGTTAACTCCTACAGCTACGTGGCTCCTATAACTCCTGAGCGGTTGGAAGTAATTGGATACCCTTATACACATTACAGAGGGAATAATTATGACAGGAACTAAAACTTATATAGCAAAAATAATAACAGGATATCAATCCTGTTCCAACAATGCTTCACCTTTTATTTCATTAAATTGACAACACTATGACTGCTTTTAATTAATGTTACTTTTATTAACGGTCTCAAATAGGGATATTTGTAAAATATACCCAAGCACTCTTTAAATTGAAATAAATATAAAATTTATTTTCCAAATTACTATAAAACTGGCAAATATGGAAGCTATAAAATAGTTTATATAAACAATAATAGTTCTGTTACTTGCATTCTAATTTTATTAAGCATATTTTTATGATCTATTAAACTAAGTTTAACAAGCAGAGTCTAGAACATGTCTGCTTTACTGACCAAAGATTTGTCGATAGACACACATCCACTTTGTCGTTTCTTTTTTGAATTATTAATATTAAACCTTGCGAGAACCTTTTTACACAAGAAAATAAATTTTTATAATATGTAGAAAGGAACGTTATAAAATAGATATATAAATATTTAATGTTTTTCTAATTCGCTAATAGTTGCGCAGACTACTTCGGAAACAGCTTAATCTTCCCATATATTATGTTTCCGTGGCGGCAGACCTTTCAATGGACCTTTTAATTTAATAGAAAAATTTTATTTTTAATAGTACTTGATTTGTTGTTTGATATATTTGTTTTTATATTATCAAAGGAATTCCATTTTTTTTTAATATACAGAGATAATGCGATTATGTATTATTAACATTCTTTGTCGTAGAGGCCAGGTTGCACTGGCCGTGGTCACAAACTTACCAAACATGATTACTTTAGTCCTAATAGTTTTTTATTATATTTGTGATCAAGTGACGTGAAATTCCATAGTCCTAATTAATAACCTTCCATTTGAAGAACTTATGAAAATCTTATACGTGTATACTTCTGATCTATAAGATCTGTTGAGGGTTTTTTTATTATCCGTGTATGTTGGTAACTAAATCTAGAAGGTTATTGTACTAAAAGGAAAATTATTCCTTGGTAAATTTAGGTATTTTTGAATGTATTCTCTCAGACTCTGCTGAGGAAGGAAGAACTGCTTTCCAAACGAAGTTTTTAAGGCTTATCGAGTTTAGTATTAAAAAAATATATAAACTCTACAGTTTTTTCACAATCTCATGTATGAATAAATAATAAAAGATTTTTATCGTTTGATACATCGGTGATATATGTATTAGAACAATTCCAAAGCATCTATACAGCACTAACTATTGATTGAGTTGTGTAAAATTTTCTTACGAAACCATCATCAGCCCTAAATCTGTAAATATATACAGGGTGACTGGTGAATTACTATCGATACTTGAGGACGTGATATTTGACGATCATATATGACAAAATAAAAATTAATATAACATAAATATTAATAAACTTCTAAGTAAAGTTAACCAAAAGTTATGTAATTAATTACGCATCGTGTGAACACCCTACAGATTAGGTATACACACACACTCACACATACGCGTGCGGCGTCGTGGTGTTGTATCAGCACGCCGCCGCACGCGTCCACACTTGGAACACTTGGAACGTGTCAACACTTTATTTATTTATACGGAAATTTTGTCAAAAATTAAGTGCCTATTTTTTTACATAATTCGAATGAGAATCATGTACCGAGTATTCTCCTTAAATATTGATAGTAATTCACCAGTCACCCTGTATAACTTTTAAACACACTTTTACTATAATAAAGTGTCAATTCTTTTATGGACAGCAACATGATCAGAAGTCACAACATGGAAGTGGTTTCATTTAAATACGAGCATGTAATATTGCAAGAGAGCTTTAGAAAGGTATAAATATCAAAATGGGATTAGAAAATTGCTTCTAGTCATCGACAAATATCGGACAACAGATTTTATAGCTGCATATCACATCAACTCAACAACGTACGTTGCTATGTATGACATAGCTACTTCTGACGTTCATTTCTTTTTATGCTAAGAACGGTAAATCCTCATTTGTTAAGGGAAAGACTAATGTGGTTATGTGGAATACGCCTGCCCAGGTAATTAGAATAACCATTACATCCCTGTGTTACACACACACTTAGCTTTTTCATTACTTAATGTACGATAGCGATATGTTCCAGGAACTCAATGTCACTCAGTGTCTCTCTAAATCTTATACCTTATAAATTATAGTATCTAAAGTATAGTAGTAAGATACATCTTACACCCGCTCACTGGGCTACTTATTCACCTCAACCTTCAAGCCGCGGTCAGCTTTGTACTAGAGGATGTTTTATCTATTTAGCAATGAGAAATGTTAAAGGTTTTTATGTTATTTAAATACTTTTATAGATTTTGATAATGTTATATATGTAAGCAGCATAATTTTAAGTTATAATTTACAGTTAGTTTCTACAATATTTTTTTTTACTTATTCAAAATTAACTACCAAAATTAATTATGTAATAATTAAATATCAATTAAAATAGATCGTTAAATTCCGTTGCGTGTGGTTTTTCCAATGTTCAGTACGTTTGTTAATTGCTTATAATGGCTAGTGGAATCATTAAAGCATTATAAGCTTTAACACTTTTAGTTAAGGTTATAAGTGCAATATAATATTTCATTAATGATGTCCCTGTTTGTCACTGTCCAATTTCTTTATAATAATAGAGTGCTGTAATTTTTTATCACTAAGCATATCATCATGGCCTTGCGAGCACAGGTAAGAGTTTTATTAGTGACTTATATTACTTTTATTTCTTGTATAACTTTAATATTTGAAGTCATTTATTCTAAGAGTATCCTAAAATTTAGAACGTTCCATAGATTTTTTTATTTTCTACAAACAGTCTTTTTGCTATCTTTTCTCTTTGAAACTTAAAGACATGATGTTATAGTATGCTAAAACGGAATACAGGCTTATTTTCGTTTTGATTAAAATATATAAGTCATTCCTTCAATTCAAGTGAACTGTTCAAGCAAAGGAGATTTTTACAACATTTTTTAAATTTGAAAGGAGTTCATTTTAACGTTTAAAATATTTCTTGTTACAATAATATTCTTTGATTTTTATATTCACTATATCTAGATATCTTTTATATAAGTGTGTTTTATTACAGATTGCTACGTTGTACATCATTTTAGGCACAGTCAGTGCCAGTGTCTTCATGAATCGCCACCATCACCGCGGTCCTCCAGAAATGAAAGATTTTCAACAAATCTTGGCTGATATGTTCAATCCCACGTCTATGCAAGGAATTTTACAAATAAAGCCGATGAATCATCCTGGTATATTAGGATTTGGAAGCTTTGGGGGTCCAGGAATAGGAGATTACAGCAACGCAATGGTTGGATCAAACCAAGGCAGATACGGGTTTGATGATTCCCCTCCAATTGAATCTCCATCAGTAGAAAGGGAAAACGGTGTCGGTCAAGGTCCAGTTTATAACTTTGATCAATCAACACAGGATTTACCTGATTATAAAAATGAAGGTAGAGATCAAAACAAAGAAGCTGAAAATAAGTCAATAAAGGAAGTTGGTGAACCAGAAGCTAAAGAAGGCGAACAGAAATCAGATAATTCACCAGATAAAGCAAAGGATTCTCTAAAGAAAGAATCAGATGATGAATCCATCAACAAACATAGAGATAAGGACGCTATAATCTTCCCTGACAAAGTAAAACAAGCAAAGGATAAAATTGCTAAAGAATCAAACTTTTATGTAAGTCCACAAGGCTCCAATGAATATGCAAGCACAGGGCCGCAAATTATATATGCTGTTAGTTTAGGTCCGAATGGGCCAACATCAAACCAAGCTCCTTTTCTTTCTAATACTGGTGCTAGTTCTATTCAAAGTCAGCCCTCAGAAAACGTTCCGAATTACCCATCAAACAACGTCAACATCCAAAATGCTCAGCCGCAATATCAATCTAATGGAAATATACCAAATGGTAATAATATCCCTAAAAATCCTGCTTACACCCTTGTTACTCTTCCCAGCAATGGCAATAACGGTATCAATAGCAATAACCCAACATATGTAACCAATAATCCTTCGTATACATATCCTTCTCAGCAACTGACATATCAGCCTGTTAACAATGCAGTACAGTATTATATGGTGTCAATGAATGGCCAAAATGTCTTGATTCCCGTTAGCAACGTCCAGACTCCAACTGATCAAACAACTGGTGAAAATAAACGTTTTAATTTAGTGCCAATTAATCCAGGTAATTTAATACCTAATAATGGTCAAGTCAATTATGGATCAACAAATAGCCCTAATACGCCTCCAGCACAACCTAATGGACAAATTCAATATATAGCTGTCCAATTGCAACCTCAGAATAATCTGCAAAATAACAACCAAGTCCATTATGTACCAATTAACCAAGGAGTGGTCCAAAAGCCAGCACCAAGTACGGCACAAGAACAAGTCAATTATGTGCCCGTAAATGCACAAACTGTTATACAAATGCCACTACAAAACAACCCTCCAGATGGTCAAGTATCGTACTTGTCAGGAAACACTCCGCAACTTGTTCAAGTCGCTCAGCAGAATGGACCACTGGGTAGTAACCAAGTAACGTACGTGCCAGTAAGTTCTCAATCAGTACTTCAAGGGGCATCCAACAGTCGTACAAATCCTGGACCAATTTCTTATATGCCACTTAATTCTCAGAATCCTTCTACTACAAGCCAATTCAACTTGGTTCCGTTAAATACTCAGAACAACGGACAAAATAATATAGTAGCTTTAACGCCTGCAAATTTAGTGTCAGATGGTAACGTACCTTTGATAGTATTTAAAGAAAAGGCTGAAGTTACTAAAAAAGATGGTAAACACAAGAAAAATTAAATATATTTTTTGTATTGTCGATATAGTAGCTAATTAAAAAGGTTAAAATTAAATCAGTAATCGTTTTTATTTTTCCCTTTATTATGTATTAATAGTTTCAACAAAAATAATTTTCTTTCCATTTTTTATCTAAAGTCCTCAATATTATTGCTTTTCTTCAAATATTCAGTAAAAACGTAAAACGTGTTACGTAAAATGTATTCCGTAATTCAACGTCTATATCCAAATTGGAGTTTTAATTATTAAGGCAATTAATCAAACTGCCAGGCCCATAAACGTAATGAAAACTTTTCCGTCAAGTCAGATTTAAAATTCTGATTGGATGTCACATCATGTCAACTTTGATTTCGAGGTTGCTAATGGCTGTCAAACATTTTTTTGGTACATTGTATTATAATAAAGAAACATTAAATACAGTGTAATATGTCATTTATATACGGAATAACGTTTTAATATTAATTCAGTTGAACTTTAAAATATGTTTTAAATTTATAACGACATCAACACAGGAGTAAATTCATGACATTATTTCATATATCAAAACTAGACTTAGTCTGTAGTACTTACACTAATGATAGTTACCTTTTGCAATATGTGAGTTTTGAGAACATGTTTGACAAGACTGAGATATTTGAGGACAAATAAATATCTTCCAACAAATCACAATGTCTTTAAGTATAAATTAAATGATATTTAAGTATAAATTCTTATTTTAAAGTATCTATGAAATTTCATGTTTTCATTACAACTTCCCCTTTAGACGCTCGGCAGGCATTTCATCTTTTCGCTGTGATTTTTTGCATCCCCGAAGACATGATACAGTTTCTCATTTTTTATGCACATAGCAAAGGTGTGACTAGTGCTTCTTTTTAATTACAATTTGGGGAGTCTAAAAGGCTAGAAATGATAGACTCTTAAAACTCGTATCATTTGATCCAATTTTTGCAATTTAATTAGAATGAATTACGAGAATAACCGCGTGGAGAAAGTTTTGCTGTTTAATATAGAAATTATATGATTAGCCTTTCAATTGTTTTTTATCTTGGCCATCACAACTTCCATGGAATCAAAATCAGGATAAAAAAAGAGTAGGGTGAACATGGATACACCCCGGATCTTATAACATTTCGTAGATGGTAGGAATTTTTCCACTGGAGTTCCATAATTAAGTTCAGTTTAGTGTTTATTAGAAATCGTGTTCTTATTACCACACTGTCAGATTTCTTTTTTCACTTCTAGCATAAGTAATTTTAAAAGATTTTTGTCAGCGTTTCTTTTAAGACAAAAAAATGAACACTGTAAATAAATCTTTTCGCTGACTTTGTGGTTTTAGCAGATCATTTGTTTTTTAATAGAGAGTGTGTGCTTTATATGTTCTGAACCCCGCGGGGATAAAATCATGATTATGTGGGGATGGGGAAAGAAACAAATATTACGGATTAAAATTTATTTATTGACTTTGATTTCAAATTTTTAAATTAACTAAATTCACAATAAAATTCAGGTTATACTTAATTCTGCGAAGGTTCTAGTTTCAGTTATACATTCGATAAATAACATCAATTAACTATCTCAAATAGTTTTGTGCTTTTTTTTTTGAATATACTTCAGCCGGACGGAAGAATATTTCTACAGACCACTACAGGGATAACCTTCACAGAATATAGATAACTGTTAGCACAGGCTGCACAAGCATCCAATTTTCAAAATACATGTGATTTAAAACTACATGATCCATATAGAATAGAGCATTACATTAACCACCTATCACAACTTGTAAAGGCAAATATATAATTGGACCATTCGCTTGCAAAGACAGACGCAAAAATTACTACATCCTAAATCTAATGACGAAAAGTCCACACAGACCCTGTTATAGCCTAAGCTCAAGGGAAGCTGGCAGGAAGAGGTTACAAAATGAACAGGGACCATACAATTACATTAAATTACAGATAAATTGGTCAAGGTTCATAATACATTTCTATTATACAAGATAATATTAAGTTAACATTTAATTCTGCTATTAAGATATTAAAATGTTGTTTTATTAATTCTTGTAAAACGGTTCTAGGGATACAGGTGCCCTTTATGAGGCTTCTTCTGAACCTGTTATTGGTTTCAAGATAGCGACAATTTTTCAAATATCTATAAAAAAAGTGACTCATGATTATATTCTTAATTTTCGTTGTCACGACGTCAATATTAAGCAGTGTTTTAGAAGTGGTATATTCACTACATTATAACTGCCTTATCTGAATTGGATTAAATTAGAGAATATTTTTATTGAAAATGCTCAATATTACCATGGTTCACATTTTTAAAACATTCATATATCGTAAATAACTACGTTCGGTGCCTATATGTATTTTGTAACATTAAAATACTATAGCGAGACATACAGATTTCTTTGTTCATTTGTACTCAGATCATAAACTGTGGAAAATGAATAGTTAATTTTCCTTCCATGTCGTACGAACTAGCTTGCCTTTGTAAGCTTAAGAAATATGAAAATTTTAAACTCTATTTACATTTCGCGAGATAAATTACAGTTAAGAGAATCTAAAAACCTTAAATCTTAATTGTTTATAAATACTATACATTTTAATATAAAAAACTGCCCTATTCATGTGAGTTAATAAATATTTGAGTAATGTGATAACACGGTAACAGACATCATTGATGAAATAATAAGAACAAAATTGTTTTATTAATTCTTTTCAAATTATTCTACAATATTATGCTATTTCCTTCCTAGTCAAGGTGTTGTGCAAAGATATTACGACTCATATGTGCAATCTTATGTATACAGCGGCCAGGTGTGTTCATGTGTGTGATAGCTAAACAGCGTTTTAGTATGGGAAAAAGTAAACAATCCCCCCCCTCTTTACCTTTTACCCACCCCATGGGTTAGAACTCAGATACGTGGTTTACTTTTAGTTCAGAAAATCCCAAAAAACCTTTACCTTTAAAGTTAATATCATTTAAAAATTCTCAAATATAATAATAATAATATCAATTCTAAGCTGTTAGAGTTGAAAATGTTTCTTTTATCGACATTTTTTAGATTGTTTAGATATTTTATTGTTATGAAATAGGGCAGTATATCATTCGATGTTATAAAATCAGGAACAACATTGGGACATGTGCTGTTTTCCAAAAGGGAATTAATAAAAATACTAGCTACCATCTTACAACTAAATATAGCATAAAAAATTTGAAGTATAATATTTACGTAATATCAAGATAAAACTGTGCTTTGAGCCTTTTCATTTTTTTATGTTTATATAAAAATAATATTGACATATATTATCCTAATGTTAAATATCATAAAAGATTTTTCAAATTACATATAAATATTTATATACCTAACTAATCTTAGGTGATTTAATAATTAAAGGAATTTAGGTATAAAGTCAAAGTGCATTTTATAAGAGAGAAGTTATAAAAATATTAAGATCTAGGTACACTAAAGTTATATAATCGTTATTTTTTAAGACATTAAATCTAAGATAGTCGAAAAACATTTCAATAATATTTTTGTGATTTTTTTTGTTACATTAAAAATTTTCGTTTTAATATTGTGTTATTAAATATAATTAATCTATTTGATGACACTTTAACATTTTATTTTAATTAAACACAAAATATCTCTAAAATTTTAACGAAAAATTTGCAACAGAGACAATATATTACAGCAATTTGTTAAAAGTAACAATAGAATATACATAACATATTATACTAATAGACTTAATATTTGTTTGACTATTACATAATATTTTTTGTAAGTTATAAATATTTTAGACAGTGTAAAGTGGGTACATATTTTCTAAAAACTGTGCGGCCATCTCTTCTACGTTAAAAGTAAATCACTAACCACAGTCCAACCGACGCGGACGATTAAAATTTAAGAAATCACGTCCTTATAAATGTCTGTATAAATTTCTATACCAATCTTCTAATTGGTCTTACATAATAAGTCAGATCTCTATTAACTATTCATTTAAAGTATTATATTTATAAAAATAAAGCTGAAAATTGAAGCAGAATTGAAATTGATATTATTTGAAAAATATCAAATTGTTAAGGGTTTTAACTAGATATTACTTATATTCAAATGTGACAAAAAGGGATACTATTCATGTCGATGTAATATATCTCAAGTAGACTGACTTTTATCCAGTTCGCTTGGCAGTTTGATGTCCGATTGTTGACTGGCCTTTCATCTGGTCGTTCGAAGATTCTGGGAGAAGTTCTGGCGATTCGCATCATCTTGCCTTACTTTGCTTTTGATTTGCGCTTCCACTTCCACTTTCACCTCCACTTCCATTCACTTTATTTTCTTTATTCTCTGATTTAACATCTGGATTTGGATTGTTCGGCGATGTTGCAGTTTGCTCTTTAAACTCTTCAACCGATTCGAGGGCCACGTCAAATGATGGTTGTCTATAAAAACAATTACATTTATTTAGAAAAAATGGACCTATTCTGTCTATGATTAAACATAAAACTAGGTGTATTGGCCAACAAAAACCTTATAGCTCGTCATGATGATAATTTGGAAGCACCTATAACGAGCTCAATATAATTTTACGCTTAACTGGGATCACTTCATCATCAAAAATGTACATACTTATTGGTAAGGTAGTTCCCTGGAGCTGACAAAGATCTACCGGCACGGGCGAAGCCTTTCCTGCCTCGGCCGTAGCCCACATCAGCATTCAGTGCGGATCCTTCAGCTTCCGGGTCCCTCGCAGCGCCACAGTCATCTCGTCTTTGGGGCTCCCCTGCATCACTCGATTCACGGCGAGTGCTGCCCTCACGACTTCGTAAGAATGGGTTCTGAAATTTTTATTCAATTGTAAAAAAGTATGTACAATTAGTAACGGATAAAACTACTTATAACTTACTGATTTACTGTTAAATATGGGGCTATTGGGGTCTTCTACGACTGTAAGGGGAGTTTTGATCAGTATTTCGAATCTGGGTTTTTGTTTAAGAGGTACCGATTGGTAAAGATTTGTAACTAAGAATCTTTTCTTTAACATAATTAAATTATAACTATTGTAAAAAAAGTTCTAATCATATTCAACTAAATATGTAGATATATTTAATTAAGCCGATTTTCTCTTAACTTTTACTGTTAAGGACAGGATAGAAATGTCTATTATGCTATACTTATTATTGTGTTAATTGATCGTATACATGGGATAAATAACAATAGCTTTTTGCACTTATTTAAAAATTCCATATACAAATTAAATTTATGAGACCAAAGATATTTACTGCTGATGAGCAAAAATTGTATAAACAATAAATGATTATTTTTACTTATAAAATTAAAAAGAATCTTTCTTTAGGCTGTCCGGTTATTACTGTTTGTATCAGGTACTGAATCGAAATTGATGAAAGTAAATTTAATGTATCTTTATAGTTGAGGCCAGTAGCGCTTAAATAAATTATTAATGCTGAATTAACATGAAAATATCCCGACTCAAATGTTCAATTTTTATGTACGATTACATTGTGGGTGATTCAAAACAAAGTTTTTTGGATTATAACTAACTTGCTACTTATAATGACATATATAACCCAGACTTACTAATAAAAAATAACAAATTATATAAAATATATTAAATGCTTGCTGTATTTTAAATAAATAATGTAGAACTGTAATTACTTTAATCAAATAAACTCAGTTAACTGAAAACTAAAAGTTTCGATTGAGGGCTTTTTCAAATTGATTGATATGTCATTATACGTAAGCATCAAATTCGTTCCTTTTTTCTTTGAAATTTCTATTTGGTACAAAATCAATATATCATATGGGACAATCAGGGTATACCGAAGCAGAAGTAAAACGGAAGAAATTTTTTTTCTAATGGTGAATTTAATTTCAATGACAATTAGCAATATGTACCTTGAAGATTAACCGTTTCATTATTAATCTAATAATTATAATTTCAGAAGGTAACTGACCTGGAAGCTGTGCTTCTTCAGCATGGTCTTTATGAGTATGAGGGTTGATAAGTTGGGGATGGAGGTGACAACACGTGCCACATCTTCATCTGTCACTTCTACCAAACGGCAATTCTCTTGCTCTGAGGGCAGAGGATCCTTTCCACCAGCTGTTACCCACTCGTGTTCCTAGAGAATATATTAATAGTATGAAGTATATGCATATACATAGGTACATGTTTATAAACTTGATTAATTATATTATTCAGACGGAACTCACATATTTATTATTGATGCACTTTCGAAATATAGGTATACGTTATAGAAAGAGATATTGAAATGATTTTTTTTCAGTAATATTACAGGATAATATGTATATTAAATTTGCTTACTTTTATCAAGTTTAAAAGTATAATCCAACTATGAATTGAGATTTTTTTTAACTTTATAATGTAAATGACAAAATAAACCACATAACAAAAAAATTACTTGAAATAGTATTATTTCAAAATGTACAACTGTTGTACAAAGTCACTGTTGTGAATAGCAGTTATTCTTATTTTATGTAATCTTCCTAAAACATTACCGTAAACGATTTTTGCAGTGTTGAAATATGCCGTGCGATTCTATTAGCTATTTAAACAAACACCACCGCAACCTTCAAAGCTCTGTAAATACTGGAAGTGTCCGCGGTCTATCCGTTTTGTTGACTCTGGTAACTAACTACTTTGGATATTAAACTTTGAGTTCACCGTCACAAACTGAAGTGCTGTATATTTAGTCCAAGTTAATAGTTTTTCATTCATAAATATAAGCACGTTAAAGTACCTTCCGTATTGAATGAGAAATGAGGAAACTTACGTATTTAGTTTGACAATAGAAACTTTACACTACGCAGCCTAATATAAACGTAATCGTTAAATAAATGTATTTTAAAAATATTTAGAAAATATACCTATTAATAATTAACTGATACAATAGATAAATGTATCTAATTGTAAATATCCAACGCTATTAAGATTAACGTCTAAAAATTTCTGACATTAAGTAAATAGTAAAAACTAAAAATTGTAAAAGTGGGTCTCCGAATAATATAACTATGTATATCTTTGATAAGAATCTCTCTTGTCCGGGATATTGTAATAGCTGAAATATACCAAGATTTAATAGGGATACCTCGATAAAATTTAACTAACCTTTATTTCTTTCATAGTCAACCTCGTTGCGGGGTTCTTTTCTAGCATTTTTGTGAGCAATCTCTTTAATGGCTGCGAGAGTTGCGGCCTAGCGGGAAAAGTCAAAGGCTCGGTGAGAACCCCTCGCTGGAGATCGCTGGCTGTAGCCGCCACCCACGGGACCCGACCAGTCACCATCGCATATAAAGTCACTCCCAGAGACCAGATATCTGCCGCCTAGATGTAAATAACGAAAGGAAATATGTCACTATATAAAAAATTAAATACCAATGTGCTTCAGACCACTTGACCGAAAATAAACTTTTTCAACTCCATCTATTTGCATATAAAAATATATAAAGAAGTTTCATTGGTGAATTAATATTTTTTAATAGTAGGTATGTCAATTTGAGAGAAATAAAAAAGTACTAGTTTCCTCTCTTTAGTCCTTTCCGTCATATATAATACATAACACACTTCATGTCACACGCGTTTCACATTCTCTAGGTAACTCCCAAAGTCAAGCGTGCGTAAAGAAGTCTTACTTGAAAAATCTTTGCTCAGCCAATTTATATTTAAACCTTAACTTTTTATTCACTCAATTTAAAATACTGTTTTTTTTTTATTCAAAAATAACAGAGCCAGTATTTGTTTTGGGCTTATACTCTGTTATAATAATCATATCAAGAATAAAATGTGCTGCATACTTTCCAAACAGCCTATATTTTTGTTCACAAAAAGTGAATGGATAGAAATCAATAACTATGGAAAACTGATATCGAAAGTTTCTCTCCATTGTTTTAGGCGATTATTTATGAAATTTAATTATTTGTCCAATGTCATTACACGAATGTTTATTAATTTCATTATTTATTGACGATTTAGGTAATTGGGTTACGGATAGCGCTCGTTTATATATGCAATTAAAGCCAGAATTTATGGTTTTGGATACGACAATTATATCATTTAAAGTATGAATTTAATCGCTCTTGTTGCGGTTTTGTTGTTGCTAGTGATTTTATATAAACGTGTAATTTGATACGTTTGATAAAATATATATTTTAAAACCTAGGATTTATTTTTTTATATTTACCACTCACTATTCCTTGTTTATACATATTTTATTGGCGATAAAAGCTCCATGGTTGTCATATCAAACAATGTTACTTGATATCTCTGTCGACTGAGTGTATTCGTTTATGTCGTCAGCAATACGATAGTTAGTAAAAAGTTACTTGTCTTAATTTTCATTATTCTTTACACATTAGTTCAGAGCAACGTTACCTCTCCAACATATTTGTCAGCGCCGTCAGTGGTTTCGGGTGCCCGGAAGGCCGGAGTGCCAACAGCTCCTGACAATCGACCTGCGCCCTCCAATTCTCCGCAAGCGCCCAGGTCTGCAACTTGCACTCGACCGTCACCAAGAAGAAGGTTCGCTGGCTTTAGATCGCGATGAGCGATCCGCTGGAAGTGCACTGTGGGCGATTTCATGGTTTTTAATAAATACATAGTACTTTATTGTGAATAATATTCGAGTGATAATTTAAAAACGTACTATTTAAAAGTACATTTTATGATAATTATAAAGTAAAGAAATTTATTTACAGTATTCCACTCCAAGCACGACATCTCTGAAATACTTCCTCGCAAGCTCTTCGCTGTGTGGATTGTCCGTCGGTATGTCTATGACGGGTCCTCCTTCTAGTAGTTGGAATACCAAGTATAACTGATCTTCTGCCGGATCATCTAACACCTAAAAAAGTTTTTGTTCGAGATAGATATATCTTTTTATATTATGGAAAAAATCTATTTCAAAAATAACAATATGAGCGTCACAGACTTAATAAAAATATGTGTTGCCTTTCATTCAGATTTTACTTTATTTTTGTAACATTAATCAAAATTTTAATTAGTTGAAGTGAACTGTATTATTGTGAATGTATGTATAACAAAATTTACAATTTCTATTTTTGACTTTATGTTATAAACGATATACATATTCAATGGATGCAAATAGATACATATCACATAGCAGAAAATACAAATAGTCTCTGTCTCTCGCATGGCAATTAGTTTTCCCACTGGATAGCTGTCATATTCGTAAATCATTCTTGAAAAGGCACCCAATGGCGTCCGTTGATAAATGGCATACGTCATGCGATGTATCAATTAGTAGTACAAAGTTCAAAGTTATTAATTATGAGTTAACAATGAGTGTTTGCAATACCTTTCCGATTGATTGACTGAAATTATTATTAACATCCCTAATATCAATCGAATAATATCATACATTTGAAGTCAATATCTAAACCATACGAACAGAGTTAATGAGACTTTAAGCTGGTCAAACAAAACGAACGCCAAGCAAATATACGATTTTGGACTGAATTATGTTGAATATAATTTAATTACTATTTGCTTGATTACAGTTTTAATAGTTATTTTTATTTTTATAAGTTAAAGGACTATAAATATTCTACACCCTTCAGGTTGTAGAATATTTCATACTTGTGATTGAGAAATGGTTTTATTATTCACAATCAATATTACCATAGTGTCGAAAAATATTTGAATCTATTGTATGATTTATTCTGGAGGTCAAGAAGTTCACCTCAACGAGTTTCACGACATTCGGATGATCCAGTTTCTTGAGAACGGCTATTTCCCTGTAAATCCTCTGCAGAGGATCCGGAGGAGGTCCTGGTCCAGGGCGACGGGGAGGCGTGCGTCCAAACAGACCAGCGCGACGCATCAGCTTCCTTTTACTCAGGATTTTCATAGCCTATAATATTGTATGCAATTTAATCTTAAGTAATTTAATCCTTAGCGTTTTTAAAACAAAACCATTCGAAACAATAAAATTAAAAGTAATAGTAGTGGTGGACATGAGTTTGTGGACGTAAGGCCTTTATATAATTTTATATTAATCTGCTATATAATCACTAATAATAATTAAACATTATTGAATGAAAACTAAAATAATATGTAAATGAAATTCAATTAGAGTCGGTAAATATTACTTCAGCTTAAAATAGAAATCATAAACTAACTAAAATTTGACTAGTTGCTATTTATCATTCCGAAGCCAGAAATTTGCATAAATGTTCCTTTTAATCAAATATCACTTTACATATTAAAGCAGCTTTTATAATTCACGTTATTATTAAAAATTCAGTGATTAGGTAAAAGGTTGAATGAGTAAAATAAACTTTATACAGATGTTTTGTTTATTTAGTACTGTTGAACCTTACTTTATATTTATTCGTATACTGTAGAAGGCATGCAGTAAGATGAAAGGCAATACATCTGTGTGATGTATTGCCTTTTATACCTTTTATCCACTGATACGATCACTTTTTAGTTTTTAAACATTACTTGGGTAAATTTATATATACATATTAATTAAACCACTTGTTGGCATTTTTGTCTGTATAATCAGAAATAGCTAAATCGATTTGAATGCGATTTGAATCTATACAATTAATATTTATATTTATCGGCTCCATTAAAAATACGTTTTGGTTTATGAATTAAGAAAAAACGCCAGTGTTCATGGTTATTCTGACTATCATGAAGACGAGGGCCGAACTCGTTAAATGCAATATGTAGATTCACTTTCATTTCTGGTATATTCAGTCGACCTCAGTGAATTTTAACTGACCGTATCATTAATTCTCGGAGTAGCTATAATTATTTTTCAATCAAATGTTGTGTAAATTAACGGAGACGTCATTTATGTTATAATGACGTGAGGACTGAACCGGAACCTTACACAAGCAAGTGTATAATTAAAACCTGGCTTTAAAAGTTTTGTACTCCATTATATAATAAATTCACGTGCATAATATACAAATAAGATAATATAAGATTCCTGCAACATGAGTAGGGTTCGAACACAAACTTGGGATGTTGCGTCTTAATTGCTTTTTTCCGTGAACATTATTCATACTTAAGTTTTGAAGATCAACCAATTAATATAATTTAAGAAACTAAGTTGTCTAAGAGCCGACGAATTATAAATAACGTATTAGCACTCGATTATAATTTAAAATAAAACTAATATTATTTACTGTAATTAGCTATAAACTGACACAAGGAAAGTTTATCACTAAGAAATTCAGATTAAAGACTTGCTTGAATGAATTTTTTACTGCAATGAATCAAATGACAAAGTAAACTGTATTTGTCCTTAATTAAAATATAAATTATTCACCGCCGTCTTTCTATTAACTTACTTCTGAATAGACATTAGAAATAAAACGACAAACAGTATACAATGTTTAATTACATTTCTAATAAGCTTTCTGGAATAAAACTTTCGTGGAAACTTCAATTTTTTTTACAAATATTAAAAACATTTTGATGTTCTTTTATAAAATTTTATATAATTTAATTTACCAGAAAAATATAATAACGGACAACCCAATAACAGTGTCATATTCAATGACCCCTTTTTCTAGCTGAATAGCCCACTAGCTATATCACAGAACATGAGAGAGAATCACTATTCTCGCTCGTGTTCCCTGATCGTATTATATTCTAGTTCCCTTTGTGACGTTTTAAACTAAATTCTTTAGGATTCATGCCTTTCGTTTATATAAATTTTACTTTACTATTTTATTCTATTATTACAGAAGAAGACGTCGTCACCTTACACATTTATTTTGTTATAATACTTTTCCTCTCCTATATTCGTAGAAGTGTTATCATATATATAGAACATGATATAATCATACTGTATCTCGTTGATACTCTGATAATTCAATGAGATATCCTGAAATATGAATTTTTGTAATTATAGACTTATCTTTAACACCGAAGTTAAGTAATTTCTTAAATTTTATTGCCCAAATTTGTGTAACTTATTTGAAAGTCCGGAAAATAATATCGTTTTACATTTTAATTTTATAAGTTTATTTATTTAAAACACTATTTTATTTTATTATTAACATATAAATGATTTCGCCCTTGCTATCAAGTACATTTTGCAAATAATAATACATTTTGCTTGTTCAGTTCGTTCTTGTGTTAACGTGTTGCATTATGCCTTTCTGTTGTTGGCAAACAGTAGTTTCAATAGTAGTTTAGTCCCCTTTATATCAAAGCCAATAGAACTGTGTATACATATATACAAAACACACACACACACATATATATATATATATATATATGAATGCATATATATTAAATGAAAAGTTTCTGATGTGTTTATTTGCATATAATACTTTATATTCCTTGTAAAACTATTTGTAAAAATTATGTTTAACATATTTATAAGAAACTAGTTTGTGTTCCCGACTTCGTCCGTAGCAACTTCTGAAGTAGAAATGTATAGCCGCACTTGCGAAATGAACAGATTTTGGACGTTATGCAGTTCATTCTTTTTTATTCTCTAGTCGAACCAAAAGAAAAGTATTTCTTTTCCGTCTCCTGGTTCTAAAGTAACTCCAAATAAATTTTCAGTTAAATCAGTACAATCGTTCTCGAGTTATGAATGGTGTGATTAAAAGGACTTTTATACTTTTAGATGTGTTTTATAATTGAAACAATTATGTATTTAATAATAAATAACTTTAGGTAACCGTGTCCAAGTATAATTTGAAAGTTGATTAAAATCAAAACTTATGTTGCCTTGTATTTTGTAAATGATCACATTAAATTTATTATCTGAATTTTCAACAGATCGCATCTTCTTTTATCTTTTCGTTTACTTCACTCTTTATGTGACGTTTAAAAATAATACTATATTTTTTTTTAAGTGCCAACATGTTTTAGAAATGCATACTCACATAATGTCTGTCGTCTTCTTCGCTGTAAGCTAACTTAACGATGCCGTACGAACCCTGAAAAAACAACGAGTTGGAGTAACATTCTATTTATAGCCCCAAAATTGGACTATGGACTAAAATATACATGTCTACAAACCAAGCTGGTCTAACTTTAAATAATTAAATAGATTGTTTAAAAATATAGCTAAGCGTTATCGCACACAACGTTCTCGCTGAAATTAATACATACGTGAATATATGTAAAAATATATATATATATATGTATTATATTAATCTACCGAATTTGTACTATATTTTTGTTGGTATTATAAGAAATTAAGATTTAACAAATTCATTAGTTTATCACCATCATCAAAAAATATGCAAATTTAGGAAAAAATTTATATAAAATCAATATTTACTACTCTAAGATTTTATTTTTATAATTAATTTTATTTTTATAAAATATCCAAATAAACTTAATTGTGACAAACAGTTTAAGGAGAAAATATTATTTTTTATTAAACATTTTATGCTTTTACATATAATAGTTTGATTGTTGAAATTTAAATAGTAACAGTTTGACGGCAGACGATTGTTTTTTTAGCTTTGTAGTGTGCATAGAATAATGGAGTTTTAAAAAGAAACATTCAAGTGCGCTCCAACTATAACAAGAGGAGTTTCTTTGAGATTGTATAGAGATTTAAATATGTTTGATTTTATCGTGAAGTACAAGGTTTATTCAGCTATATTTTGCTTATTGTTGCCCATAAATAGCCCTTTAAATTATTATGATATGCTAATCGACTTGTAGCAGAGTAAATATTCAGGCAAACATCTGCGTTCCTTATTACCTGTCCTATAGGCTCCAGAAGTCTGTACTGATTGAGCTGCACGTAACCGGACGCCTGGGCGAGGGATACCCTTCTGGACTCGCGTGGGACCCTCCTTGTACGAGGAGAACCCTGGGTGCATTCAGTGGACTTGGCAGCGTGGGAACGTAGCAATGAGGACCGGTCCGTATAGACTTGTGGTCTGTTGATAATGGGGATTAATATTATTTATTCACCTATTAATGATAAAATAATTCGTAGCAGTTGATTAGTAACTTCTTATAATTTTTTTTTAATTAATCCAGTAGTTTTAGATGACTTCCATATGATGGTGTGTAATTATGTTTCTTGATTGATTTCTTTTTACTGTAGGTAATGATTATTTTTTTTTAACGAGGAGAATCTTTTAAAGACTTCCTGCCTCGGAGGAAACGCGACAGGAGCGTGTGGGATTTCCACCCACTAAACTCCTCGGCGTTCTCTGCGCTGTGCGTAGGCTAGTGAGCGGGAACGGCAAGCCATACTTCCGCTCACTACGCACGAGTCCCGAAAGGGAACTCCGCCTTTGGCAGGGGTATCGGTGGCTGTAGGTAATGATGAGTTGAACGGTATTAAGACACACTAACCAAACATATACAAGTTTGAAAATTGTATTAATTATTTTATGTATACCAAGATAAGAGGTAATAATTTTAAATTTTTATAAAATACTATGAAAATATTTGCGATTCTTGAAATCAACGTTTGTCTACCGAACACAAGATGTTAAAGAAAGGTTATAAAATTTTAAGCGTTTTCAAAGGAGAAAATTTATAAAAATTTCCTTTGATTTAATAAATTCGAATAATATTTTACGGACGTGTAAAATTCCAGTGTTCAAATACGAATAAAATAAATATTTTTATTCGGTTGTAACGGTTTGTTATAAATAATTCACACGTTTAATTTTCAATTCAAACTTTATCTTACTGTCTCGTCAATTTGCAATAATAATGTTTTAAGATTAATTTCAAATGGAAATATAATTAAAGCATTCTATTTATATATTGGATTGTAAATTCTTTTAAATTTTTACGAGATAATTATTGCAAATAAGACAAACAATTTAACAACTCCAGTAACACCCAGGCTTAACCGCGATGGAATTGTGAGAACCTAATTGATATGTAAACTCGAGAGCTACATTGTGGTTATAGAACGACATTGTGGCTAGACAAATCGAGACGCATCCTTGTTAATTTCTCTCCGAGATAAGTTAACAAACTGTGACTAAAGACCATTAAAGTGAAAGTTGAAAATCGACATAGTATTTCATAGAATTGTTTTGCAATAAAGGTTTGTTTATTTTTCTCTTTCACAACTCCGTTTGAAACTAAAACTTTTTGACATTTCAAACGTCAACATCATATATTGAAAATGGATATAAAAACAGAGTACCGACATTTATTTATTTCAATTCTTTTTTACGTATTTCGTGACGCTCTATTGTTTTTGGTTTTATATATCTATAATCAGATTTATTCTCAAATATTTTTTTAGTCATAGAAACACTACACAAGTTAGGAAATTCTATTCAAGTTTATTTTATGTTTAAACTTTAACTAACTTATTGGAGTTGCATTAAATAAGACAATTGAATTTATAGAATAATTGTCTTTTGCACACAAAATCTAATTAGCGTTGAACACAAAAATGTAAGACAACTCATTATGTCACCTGTCTTCGTCAGTTTGCTGCCATTTTGTGACGTCACGACCCCTATTGGCTTCTCCCACTACGTCGACAGCGGAATGTCTGCAACAAATAAATAATATACTTAAATTTTAATCTATTCATTACCTTAAGTTAAAGAAAATTCATGTTTATGTTCAAAAGTAACGTTTAGGAAACTTCCTGTCAGTGAGGTAGATGACGATTATCTTGTTTTAACGTAATATATTAATATTGACTTTAAATTTGTATCAGGAAATGTTTGGTAATATTTTGCTTTATGTTATAACATTTTCAACTGTATACACCCAAAGCATATAAATCTGAACCACATAGATGCTTTCTATGCATTTCTTCAAATTGATTCTCATACATTATTTAATAGGTTATATTTGGTTCAAATACCATAAATATATCCTGTTCGTCCCAGGAGAGACTTGAGTTACCTTCTAGAAACCCGACACCAACAGACATTGGATTTTAAAACTCGTAGTAAATTCCTAGTTTTGGCATATTTATTTGTTTCAACTTTAAAATGTATTGATCCAGTAAATAGATAGTTAATATTTTTTTATATAAAATTAAATAAATGGTTAGTATTACTATAATTTAGTGAATAAGGTTTATAACAATTAAATAATGTAAGGTAATCTAACATTAGGAAATGAGTTTCATTATGAACGAAGTCAAAAGACTTAAAATATGTATATTACAAATTTAAATCTCGGACCTACACCCATAAAAAGGACTAACAAGTAACAAACAATTTCAAACTCGAGTATTTCGTCGTAAACGAAAATATATTTCAGTCACGTTTTAAAAGCTTACAGTTATAACTTCTAAGTATTCGTATCTTTTTTGCTACAATAAGCTCCTTAAATTTATACAAATTAATAATTTCTAATATTATTTTAATTAAAGTTGAGGTGAAAAGCGAAATTCTATTTAATATTTTTAACCTAATCCATTGTAAGCATTAAAGTAAACACAGAATTTCGTGTTAAAAAGTAAAATGTTCCCTGAACACAGGAAGTTATTCAAGACCAGGACATTAATCTGACTTTCAGAAGAGATATTAAAGTAATTGTTATACATAAATAGAATTAAGAAAAATTTTGTCTTTCATGTCTACTACTTAATGATAATATTAAGGTTACATACATATAAGATGCCGTTTATATATCATCTACAATTAATTATTTTATGATAATTCTAAGTCGGTTTTTGTGTCTAACTATTGTAACGATAACTATAAAGAACTAAGTGTGGCTTGAAATAGATATAACCTTTGTATAACTTTTGTTACAGAGTTCAATTTTGTTTTTTCATAAATAATTACTTTCTTTTGTAAATCACTTGTTTTTATTTCAAAAAACCACTATACCAAACTTAGAGAAGAAAATCTTTGTGGAAACCTAATCTCTATTAATAAGACGTCTACTTTGGAATGAAAGAAAATGTACAAAACTTATTTTTTATAATGAAGTAAAATCACAGTTTTAATATTATGTTACATCCGAATTCTGATTTTAATATGGATGGATGTTGAAATTTTACGAATAATTTATATAATTTTTGCTCTTATTTTAATGACTGTAATATTTTAAACCTTTCAGCATGTGTAAACTTTATTTTATGTAGATTTCTGTAAATGAATTTTAAGTGTTACTTTAGGACGGTAATAATATCTTAGTTTATTTAATCGCTTCACTCTCCTGTATAAATGAAATAAAGAATACAATTTTGAATTACTCTTCTTAAAATCATAATTGTTAAATGGCCTTATTTACATTACATACAAGTATTTACACTATAAAGTATCGAAAGGTTCTTATAGCAGTTTATTTGAATTCATAAAAATTCATCTCTTTAAAGTTTTTATCAGAAGGAAATATTTATTTCAATCTTTTCATTTACATAACCATATCAATCATGTTATATGTCTTCTATTTTCTCAATCGGAAACTGATTTTCTTTACTAACTATAAATATGTATGGATGAATTTGAACATTATTTGTGATTCTATCAAATGGTAAAGCGTTAAAAATGAACTCACAATTGGATCGTGTTTCTATTTATTCGGTATATGTCGTCTATTATACGTCTTTGTTAAGTGACGCTTTTATTTCTACTGTTCGTATCATATAAGTGACATATCTATAGAAACTGTAATATCTTCCACGTGGATTCATTATTTGTTTGTATAACATTCTCCAAAATGTATTTCGTTCCGATATACTTTGTATTATAATATTACCGTTTCCGTATCTTTTCACTACGTGCTTCGACTATTGTCTCATACAAATATTTTACCTATTTCTTTTCATAACAGCTGCTCGGCTTTTTCAACCAGACCCATTCGTCTGATAATAGAAACAATTTGTTAATTTCTCTGCTTTATATTATCTTATAGTAAACGTGAAATAGAGATCTTAACAAAAAATCCTAATGTTTTGCTGGCATACTTATTTGGTAATAGTTTTTTTTAAAGCACAATTGAAACAATAGTTTAAAATTCGGCGGATCCAGAATTTCATGGTACTCATTACCTGATTTATAAAAAAGCAACGATACCCAGAATTTGGATTTATCGGCCACCTGAGTTCCAAAAACTCAATATTGTATAGAGTTGTGTTATACCGGCCACGTGCGTCCCGGGATAAATTTTTTTAATCATTAACGATCTCACTGATGTAGTAATATATTTATTAAAGGAAGATATTTGTTTTTCCAACTATCATGTAGAAAACGTAACACATTAGTATTGGCATTATCAGATCATTCATTGAAGGCTAGATTTTGTTTATTCTCGTAGTTTAATTAAGTAAGTTACTGTAAACAATGCATTCTAAGCTCTAATTAATTAAGTTGAATGGGAAATTGTTGTTTCTAAATAAAGGTATAATGAGGTTCTCGTCAACAATCACAAATAAAAGGGATGATTATTTGAAAATAATTTATTTTTAAAACCTTATTTTCCTGTTTTTCTGCTTATCTTGTGTAATTAAAATGTTGATTTAAGTTTTTAAATATTTTAATTTGATAATGTTGTTTACAGATGAAAGGGATTGGTTCTGTGACTTGAAAATATTAAATAATAAAATAAAAATAACAGTACAAGTAAGAGTAAAAACGATATATTTTGTAAGGGCAACACAAACTGATACGCTAATGTATCTAAACATGTAAGCGTGTTCAAAGCACCCTCTTATGCGCTCCTTTGTATTTTGAGACTGCGGAGCCGCCATTATTTAATTAATTAGGTAATGTTCTGAAAGATTTCAGGGGATATGTGGGTGAGTATTGTTTTTTTTAAATAAAGTCTGTTTTAAAGAGCCTAATTATGTTTTACATACGACACAAAAATTAATGAAAGATTTAGAGATAAAAGTTTCAGAGGTTTCGTCGTCTTCAGATATAATTTTAGAATCAAATGTTTTTGTAAATAAAATCATTATATTTGTATAATTATTTTGTTATAATTGTAGCTCTGTAGTATCTGATTTTATTTTTTAATATTGTCTAAGAATATTTACTTTAGAAGTTATTATTAATTAACATTCTCGATTTGTTTTTGTATGATTCTTAAAATATATAACTTTTTTTGTATGAAAATCCTTTAGTTCGAAAGTTCATCAAATCTATTTTCGTGTTTTGATACAATTTGCTGTTGATACTTAGACGTCGTTTACAGGCGGTGAACTCTACATGACTCACATTTACCAAAGTCTGGCTTTAAAGCTATTTAACGTTTTGTTATCTGAAACGTTAATCTTGGATATATTAGAAAGTACCCCCTAATACTTTGTAAGTTTAATTGGAAATATTAAGTAAGAAATACTTAATATTAAAGGTGAAACAATCGTTTAGCAGACAGAATAAAACCATCTGTTAATTAAATATGTATAACTAAAAAACTTTACGTTGTATATACAACTCGGTAGGAGATAAATTTTTGTGAAAATACATTATCTTTTTTAAGTTATGTCATCACTTCAAATAAAGTTATCGTTTACACGGGTATATAAATTATTATTATCATTTAACAGAAAAACTAAAATTCTTATATATGATTTTACTAACATGCTAAAAAGGGGAATATAGATTACATATGGCGTCGAAATATTAAAATCGGCCCTCGGCCGTTACACTATTATTCCTGAATTATTCTTCAAAAAAAGGAACATCAAATACCGTATTATTCTATGATTTTTTGTAATATTTTTCGTATGTCCATCTTAAATACTAACATATTTATTGAGCATAAAAATTTGATACCTTCATTCATTTAAATAGAACAAATTTGTAAGTTACATCAAGATTCATATTAACAGGCTTTAATTTCCTTAATTTAATCTAGATTCACGAGCTAAGTAAATATTAATTTATTGGCCACGTGAGGGAAATTACTTTTCCGTATGCTCTACTGCTTGCTTTCATCCTCGTGTAACGAGATTTAGTTGGATTAGTGCAACATTTTCTTCACTATATGTGGAAAATTATTTATTCACATCCGAATTTTAATACTTTACCTCTAAATGGAATAGTTAATTTTAATGGACGATATAGAACCTCTGAATATCTACAAGAACACATTAATAAAAACCTATATAAGTACACAGGTATATACGATATATAATCACATTTTTTACAATTGATACAAAACAACAAGCATTGGCTACATTTTCTGTTCTCCAACGTTGTAACCTTTGTTTTGTAGCTATAGTAATTATCTAACATAAAGTCATTTATGTAAATAAGGTAATAAAATAAAGGTGAAAAAAAGATGAAATATAATATAAAAAACCGTTGTAACATACAGATTAATAAGCAATGAATAGAAAGAGTCAGAAATATAAAAAGGAAATTATCAATGTCTGAAATGACAGAGAGTGAAATGTGTTTCGATATAAAAGAATATTGTGTTTAAATCATATAACAAAATTTATATGTTTATAAGCAATTTTTTTTATTATGTAATAAAAAATAACTGTATTACATATTAGGAAGTTTTTCATAATTTTCTATAGTATTTAATAGTATTTATTGATAAAAAAAATAAAGCAATTTACTTTATGTCAAGCTTATATTATTTATTAATAAATAATAATAGTTGCCATACATACATAGAACTAGCATTTTCGGTAAACTAACAAAGGCATCCACCATCAAGATATTAAAAAAGTCGTTGTCTTTGAACTTTCATCATTAAAAATAAAACTAGGTTTAAATAACATGTCAGCAGAGGTCTTTTTTGATTACGGCAATGTTTAATAGGAATTTTAACTTTTTTTTATCAGGTCAATACTCAGACAATTTTTACTACACTTATCCGCCGTTTGGAAAAAATAAGTTTTAAAAGAAAAAACAAAATACTAGTAGTTAGCACTAGTAAATCATAACGTTAAAGTTATATACTAGCTGCTATAGGTAAGTGTGAAACAATTGATTGGATTTCGGAGAGGTTGATTTGAAAGACATATAGGATTCTGTGAATTTATCTCTGTCCATCTGTTTGCTCCAGCTAATCTCTGTGCCGATTTTATTGAAACTTGTACGGGTTTATTTTACTTAAAAAGATTATTTTTTCTAACGAAGATGGAAAAACAGCTAGTTGCAAATAAATTAGTAATTAAAACTTCATTTTGAAATAATTTATTCTGTGCCCATTTCAAAAGTACCGTACATATTCTATCCACTATTGTGAAAAAAATAAATTATATTTTTGAATGCTACGTTAATCTAAAAGTTACAATATTATACTAATGTGAATCTTATTAAAATCTTAATTTCGTTAATTTAATAAGGAATGTTTTAAGAATAAAATTAAATAATAATAAATTTATAAAAATTTAACAAGATTTTTATTTACACCTCTTAAATGTAATAAAAATGTACATCTCAGCTGAAACAATAAAGACGAAAATAGTTGCACACAGAGAAAGGCACTTGCATTAAGTGCAAAAGGCGGCCTTATCGCTAATAGCGATCTCTCAAGGTAACCTTAATGCAGAGGAGAAAAATAATAATGGATTTTATATACGTATACTTAAATTGGGAAAATTTCATATTACAGACGTACGTACGGCGTACCTACCTGTTTGGTATGGCCAAAAATTAATGTAGAGATTTGTTTTATAATAACTAAATACATACAATCCGAAAGATTCCTCTATAAAAGATACGTTAAGAGTCAATGTCAATAAAATATTTTGAGCGATATTACTTTATAATAGAAAAATATGTTTTCCTATATAAAACAGAGGTAAAATTATAGTAATAAAATATTGTTACAGAAAAAAATATTATTAAAGGAAATGTAAAAAGTAGACTTGGAAGCCGTACAAATTTAACTAAAACTGTCGGTTGTAAGAAGTAAAAGTCTCTTAATAAAAACACAGCTTCAGAAACTTGTAAATAAAACGTTTGCCTGGTTAAGAAATATTTTTTATTCAAAAAGAACCTTCATGGAAACATTAATTAAGAAATTTTAATAAAATACCACAAATAATAAAATAATATCATAAAAGTATTGTTAATTAAAAAACATGATCTGCTCTGTACGTGGTCATCTCTATTCATGGAATGAAAATTGGGAAACCTCAAAAAAGACCTGATTCCAGCTCAAAAATTGACCGTTCTTAATTGAATTTCATTTCTAGTGATTGCATGAAATGTGATTGATAAAGTATGAGTTTTTGCGGGTTTTCATTACACCGTAAGTTTTTAATCGTGTTTCAAATTAATTATCACGCTTTCAGGGTGTAATAACAGTAGTCCGTAGTGGTAATTGAAATTAATGCCGTACTAAGAAATAAAATAATACACGAGAGTTCTAGCTATTTAACTATTAAATGTTTTTTATAACTAGTAGCATGTGTATAATGCATAATATATATCAATAAAAAATGGACATAATGATACAATAAATAAGTGTTTTGTATTTTTTCCAAATGTTTGTACTTTTTTTATTATTACACCGAATTATTAATTAAAACACATAATTATTTTTAATTTTCAAAGATTTTGGTATTTTTATAAAAATATTAGGCAAACTTACGTAGGATAATCTGATTATTTCCAATTGTAGTGTAAGTTTTAATAAACTAATCAAAAATAGCGCATTTAAATTTGTGTAATTAAATATAAACCAAAAATTTCGGACTAGAGGAGCTGTAACCAAGAAGTAGGTGTGGGCACATCGGAGGAAAGTAAAAATGTTTATATCATTATTCAATATAATTTTTATGTTCTTCATTTTAAGCTGAAATAGATAATATTTATTTTTTAATTATTATATCGGAAACTGTAGTCAAAATTTGGTTTTCGTAGTAGTTAATTATGACGAACAAAAAGTAATCGTGTTTTCTGTAAGTGCACTTATTTTATTGTATTTTTAACTATTCGATCATGTAACATAAGACTATGCGAAGATATATGAATTAGTACTTGTGACGAGGAGTTATAATAAATTTCAGAACCATAAAACTAGTTTTAGAATTTTATTTTTTTCAGTATTTGTAGTTTTAATGGAATAATTATAACTTTTATACCGTTGATAATAATTCTATCTTGAATGTCTTAATTAATGAACTTTTTTGGATTCCAGAACTATTCTGAAGAAATCGTTTAACTTTTTATCTTTCTTTTGTCATTTAAACGAGTTTCTTAATGTCTTCGTCCGGCAATCTTTTACGTTCAACTTACGTTGTAAATTCGGTTACCTTAAAGAGCCTTTTTATATAAATGAAAATATATTGTCATCACGATATATTATTCTCATATTGATATAAAATACTCTTATTAGGTTACTTATAATGTTAATACTACTAACTATAATGTTAGGAGGTCACCAGAGACCATCAAAGTTAGTCTTTAGAGATACGATTAATTAAAATTAGGTACTGTTAATATTACACTTCTAACAAAACAGTAAGGAAGAGAACTATATTGATTTTATATAATGTTTACATATTTCTCGCACGAGCGAAATTTAATTATGTTAAAATTATTAACCACTTTAAAATTTATTTATAATTTAATGACGAAGGTAAATTTCATAAAATAAAATATGAAAATAACTAATTAAAGGTTATTTTTATGTCTTATTTTTGTTTTTAAAATCTTACCCCCACGATCTATATTGGTATAGGTAACTTAATTACGTTAATATTAATAGTTTTAAGTATTAAAAAAAATACAAAATTGAGACGGAACATTTAACAAAATCATATAAATTGTATGACAA